ATTGCCAATGCTATTGTTACAATCAGAACTCACAAATTGGGAATAGGCTTTGGCTCAAACTACTACCAAGATTTGGAGTCACAATAGAGTATAAAATAGATAGATGCTTTCAAAAATAGAGATTATTTTTAGACAGGGCTAATATCAAGCGGTAAAAGGACCATTTCCTTCATATTATGTCCAAAAGTATTTACTTTAAAGGTAGATGAAGTTCATTACAGTTTATGCACAGGTTTATTAGATACTGTCAAATTCGCTTGTTTCAAACATAGGTGAATGTTAACAATGCCAAAAGTTAATGAGATAGATTAGAAACAACAGAGATTCAAAAACATTTAAAAGCATTTTAATGTATTTGGGTATAGCACAAAAGTAGATATTTAGGTATTTTTTGAGAATTTTAAGAGCTGTCAATTTGTCAGCAACAGATTAGAGAATCAAAATACCGTTGTATAGGGACTAACCCCAGAGAAACCTGCTAAAATAGATTAGCTCCTGTACGGATAATACCAATTTGATTAACAATGTACATTTATCCCAAACGGTCTGAGAGAAGGAAGTGACAGCACTTCCTGGTTCAACAAAATGTGTTTGGAAAAATGAGCAAAGCCCCACAAAATGGCACAGAGCCACTGAGAATGACAGCAGTGGTCATCAAAGAGTTTTGTAGGGAATGTTTCGAATGTTGTTGTGTGTGTATTCTTTCTGTATTAATTCTTCACAGATAACGAGCCAGAACCAAGAACCAAGGCGATGATGGACGAGCTCCCCAGTCTCGGCACCCAGAAGGAATATTGAAAGATTGTGACCTAAATTGGTTTAATATAGGTCAACAGAGGGGAACTGTTGTATATTTTAATATTTGACCATTTGAACATCATAGCCAGAAAGACCTCTGTGCACTCAGGAAAAACCCCAAGGACACAGGATAATCAGACATGAGTCATAAAGATAAAATGCTGTTTAAACAGGGCGAATTATTAACTTTAAATAATAAACATTTTGACGAGGACAAGAGTTCAGAACCTGAATCTTGAGGCAGACTGGGAGATTCACCAACTGCATTCTGACGCCTCCCAGTGGACAAGGGACGTCAGCACACCCGGAAACTCCACCCCTTGGACGCATAAGGATGACGTCATCGGAAGTCTCCCTCATGAGCCCCTGTGTGTTTTTTTTGAGGTCAGACAGGACAGGGCACGGACAGGGGAAGAGCAGGCCTAGAATAGGAGCACTTTTGTTGAACATTCTGTATCTGATTGTAAAGATAATTAAATGCAGATGTTAAACGTGAAGATCTCTTGTCTCGCTCTTGCATCGACTTTGGATACGTCAGTCAAAGGGAATTATTGACTTCAAGTCTTAGCTTTAGTCTAAGCTTTAGTCTTAGCTTTAGTCTTAGCTGAAGTCTAAGCTTTAGTCTTAGCTTTAGTCTAAGCTTTAGTCTTAGCTTTAGTCTCAGCTGAAGTCTAAGCTTTAGTCTTAGCTTTAGTCTAAGCTTTAGTCTTAGCTTTAGTCTAAGCTTTAGTCTTAGCTTTAGTCTCAGCTGAAGTCTAAGCTTTAGTCTTAGCTTTAGTCTTAGCTGAAGTCTAAGCTTTAGTCTTAGCTTTAGTCTTAGCTTTAGTCTTAGCTTTAGTCTTAGCTGAAGTCTAAGCTTTAGTCTTAGCTTTAGTCTTAGCTGAAGTCTTAGCTTTAGTCTTAGCTTTAGTCTTAGCTTTAGTCTTAGCTGAAGTCTTAGCTTTAGTCTTAGCTTTAGTCTTAGCTTTAGTCTTAGCTTTAGTCTTAGCTGAAGTCTTAGCTTTAGTCTTAGCTTTAGTCTTAGCTGAAGTCTTAGCTGAAGTCTTAGCTTTAGTCTTAGCTTTAGTCTTAGCTTTAGTCTTAGCTTTAGTCTAAGCTTTAGTCTTAGCTTTAGTCTTAGCTTTAGTCTTAGCTTTAGTCTTAGCTTTAGTCTTAGCTGAAGTCTTAGCTTTAGTCTTAGCTTTAGTCTTAGCTTTAGTCTTAGCTTTAGTCTTAGCTTTAGTCTTAGCTTTAGTCTTAGCTTTAGTCTTAGCTTTAGTCTTAGCTTTAGTCTTAGCTGAAGTCTTAGCTTTAGTCTTAGCTTTAGTCTTAGCTTTAGTCTTAGCTGAAGTCTTAGCTTTAGTCTTAGCTTTAGTCTAAGCTTTAGTCTCAGCTGAAGTCTTAGCTTTAGTCTTAGCTTTAGTCTCAGCTGAAGTCTTAGCTTTAGTCTTAGCTTTAGTCTCAGCTTTAGTCTTAGCTTTAGTCTTAGCTTTAGTCTTAGCTTTAGTCTTAGCTTTAGTCTTAGCTTTAGTCTTAGCTTTAGTCTTAGCTGAAGTCTTAGCTTTAGTCTTAGCTTTAGTCTAAGCTTTAGTCTCAGCTGAAGTCTTAGCTTTAGTCTTAGCTTTAGTCTCAGCTGAAGTCTTAGCTTTAGTCTTAGCTTTAGTCTTAGCTTTAGTCTTAGCTTTAGTCTCAGCTGAAGTCTAAGCTTTAGTCTTAGCTGAAGTCTTAGCTTTAGTCTCAGCTGAAGTCTAAGCTTTAGTCTTAGCTGAAGTCTTAGCTTTAGTCTCAGCTGAAGTCTTAGCTTTAGTCTCAGCTGAAGTCTAAGCTTTAGTCTTAGCTGAAGTCTTAGCTTTAGTCTCAGCTGAAGTCTTAGCTTTAGTCTTAGCTTTAGTCTAAGCTTTAGTCTTAGCTGAAGTCTTAGCTTTAGTCTCAGCTGAAGTCTTAGCTTTAGTCTTAGCTGAAGTCTTAGCTTTAGTCTAAGCTTTAGTCTTAGCTTTAGTCTTAGCTTTAGTCTCAGCTGAAGTCTAAGCTTTAGTCTTAGCTTTAGTCTTAGCTTTAGTCTTAGCTTTAGTCTTAGCTTTAGTCTTAGCTTTAGTCTTAGCTGAAGTCTTAGCTTTAGTCTTAGCTTTAGTCTTAGCTGAAGTCTAAGCTTTAGTCTTAGCTTTAGTCTCAGCTGAAGTCTAAGCTTTAGTCTTAGCTTTAGTCTTAGCTTTAGTCTTAGCTTTAGTCTTAGCTTTAGTCTTAGCTTTAGTCTTAGCTGAAGTCTTAGCTTTAGTCTTAGCTTTAGTCTTAGCTGAAGTCTAAGCTTTAGTCTTAGCTTTAGTCTTAGCTGAAGTCTTAGCTTTAGTCTTAGCTTTAGTCTTAGCTTTAGTCTTAGCTGAAGTCTTAGCTTTAGTCTTAGCTTTAGTCTTAGCTTTAGTCTTAGCTTTAGTCTTAGCTGAAGTCTTAGCTTTAGTCTTAGCTTTAGTCTTAGCTTTAGTCTTAGCTTTAGTCTTAGCTTTAGTCTTAGCTTTAGTCTTAGCTTTAGTCTTAGCTGAAGTCTTAGCTTTAGTCTTAGCTTTAGTCTAAGCTTTAGTCTTAGCTGAAGTCTTAGCTTTAGTCTTAGCTTTAGTCTTAGCTTTAGTCTTAGCTTTAGTCTTAGCTGAAGTCTTAGCTTTAGTCTTAGCTTTAGTCTTAGCTTTAGTCTTAGCTGAAGTCTTAGCTTTAGTCTTAGCTTTAGTCTAAGCTTTAGTCTCAGCTGAAGTCTTAGCTTTAGTCTTAGCTTTAGTCTCAGCTGAAGTCTTAGCTTTAGTCTTAGCTTTAGTCTCAGCTTTAGTCTTAGCTTTAGTCTTAGCTGAAGTCTTAGCTTTAGTCTCAGCTGAAGTCTTAGCTTTAGTCTTAGCTTTAGTCTTAGCTTTAGTCTTAGCTTTAGTCTTAGCTTTAGTCTCAGCTGAAGTCTAAGCTTTAGTCTTAGCTGAAGTCTTAGCTTTAGTCTCAGCTGAAGTCTTAGCTTTAGTCTTAGCTGAAGTCTAAGCTTTAGTCTTAGCTTTAGTCTTAGCTGAAGTCTTAGCTTTAGTCTAAGCTTTAGTCTTAGCTTTAGTCTTAGCTTTAGTCTCAGCTGAAGTCTAAGCTTTAGTCTTAGCTTTAGTCTTAGCTTTAGTCTTAGCTTTAGTCTTAGCTTTAGTCTTAGCTTTAGTCTTAGCTGAAGTCTTAGCTTTAGTCTTAGCTTTAGTCTTAGCTGAAGTCTAAGCTTTAGTCTTAGCTTTAGTCTCAGCTGAAGTCTTAGCTTTAGTCTTAGCTTTAGTCTTAGCTGAAGTCTAAGCTTTAGTCTTAGCTTTAGTCTCAGCTGAAGTCTAAGCTTTAGTCTTAGCTTTAGTCTTAGCTTTAGTCTTAGCTTTAGTCTAAGCTTTAGTCTTAGCTTTAGTCTTAGCTTTAGTCTTAGCTTTAGTCTTAGCTGAAGTCTTAGCTTTAGTCTTAGCTTTAGTCTTAGCTTTAGTCTTAGCTTTAGTCTTAGCTTTAGTCTTAGCTTTAGTCTTAGCTTTAGTCTTAGCTTTAGTCTTAGCTTTAGTCTTAGCTTTAGTCTTAGCTGAAGTCTTAGCTTTAGTCTTAGCTTTAGTCTTAGCTTTAGTCTTAGCTTTAGTCTTAGCTTTAGTCTTAGCTGAAGTCTTAGCTTTAGTCTTAGCTTTAGTCTTAGCTGAAGTCTAAGCTTTAGTCTTAGCTTTAGTCTCAGCTGAAGTCTAAGCTTTAGTCTTAGCTTTAGTCTTAGCTTTAGTCTTAGCTGAAGTCTTAGCTTTAGTCTTAGCTTTAGTCTTAGCTTTAGTCTTAGCTTTAGTCTTAGCTGAAGTCTTAGCTTTAGTCTTAGCTTTAGTCTTAGCTGAAGTCTAAGCTTTAGTCTTAGCTTTAGTCTTAGCTGAAGTCTTAGCTGAAGTCTAAGCTTTAGTCTTAGCTTTAGTCTTAGCTGAAGTCTTAGCTTTAGTCTTAGCTGAAGTCTTAGCTTTAGTCTTAGCGTAGACTTTGTGCAGGTTCAAAGCTCAGATAGAGGCTTTGTGTAAAACTAATCTCGTTGTTTACTGATTGTGGAGGTTAAAAAGAAAGAAGGAACTTAAAGTCATTAAAGAACGACAATAGCAGAGGAATAGGAGGACATTTTAATAACACACAATTCTATCTTTATTCAGTACATTTGCTTTTTGAAGATGAAACCTGCATATGCTGAACGGAGAAGCTCTCGTTTGACCCAGTACCTGTGACGATGCTGAAGTGGGAAGGGCTGGTGATGGTGACAAATGGGGGGGGGGTCACATATCGGGCCTTCACTCCGTCTTGGGCCATTTTGTCCAGGTTTGGGGTGTCCACCATGCGGTCATAGTCCCACCGAAACCCATCAAAGGAGATGAGCAGTAGCTTGTTCCTGCCTGATCCTGCAGAGGGCTGAGAGGGTGCAGCGGTGCAGAGGCAGCAGCCCACGACCAGGAGACCCCACACCCTCATCATCATCATCATCTGTCTGTGTGACCAGCGAGACGACCAGCGAGACGACCAGCGAGACGACCAGCGAGACCAGCTACATGTGCAGTGCTATCAGTAAGCTCTTATCGGACGCACACAAGGTTCATCCACTGACAAGGAAATAGTAAAATAATTGTTTAAAATATATGGCTTATTTTATCATTTTAATTGCCATGTGAGTAACAGGTGGTCACAGACTAGGCCATTGCTTTGGCTCTCGGTCCAAACAAGTCAAAAGTAGGGAAGAATAAGGCATAATAAAACATTTCTAAAACATTTCTAAAGGATAGTTATTCAGGACGACTGCATTTCCATACCCCCACTGAAAGATCTCAGCTCCTGTGGACTCAGCACCTGCAGGAAGATCAGTGAGGGGCTGGTGCTCTGTGACTGGGTGCAGCTCTGACTGACGCCCCCCGGACCCAGAAATGGATTGAGGGGAAGAAAATGGATGGATGGATGCATTTCCATACTGTTATCACCGTTTAAGGTCTTGGCAAATTGTAAATACTAATCATTGCACACACTTGGTGCAAAGCGTCTGTAAACTATACTGCTGTAGCCGCAGTTGCCCTGGGCCCGACTGATGGATGTGTGGCAACTAATCTGAGTCATAGGCCCCTCTGTCTACCACCAATGATTTAATCACATCAGACTAGAAAAAAGTACACTTCAATATCACGCCCTAGTACTTTAGTAGTAGTAGGAGTAGTAGTAGTTCTTCTAGTATTGCTATTCAGACGTCCGGATGTAGATTTGCTGAATAGTCGGGTTTGTCACGTGCTGGGAAGGATGAGGACCCAAAATTGCAGGAATGCCAAAAAAAAGTAATTTAATGATGAATTAAAAAAAAGTGCAGATGAAAACAAACTCAAAAATCCCAAAACACAAGGAACAAGGAACAGGGCAGAATGGACCAGCAACATGTGGAGAGGAGCACATGTAGACACAGAGAGACAGAGGTGAAACACATCAGGGCGGGGCAGACAATCAAGACAGGGGGAAAACAGGACAGGAACAACTAAAAACCAAATCACAGAACCAATTTCAAAATAAAACAAAAATACAAAAATAAAACCCACACCATGACAGGGTTCAGAGTTTTAAAGTGTCAGTGTGAGGAATTGGTTCTGATCTATTCAAACAGGTTCAAATCAATTTATTTTTGCTCGGCCCAAAGTCACAACAGTCATCTCAAAACACTTAACAATATTGTTTATTTAATAGTAAACAATTTGAACGTTCATGGGTCAATAAAGATAATTCTAGAACATTAAAAACGAGCCAGAACCTCGCTGGGGTAGACTTGGAGTCCGTGTAGAGTCTGTGGAAACATGGGCGGGGCAGTGCTACTGGAGGTTTCTGTCTCAGGGGTTACTGAGACAAAAGTAATGTCTGAGGTATTAATAATTATACTGTCAGAATCTACTCCCAGAGAAAGATGTGGCTGTGACGCTTTGGCTTGTGTTTAATTATTGTCTTTCTCTTCCTGAAGTTCTACAGCCTCCTCCTGCATCTCCCTCCTCTCCTCCTTCCTCAACATCTCATCCTCATTATGCAGGGATTCTCTCTCTACAGCTTCTACGCTCATCTCCACAGACGCTGCAGGATCTGAGCGCTTGGTTTTGATGCAGAGGAAGTTTCCCAGAGCCAAGAGGAGGGCGGAGAGGGTGACTTCTGCTCCCGCCAGCAGAAATGCATGCATGTATTGATGAGTGGCATCCAGCAGACGACCTGCAAGACACAGGGAAAGTTGAGATTATCTACCACAAAGCTACCACCTCAAAAAGCCCTCCCTGGCCTGTCTGGATCTGTGTGGACTTTCACACCTTCACCCGCCTTTTTACCGTTACATTTCTCCACCGGAAACATTATTATGAATCCTAATGGGGAAGATTAACCTCACAGAGCCACCTGGAAGTTTAGTCTCAGTTTCTCTCAGTTTTTTCAGGTTTTTTTCAGACAGAACAAAGTCAGGATATGGCTTCTATAGTCAATGTGGCACACATCGAAAGACAAACGTGTCATATCTAGAGACACAATCTGGCTGCCCATCAAACACAGAATACAGTACAAACTCTGCCTCCTCACATATCAATGCACACACGGAACTGCCCCTGCCTACCTCAGTGAACTCCTAACACCACACACCGCCTCTCGAAGTCTCCGTTCAACCACCTCCTCCCACTGCCTGCACCAACCCAGGACCAAACTCTCCACCATGGGAGATAGGGCCTTTCAGGCAGTAGCCCCCCGGCTCTGGAATGCCCTCCCAGAAACCCTCAGGGCCCCACAAAGTGTGGAGGCTTTTAAGAAAGGTCTAAAGACATTTCTATTCAAACAGGCCTTCTAGATATGTACAGTAATTATGTTTTTATTTTTTCCTGATGTTATATTTGATGTATTGTTTTTATGTTGTGTATCTTGGGGATGTTCCCTGTTTTTGTAGCACTCTGAGGTTTCCCTGAAATGTAAAGTGCATTATAAATAAAATGTATTATTATTATTATTATTACACAATCGCAGCAGATACACACTGGTTGTTGTGACCTACGAAAGGCCAGATGACTTGTATAGCTATCTCATTCCCATTCTAATCCTACTGTTCCTGACCTGCTCCAGGCGGTCCCACCAGCACCGCCATGGCCTCCATCAGCAGCACCAGCCCAATGGCACTGGCGAACTTCTCTGTCCCAACCAGAGCCATGAGAACCTCAAACTGCAGAGCTCCCACCATCCCATAGGAGATGCCGAAGAAGATACAGAAGACCACCAGACCATTGTATGTATTGGCCTGCAAAAGAGAGATAATAAACCTTTCGTTAAGAACACTTTGTGAATTAAACACATATACAAAGATTCTCTATTCAATTTAATAGACTTTTATTTAACCAGGCAATTTCAGAATCTAATAATAAGATTTTAGGAAACTGAAAGAGACACAGGGAGAACATGCAAGCTCATTTCTGGAAAGACTCGCCGACCGGGATTCAAACCCAGGGGCTTCTTGTTGGTTCTGTACTTTTAATCTTGTTTTATTTATGTACTTGTCTTGTGCACACTGGGGACTTTTGCAACTGTACTCCACTGTGGTTTTACTGCAAATGGCAAATACATGAATCTGAATCTGAAGCTATAGATCTCTAGAACAGCTGTCTTCAACCTTTTTCACCCAGAGAGCTACTTTCCCGGGACGATAAAGGCAGAGAGCTACTCCTTTCCTTTTTTCCCGGGAAAAATTGTATGATATTTTGGTGTGAATGAGGCTCATATTGTGTACAGTCATTAATCATCACTGCATATTTGTCTGACGTATTTGTCTGAAACAAACTTCCCTCTATTCGACTGGGTATTACTAGAGAACAAAACTAGCTTGAGACCAACTTATTTTTACTGATGAAAGTAGACAGTCCAGTCTTTCAGTGGGTCTCGAAAATCAGTGAAATCATCAAAACCGGCTGGCAGTCAATGAGTTAAGATTAAAAGATCGTTTAATCGTCCCACAGCGGGGAAATATCATGTGATGTGTTCATTTCTAAATCCTTTGGCGAGCTACAGGTTGGAGACCCCTGCTCTAGAAGCTAACCACTCAGCCACCCTCACCATAGCATGCTCTGTGAATGGACCCACCTGGGAGCAGATGAGGTCCGTGCAGCCGTTGAAGAGCATGGCAAAGCTGAAGAGGTAAACACAGCGTGGTCTCACCCACTTCGTTCCTGCGACCAGTCCGCAGGCGGGACGTGCAAACATATCCACCAGCCCCAGAATGGTCAGCAGCAGAGCCGACTTCGTGTCCTCATAGTTCAGACTTTTGGCGTAGTTCACCACAAACACCGGTGGCACAAACAACCCCAGGACCAAAGTGGAGGCCGCCACGGTGTAGATGACAAACCCTCGGTCCTTGAACACACTGAAGTCCAGCAGCTTCCTTTTTGTCGGGGCCTTCTCTGTTTCTAGCTCCCTGTTCTTCTTTGGGGGCAGCAGCGGCCTCATCAGAGCTCCACAGGCACAGCAGTTAAGCAGCAGACCCCCCAGGATGAGAAAGCCCCCCCTCCAGCCGTACTGATGCTGAAAGAACTGCCCGAGAGGAGAGAGGCAGCACAGGGCGACCGGGCTGCCCGCCGCCGCCAGCCCGTTGGCCAGAGGACGTTTCTCGTTGAAGTAGACATTGAGCATTATGAGAGAGGGCTGGAAGTTCAGAGCCAGACCCAGGCCTGAGGAGACACACGTTTACATTTACATACGTGTTAGAAACATGTTTATTTCACATCATATTCATTTCACTGTATTCTTGTATATTCCTAAATCACAACAGCAGTGATCTCAGAGGACACAGATCAGAGAATAATAATAATAATAATAATCTTATTTATAATGCACCTTACATTTCCAGATAACCTCAGTTATCATATTTAAGACACAAAAACTATAGAACACATGGTATTGGACCATAGGGAGAGAACACATGGTATTGGACCATAGGGAGAGAACACTTGGTACTGGACCATAGGGAGAGAACACATGGTATTGGACCATAGGGAGTGACTACATGGTACTGGACCATAGGGAGAGACCACATGGTACTGGACCATAGGGAGAGAACACATGATATTGGACCCTAGAGAGAGAACACATGGTACTGGACCATAGGGAGAGACCACATGGTACTGGACCATAGTGAGAGAACACATGGTACTGGACCATAGTGAGAGAACACATGGTACTGGACCATAGGGAGAGAACACATGGTACTGGACCATAGGGAGAGAACACATGGTATTGGACCATAGGGAGAGAACACATGGTACTGGACCATAGGGAGAGAACACATGGTACTGGACCACAGGGAGAGAACACATGGTATTGGACCATAGGGAGAGAACACATGGTACTGGACCATAGGGAGAGAACACATGGTACTGGACCATAGGGAGATAACACATGGTACTGGACCATAGGGAGAGAACACATGGTATTGGACCATAGGGAGAGAACACATGGTACTGGACCATAGGGAGAGAACACATGGTACTGGACCATAGGGAGAGAACACATGGTACTGGACCATAGGGAGAGACCACATGGTACTGGACCATAGGGAGAGAACACATGATATTGGACCCTAGAGAGAGAACACATGGTACTGGACCATAGGGAGAGACCACATGGTACTGGACCATAGGGAGAGAACACTTGGTATTGGACCACAGGGAGAGAACACATGGTATTGGACCATAGGGAGAGAACACATGATACTGGACCATAGGGAGAGAACACTTGGTATTGGACCACAGGGAGAGAACACATGGTATTGGACCATAGGGAGAGAACACTTGGTATTGGACCATAGGGAGAGAACACTTGGTATTGGACCATAGGGAGAGAACACATGGTATTGGACCATAGGGAGTGACTACATGGTACTGGATCATAGGGAGAGAACACATGGTACTGGACCATAGGGAGAGAACACATGGTACAGGAACATAGGGAGAGAACACATGGTACTGGACCACAGGGAGAGAACACATGGTATTGGACCATAGGGAGAGAACACTTGGTATTGGACCATAGGGAGAGAACACTTGGTATTGGACCATAGGGAGAGAACACATGGTATTGGACCATAGGGAGTGACTACATGGTACTGGATCATAGGGAGAGAACACATGGTACTGGACCATAGGGAGAGAACACATGGTACAGGAACATAGGGAGAGAACACATGGTATTGGACCATAGGGAGAGAACACATGGTATTGGACCATAGGGAGAGAACACATGGTACTGGACCATAGGGAGAGAACACATGGTATTGGACCATAGGGAGAGAACACATGGTATTGGACCATAGGGAGAGAACACATGGTACTGGACCATAGGGAGAGAACACATGGTACTGGACCATAGGGAGAGAACACATGGTATTGGACCATAGGGAGAGACCACATGGTACTGGACCATAGGGAGAGAACACATGGTACTGGACCATAGGGAGAGAACACATGGTACTGGACCATAGGGAGAGAACACATGGTATTGGACCATAGGGAGAGAACACATGGTACTGGACCATAGGGAGAGAACACATGGTACTGGACCATAGGGAGAGAACACTAGGTACTGGACCATAGGGAGAGACCACATGGTACTGGACCATAGGGAGAGAACACATGATATTGGACCCTAGAGAGAGAACACATGGTACTGGACCATAGGGAGAGACCACATGGTACTGGACCATAGGGAGAGAACACATGATACTGGACCATAGGGAGAGAACACTTGGTATTGGACCACAGGGAGAGAACACATGGTATTGAGAACACTTGGTATTGGACCATAGGGAGAGAACACTTGGTATTGGACCATAGGGAGAGAACACATGGTATTGGACCATAGGGAGTGACTACATGGTACTGGATCATAGGGAGAGAACACATGGTACTGGACCATAGGGAGAGAACACATGGTACAGGAACATAGGGAGAGAACACATGGTACTGGACCATAGGGAGAGAACACATGGTATTGGACCATAGGGAGAGAACACATGGTATTGGACCATAGGGAGAGACCACATGGTACTGGACCATAGGGAATGACCACATGGCTTTGGACCATAGGGAGAGACCACATGGTACTGGACCATAGGGAGAGAACACATGGTACTGGACCATAGGGAGAGACCACATGATATTGGACCATAGGGAGAGAACACATGGTACTGGACCACAGGGAGAGAACACATGGTATTGGACCATAGGGAGAGAACACATGATATTGGACCATAGGGAGAGACCACATGGTACTGGACCATAGGGAGAGAACACATGGTACTGGACCATAGGGAGAGACCACATGGTACTGGACCATAGGGAGAGACCACATGATATTGGACCATAGGGAGAGACCACATGGTACTGGACCATAGGGAGAGAACACATGGTATTGAACCATGGGGAGAGACCAACGTCCATGAGTGTTGATAAATGTCCACATGTTGTAGAATGTAGAGTGGGTGTATTTAAGCATCTTGCAGCTGTGGACGTGACCAGGGCCAATTCCAACCTATCGTACGGTTATGTTTCAAAAGGATAAAGAAATCATTGAGCTCAAATTGTGAAATGTTTGCTTAGTTCAGGACATGTGGCAACGTCTTTGCAGAGAAAGTGTTGTATAATGTCGTGGCTATTGTTATTCTCACCTGTTATCATTCCTGTGCACACATAGATGTGGATGATGCTGGTGGCGAACGAGGCCAGAATCATTCCCAGAGAAGCCAGGAGACCCCCCACCATCATGACAGGCCGGCAGCCATATCTGTTGACCAGCACCGTGCACAGAGGGCCTGGAGACCACGGTAATGCACATCAAAGGGATCAGTTAAAACAGGGGTGTCCAAACATTTTAGTAAGAGGCCACTTTAGTTCACCAGACTAGTCCAGGGTCCGACGTCACTGACTGAAAAATACGGACTGGCATCGGGCTGTTCTGAGCTTTTTAAATGATCAATAACAGAGCTGGAGTTGGCTGAATGACACATGTTTACCATCTCACCAGCTCACAAATCAGCGACTGAATTCCAGACGTACTGGGCTTTAGAATGAGATACGTCTATATTGGCTGAGATGAAGTTGGATGGATGACACAGTGAACTTGTGTTTATGATCTCTAAGACTACTTTGGGTTAGCGAGGCAGAGGGCCACATACAATGACACTGAGGGCCGCGATTGGCCCCAGGGCTGACTTAAAAGGTCCAACCTTAATGTTAACATTATCTTCTCTAAAGAAATCATAATTTGGGATTCAACATCGTGTCCTTAGGTGCTCAGAGACACACACAGCATTCACTACATGGTAAACTACACTGGTCTATAGCTACAGCTGCCCTGGGGCAAATTGATAGAAGCAAGGCAATCTGTGCTATTGGCCCACTGCCAGAGACTGCTCCATCACAAAAACTCAGTCATGGGTTTGACTACCGCCTGTCCATGGGATCAGATCTCTCTTTCACTCAGGTTTTCTCAAAGGTTTTTTATTTGCTGAAGGAGCACATACTCCCATTTGCTCAGACTTCCTGTGAACCTTGGGTAATCTGTTTGCATTATTTGTTTGATTTTTGCCAATACATGTGTTTTCTTTGTTGTCTATTACTAAAGGCAGTGTACAGTACCTGTGCCATACAGCATGGCCAACAGAATGGAGGAGATCCAAGCCATGTCACTGTAGCCCACACCAAACTCATGGATCAGCTCCTTGAAAAACACACTGACTGCTTTGGGGAAGGCGTAGGAGAAGCCTGTAATGACGAAGCAGCCCAGGAGCACTGCCCAGCCCCAGCCACCATCCGGAGCCTTGACTCCCGGGGGCCCCACATCCACCGCTGCACCTCCCATTTCCCTTCTGAATCCTGCAACAGCATTATCACAGCAGAGAACAACATACAACAGAATCTTAGTTATTTCAATGCACTTTACGATTTAAATGAATGTAGAGCAGAATGAGTATGAAACAATAAACAATAGTGAAAATAGAAGATGTCGATTTGCAAAGACAAGAGTATATAAATAGTAAATAGAAAAACAAAGAACATGTGAGGTAATTTTCCATCAAAGACCCTGGTCCTACCTGATGTTCTGCGACCTCAGCATCTCTGGCAGGTGAACAGCAGAGTTTTATCAAGTGTGTGTCACGCCCCCTTCTCTCCCTCAGTCTCTGCTGGTCAAATGGGAACATTATATACTTCTCACACAAATCGCTCATCACCTCTACTTAAGTCCTTTTTAGTTCGAACTAGACACAAAAATACAATGTAAAAATGTAAAAGAAATCAAATTATCTTTTTCTTTGTATCCCTTGCTTTTTTCACCCCATTTTTGTTTTGTATACACTTCTCTATTATATTTGTGAATTTCTATCTGTATTTATTGAATTGTAAAAAATAAATAAATAAAACAAAACCGTCTCTAAAGCGGAACCATTGCGCACGGTTGAGCGGGGACTCATTTCTAGGACGCACCGTTGCCCTAACGACTGCAAACTGTTCTTAATAATCATGAAAGTGTCAAATAAATGAGGCCAAAGTCAAGAGGCAAAGGTAAGGCATTTGGTAAGAACCACAGGAACCCGAAAATGTCTCTTTAAGTGGTTATGAACCAGGTTTTTGTTTCTTAAATACTGTTTTGTAGTATATGCATGTCATAACAATATACAGTCTATGGTCATAACAATGTACAGTCTATGGTCATAATAATATACAGTCTATGGTCATAACAATGTACAGTCTATGGTCATAACAATATACAGTCTATGGTCATAACAATGTACAGTCTATGGTCATAACAATATACAGTCTATGGTCATAACAATGTACAGTCTATGGTCATAACAATATACAGTCTATGGTCATAACAATGTACAGTCTATGGTCATAACAATATACAGTCTATGGTCATAACAATGTACAGTCTATGGTCATAACTAGTGATAACTGTTTGGTCTCTAGGTTAAATTTATGTTATTATATATTATTTCATGGTTTAGAAATGTGTTTTTTTTTACTTATTATTTTTACGACTTGCTTTTAAACCCAAATATCTGTATTTGTACTCCTTACAATATTAAAATAAGTATAGTTACTGTGCATAAAGAAGTGGCCTCTAAGTTCCTTCTAGTATACTTGTTATACTTCCACCACCTCAGCTGAAATCTAGTTTAAAGATGAAGAGATCTTTTATTCGTCCCACTGTGGGGAAATATCAGTGTTGAAACATTCTACAGAACAGTAGAATGAGGAGCACACAGCACAACATAAATGAACAATAACTCTAAAATAAGATCTCTAACTCTAGCATCAAAGAAACAAGTATAAAATCTCTATCTTTAACATAATAGAGAAGTATAAACTCTACATGTGGCCGAATAAGAAGCAAAAAGTATTTTCTCACATATGAAGTTGTCACAGTGGTTCTAGCCTTAGCCATCCGCACACTCCGCTCTGCATGTAACCAAATGTATTTTGTACTATGGTGTGGTACGACCAGGCTACAGTGGTTCTGAACTTTCACTCAAAACTATAATATCTGGGCTTGTTCGCACTAAAGGGCACAAAAGTGTGACAAAAGGCCAAAAATTAGATTTTAATAATCAGAAGATATTTTATGTTTTTCATGTTTCCAACACCTCCTCTGTCCATTAGAAGTTTCTAGAACAAAACTGTTTTATACATTAGACAAGTTTCCTACAGCGCCCTGTTTATTTTATGTAACGGACGATGATTTGACAGAATGAGCTTTGTGGAAGTTTGATGGTATTTTCAGATGTCCACATTTGATTCAGATTCTATTTTTTTACACAAAGTAGATGCAAAGTTATACTTTCATATTGTCAACCAATTAAATCTGAAAACAGACCAGATTTTTTTTTTCACAAGTTAAATTTTTAGAGAAAAGAGGACTGTCCTCATCACGTCCATTATACATTTTTCAGGGGTCATTTAATTAATTAATTAATCTTTATTTTTTCACGATTCCTTTTTATATCAAGTGATTTCCTTCTGTTGTGTTAACCATATAAATATTGTGGGATTTCATCTTCTGCTTTTTCAGACTGAGGACGTTTTATTTCCTATGTAACTGGCGTCGCAGTAGAATGGGCCAATCAGAGGCTGCTTTGGTCGTTTAAAATGTTGCTAAAAATTTTATGTCAATCTTTCCTTTTGATTTTTTCCACACTATCTCTTCAATGTGTCTGTGTTTGAAATCTTTTTTCCAATCTACGAAAGTAATTTTAGTTTTTAAGTTATAACCTTTTAAAGTCCAGATACTTCAATTGTCACTTTACTGTGAACACACTCATATATATTTTATAGAGAGAGAGAGAGAATGTACAAATCCATCTGTTTTTCCCTGATCATGTGTTTGTTGCTTTGTATTTTTACATTGACAGTGGCTGTAACCTCGCTCCCCCAACATTTAGATTGTTGATAGAAAAAAACTCTCTTTCTTTTCCGAAACCAGTGTCATGTGTGTGTTTCTGTGGGATAAAGGTGGAGATGGAGCCTGACACCTGCCAACATTGTGCTTCAGAGACCCACCGCCTGGAGCTGAGTCTCAGAACAGTCCAGAGCCAGTACTCTTCTCTCAGGTACAAAGGGCACATTGTGGACAGTGGACACTTTGGTGCTTTCATATCTCCCCAAAAGAGGCCAAATTATCCCAGATGTGTCTGAGTGACCTTCATTGGAGGCACTTCATTGTCCCGGGGAACAGTGGATATTTGTGAATGTTTTGAAATGTGTTTCAGGATTGAGCGTGTGCTTGGTCAAAAGCTGCTCGATACGTTATCAGGAAATACTCAAAACTGAGATTCCACTGTGGGATTTACATGGTGGGGGTCAGCCTGTGGGCCTGGTGGGGGTCAGCTACTGTACATGCCACTGTGGGATTTACATGGGGGGGGGTCAGCCTGTGGGCCTGGGGGGGGTCAGCTACATGCCACTGTGGGATTTACATGGGGGGGGGGTCAGCCTGTGGGCCTGGGTCAGCTACATGCCACGGTGGGATTTACATGGGGGGGGGGTCAGCCTGTGGGCCTGGGTCAGCTACATGCCACGGTGGGATTTACATGGTGGGGGTCAGCCTGTGGGCCTGGGGGGGGTCAGCCTGTGGGCCTGGGTCAGCTACATGCTACACGCTAAGGTAAATGAAGCATGTATATTTCTCCACTGTGTGATCGCTGATAAACCCAGTATAATAGATCCATGTGATAAACGCACATGGTGAGACTTGGTTGGATGATTAATACAAAAATATGTTTATGAACAATTGTAAGATTAGGATTAAAACAGTGGAGCTTTTCAGTGTTGCATCACAAAGTTTCAGAACAGGAGCACAATGAGGAGCACAAGACAAGATTAATGAAATAAAATCTATATCTTTGTCTTAACTCATCGACTGCCAGTGACGTATTTGTCTGAGACTGGTGATTTCTGTCAAACTTCCCTCTATTCGACGGAGGATTATAGGAGAACAAAACTAGCAAGACACAAACTTATTTTTGCTGATGAAAGTAGACAATTCAGTCTTTCAGAATCTGGTTTCATTTTTTACATAGTCATAGCACACAATATTCTGTGGGCCTTTAAAATCAGTGAAATCATCAAAAACGGCAGCAGTCAATGAAGTTAGTATACTCCAGTGCAAAGAAATATACACTTTATAGATCAGTCTGTAAAATACTGTAGTGCAAGAATACTTAAGTCATATTCTGACCTTTGCGGTTACACAGTGGTGGCCTGTGTAATAACACTGTATTGCTGGTATGTTTTAATGTATATATTTTCAGGACTCAATTCCAACGGCTCAGAGGAGACTTTAAGCATAACTTGGATGTTTTGGCCGAGCGAGAACAGGAACTACACAGATATGACGTCCTCAAATCACAGGACAGCAGCAGTCAATGGTTGGTCTTTTGTCTCTTTGGAAGTGCTTTTGGGAACTCCTTTTCTTAAGTATTCTCTGGGACTATGCCCAATTTAGCCACAAGAGGCCACAACTCACACACATACACATTATAAGAAAGTGCTGAGTGGACATATTAGTACCTGCTGTGTGTTTCATTTGTGACCAGGGTTCAGAGATGTCCTGATGAGAACCATAAGCAACAGCTCAAGGAAATGCACCAAGCCATGTCCAGACTACAGCGAGACCTGGGCAGTCTGTCCGCTCAGACGGCATCTCTGGAGACACAACAGCAGGAGCAGCTGCAGGGGAGAGACCTCATCATAGACAGGTGTGGCTGGAGACTGCAGGAGAGAGACCTCATCATAGACAGGTGTGGCTGGAGACTGCAGAGGAGAGACCTCATCATAGACAGGTGTGGCTGGAGACTGCAGGGGAGAGATCTCATCATAGACAGGTGTGGCTGGAGACTGCAGGGGAGAGACCTCATCATAGACAGGTGTGGCTGGAGACTGCAGGAGAGAGATCTCATCATAGACAGGTGTGGCTGGAGACTGCAGGGGAGAGACCTCATCATAGACAGGTGTGGCTGGAGACTGCAGGAGAGAGACCTTATCATAGACAGGTGTGGCTGGAGACTGCAGGAGAGAGACCTCATCATAGACAGGTGTGGCTGGAGACTGCAGGGGAGAGATCTCATCATAGACAGGTGTGGCTGGAGACTGCAGGGGAGAGATCTCATCATAGACAGGTGTGGCTGGAGACTGCAGGAGAGAGACCTTATCATAGACAGGTGTGGCTGGAGACTGCAGGAGAGAGACCTCATCATAGACAGGTGTGGCTGGAGACTGCAGGGGAGAGACCTCATCATAGACAGGTGTGGCTGGAGACTGCAGGGGAGAGATCTCATCATAGACAGGTGTGGCTGGAGACTGCAGGAGAGAGACCTCATCATAGACAGGTGTGGCTGGAGACTGCAGGAGAGAGACCTCATCATAGACAGGTGTGGCTGGAGACTGCAGGAGAGAGACCTCATCATAGACAGGTGTGGCTGGAGACTGCAGGAGAGAGACCTCATCATAGACAGGTGTGGCTGGAGACTGCAGGAGAGAGACCTCATCATAGACAGGTGTGGCTGGAGACTGCAGGGGAGAGACCTCATCATAGACAGGTGTGGCTGGAGACTGCAGGAGAGAGATCTCATCATAGACAGGTGTGGCTGGAGACTGCAGGAGAGAGACCTCATCATAGACAGGTGTGGCTGGAGACTGCAGGGGAGAGACCTCATCATAGACAGGTGTGGCTGGAGACTGCAGGAGAGAGATCTCATCATAGACAGGTGTGGCTGGAGACTGCAGGGGAGAGACCTCATCATAGACAGGTGTGGCTGGAGACTGCAGGAGAGAGACCTCATCATAGACAGGTGTGGCTGGAGACTGCAGGGGAGAGATCTCATCATAGACAGGTGTGGCTGGAGACTGCAGGAGAGAGACCTCATCATAGACAGGTGTGGCTGGAGACTGCAGGGGAGAGACCTCATCATAGACAGGTGTGGCTGGAGACTGCAGGGGAGAGACCTCTTCATAGACAGGTGTGGCTGGAGACTGCAGGGGAGAGACCTCATCATAGACAGGTGTGGCTGGAGACTGCAGGAGAGAGACCTCATCATAGACAGGTGTGGCTGGAGACTGCAGGGGAGAGACCTCATCATAGACAGGTGTGGCTGGAGACTGCAGGGGAGAGACCTCATCATAGACAGGTGTGGCTGGAGACTGCAGGGGAGAGATCTCATCATAGACAGGTGTGGCTGGAGACTGCAGGGGAGAGACCTCATCATAGACAGGTGTGGCTGGAGACTGCAGGAGAGAGACCTCATCATAGACAGGTGTGGCTGGAGACTGCAGGAGAGAGACCTCATCATAGACAGGTGTGGCTGGAGACTGCAGGGGAGAGACCTCATCATAGACAGGTGTGGCTGGAGACTGCAGGGGAGAGATCTCATCATAGACAGGTGTGGCTGGAGACTGCAGGAGAGAGACCTCATCATAGACAGGTGTGGCTGGAGACTGTCATCATAGACAGGTGTGGCTGGAGACTGCAGGAGAGAGACCTCATCATAGACAGGTGTGGCTGGAGACTGCAGGAGAGAGACCTCATCATAGACAGGTGTGGCTGGAGACTGCAGGGGAGAGACCTCATCATAGACAGGTGTGGCTGGAGACTGCAGGGGAGAGACCTCATCATAGACAGGTGTGGCTGGAGACTGCAGGGGAGAGACCTCATCATAGACAGGTGTGGCTGGAGACTGCAGGGGAGAGACCTCATCATAGACAGGTGTGGCTGGAGACTGCAGGAGAGAGACCTCATCATAGACAGGTGTGGCTGGAGACTGCAGGGGAGAGACCTCATCATAGACAGGTGTGGCTGGAGACTGCAGGGGAGAGACCTCATCATAGACAGGTGTGGCTGGAGACTGCAGGAGAGAGACCTCATCATAGACAGGTGTGGCTGGAGACTGCAGGGGAGAGATCTCATCATAGACAGGTGTGGCTGGAGACTGCAGGAGAGAGACCTCATCATAGACAGGTGTGGCTGGAGACTGCAGGGGAGAGACCTCATCATAGACAGGTGTGGCTGGAGACTGCAGGAGAGAGACCTCATCATAGACAGGTGTGGCTGGAGACTGCAGGGGAGAGACCTCATCATAGACAGGTGTGGCTGGAGACTGCAGGGGAGAGACCTCTTCATAGACAGGTGTGGCTGGAGACTGCAGGGGAGAGACCTCATCATAGACAGGTGTGGCTGGAGACTGCAGGAGAGAGACCTCATCATAGACAGGTGTGGCTGGAGACTGCAGGGGAGAGACCTCATCATAGACAGGTGTGGCTGGAGACTGCAGGGGAGAGACCTCATCATAGACAGGTGTGGCTGGAGACTGCAGGGGAGAGACCTCATCATAGACAGGTGTGGCTGGAGACTGCAGGAGACATGTCTGTGTTGTTAACGTGTTGCTTCTAGGGCCAAAAACAGATGTAAACAAAGTAAGTAAGTAAGTAATCTTTATTTATATACCGCCTTTTCACTGCACATCGGAGTCTCAAAGCGGTTTACAATTGTTATTTTTGGGAGTGGGGGTCGCCAGTACAGGAGGCACATGCCAGACTTATTGTACATATTTTTAGTGGTAGGGGAAACCAGAGCACCCGGAGGAAACCTACGCAGACACGGGGAGAACATGCAAACTCCACTCAGAAAGGCCCTGGTCCAACCGGGATTTGAACCCAGGACCTTCTTGCTGAGAGGCGAGAGTGCTATCCACTCAGCCACCGTGCCGCCCAAAGCACAAATAAGATTTAATCGACAGAGTGTTGTGAGAACTTGCTCTAAAATCACTGGAGGAAAACTCAGACCTTCACTCTCTGTGGGAGGAAAGCAAAATGTATTCTGGCTCAGCCCAAACATCCTCTGATCGCTGACTTTGTGTTGATGCCTTCAGGAAGTTGTTTTTAATGCTCCAGCCCAGAAAAGAAAACGTTTTTTTTTTATTCTTTTGTGCCCTCAGCCATAAAACTGATGAACTCTGGTCGAGGTGTGTGACTTTGGGAATTGTGTTGTTCAGTGTGGTTTTTAACTCATATTGTTATGTGTGTGTGCGTGTAGTATGTGTGTGTGTGTGTGTGTTTGTGTAGTATGTGTGTGTGTGTGTTTGTGAAGAGTCTGTGTGTGTGTGTTTGTGTAGTGTATGTGTGTGTGTGTTTGTGTAGAGTATGTATGTGTGTGTGTTTGTGAAGAGTCTGTGTGTGTGTGTGTGTGTGTGTGTGTGTGTTTGTGTAGTGTTTGTGTAGTGTGTGTGTGTGTTTGTGTAGAGTATTTGTGTGTGTGATTGTGTAGAGTGTATGTGTGTGTGTGTGTTTGTGTAGAGTGTGTGTGTGTGTGTGTAGAGTGTGTGTGTGTGTGTGTTTGTGTAGACTGTGTGTGTGTGTTTGTGTGTGTGTTTGTGTAGAGTGTATGTGTGTGTGTGTTTGTGCAGGGTGTGTGTGTGTTTGTGTAGAGTCTGTGTGTGTGTTTGTGTAGAGTGTGTGTTTGTGCAGAGTGTATGTGTGTGTGTGTTTGTGAAGAGTCTGTGTGTGTGTGTTTGTGTAAAGTATGTGTGTGTGTTTGTGCAGAGTGTATGTGTGTGTGTTTGTGTAGAGTATGTGTGTGTGTTTGTGTAGAGTGTGTGTGTATGTGTGCAGAGTATGTGTGTGTGTGTTTGTGTAGAGTGTGTGTGTGTGTGTGTTTGTGCAGAGTGTGTGTGTGTGTTTGTGCAGAGTGTGTGTGTGTGTTTGTGCAGAATGTGTGTGTGAGTTTGTGTAGAATGTGTGTGTGTTTGTGCAGAGTGTGTGTGTGTTTGTGTAGAATGTGTGTGTTCTGCTTTGAGTTCATGCTGCAAACAAATTGTCCTTTGGGATCAATAACGTTTTCTGAATCTGAATCTGAATCTGAATCTGAATCTGATCTTATGTGTTCAGGTACAAGAAAGAGCTCGGTGCAGGTTTGGAGCGAGAGAAAGACTTGGAGCAGAGACTGGTGCAGATGGAACTGGAGTGGGAGAAGAAGAGTGCGCAGATCCAAAGTAAACATTATCTGGACCATGAGCGGCTCATTTATGAACTTACTGCAGCGAGAGACAATGTGAGTATTCTGCACTGTTGTCCAATCCTGTTGTCCAATCCTGTTGTCCAATCCTGTTGTCCAATCCTGTTGTCCAATCCTGTTGTCCAATCCTGTTGTCCAATCCTGTTGTCCAATCCTGTTGTCCAATCCTGTTGTCCAATCCTGTTGTCCAATCCTGTTGTCCAATCCTGTTGTCCAATCCTGTTGTCCAATCCTGTTGTCCAATCCTGCGCCACATTGGCCTGAGTGGTCCAATCCTGCGCCACATTGGCCTGAGTGGTCCAATCCTGCGCCACATTGGCCTGAGTGGATCATTTAGACTTGAAGCCGCTGTGGAGTTTTTTAAGATAAGAAACGAGATCCTTTATCCGGGAAATTTGAATTGTCTTTTTGTGTTTGTCCACTAAACCAACATGTTCTGGCTCAAAGCCCACTCCCAATACATTACTGTTGGAAGACTCACAATTTGACCTAAATTCCTTGGACAGGACAGTTCCGTGGCTGTGTGGGTTTCTCTCATGCAGCACGACAAAGAGGTTAGGGGTTTGATCCTGGCCTTTCTCTGTAGAGTTCTCTGTGTCTGGTGAGCACTCCATCAAAATCATGCACCAAAAGTAAAATCTCCGGTATTTCTGACCAAGTGGTTTTGTGTGAAAGTTAATATGGGAAAAGTATGGGAGAAAAATATATGGTAGAATTTTACAGTATATGCTCAAAGGCGTTGTGAATAATGCATTTGTTTACTGAATACTAGCCTGTAAACATTAACATTTCTAATAAACACAGTTGGTACAATCTCAACCAATGAAGTAGGCAGTCGGCACACAAGTATACAAGTACATGAAGTTAAGGTCTTGCTAAAAAAAGTCTGGATTTTTTATTTGGAAAACTAGCAAGCACCCTGATGTATGAATGCATGTATCCTTGTAAGTTCCCAACAAGGATATAATATTGTGACTTTCTATAATTTCAGGCAAATGCAGAGTTAGTGGAGACAAAGATAAAAGTCCAGGAGCAGACAGTGTTACTGCAGTGTGTCACAAAAGAGCGGGATCTGGCTTTACAGGTGAGAGCAATGGTCTTGGCTTTCATCTCATTGTATTATTGATAGATCTGTATTTACCAAATGTAAAATATAAAATCTCTGTTTATAAAGGGATGCAACACAGACACTGGATTTGTAGCTTCTGAGGAAATGACGGCCCTAAAGCAGCAGAACTATCGGCTGCAGACTGTCGTGAGTGAAATGAGGAAACAGATGGAGGAGCTCAGCTGCACTACTCCGCCTCGACCACCAGGTGGCGTAGTTATAACAGCATCTAACATGTTCTATACACATTCATTCTTTGTAAAATATGAATACATTTGACTCATTATGGCTCATGTACAGTTATCTGTTTTTACTTATTACGTTTCTCTGGGTTAGAATCTGAAAATAATGTGACTAAAGAAGTGGAGAAAAAATATGTTCAGAATTTGGATCCAAAAGTCACCAGAGTAAATGAAAAGGTGAATTTTATTTCATTACTGTAAAAAACTGTCCTGTTCCGGTGATGCAAGACCGTACCCCAAAATGCTCAGAATTTGGTGCAGCAAGGTTCACAGATGTCTCTTTCCTTCAGAGCCCAAAGTTCACAAGTGTGTGTTCTTGTGGCCGTGCGAGTGGAGAAAAGTCTCTATCGTCTCAGCTGCGCTCGAGGCTGAAGCAGGCAGCTCTGTGCATCGCTCGCCTGAACAGGGACCGCCAGCAGCTGATAGAGCTGTGTAACCGTCTGCGGGCTCAAGTCTGCGCTGCTGAACCTCTGCAGAGTCACAGTAACACTGGACAACTTCAGGAATCCACCCACAACCTGAAGACTGACAACTCTGAGGAACAAGAGTCTGTGGGGCCAGAGCGGCTCCGAACACAGGTCTGGACCCTCATCTGTCTGACGAATCTACAATATTAACCTGATGATAAGATTCTACACGTTTTTCTGTACAAAACAAACCTCATTTATCACAGAAAGAATCACTTATCCTCCCAGCATCTGATTGAATCTTTGACTTTGCAGAGTTCAGTTCCTTCTTCTTCCCGGCTGCTCCAGACTGACAGACAATCTGCAGAATCACTGCCTTCTCTGAGCGACCTCTGGGCTCTGCTGGACCAAAGGCCTTCACACGGTAGTCTTAAAGTGTTTTTTTTTTTTTTCTCTACCGCGATTGAACGTTTATTAGCCCTAACCCTATTATTTTACATCAAGATATAAATATAAACATTGTGTGCACCATGTGCACTTGTATATTGTAAATAGTAACTGTAACTCTGATTTAAATTTAAATTTATTCTTTAGAAGTGTTTTTTATTCTTATTTTTATTATCTCTTTCTGACTGTTGCACTGAGCCAAAGCAATTTCCAAGTTTGTGACCTCCTGTTACTTACGTGGCAATAAAAATGATTCTGATTCTGATTCTGATATAAAACCTAAAATTAGCTTTAAAAGGAGGAATAACATGCCTAACATTGTGTTTGACACGTGTTGATTATTAGATTGGGATATTACACAAAATACACTTTAATTATATAAGTAAAAATATTTGGAGTGCATTGGTAAGTATTTTTGTATGTATTCGGTTACATATCCAATAAGATCAGTCAATCCATCGCTGTTATCACACAAAATAATCCCATGTGTTCATATATATATTATACGATTGTGTTATTACATCTTCAACCACGACGGCCTTAAAAAACCCTCTCATTTCAAATATGTGTGCGTTTATGAGGGCTTGGGGCTGGTTTCGACATTTGCACAGAATCATATCAAATACATGTTAGATTAAGCATTACATACACCACTATACACCAATAATATCTTACATACACCACAGTACACATTAATATCTTACATACACCACTGTACACATTAATATCTTACATACACCACAGTACACATTAATATCTTACATACACCACAGTACACATTAATATCTTACATACACCACAGTACACATTAATATCTTACATACACCACAGTACACATTAATATCTTACATACACCACAGTACACATTAATATCTTACATACACCACAGTACACATTAATATCTTACATACACCACAGTACACATTAATATCTTACATACACCACAGTACACATTAATATCTTACATACGTCACTGTACACAGACACACGTGAGTGAATATTTCAGTGATACACTTCCATAATCGTGGGAGGAGTCACAATTTACCAGCTGCTCTTTCTTGTGCAGACTTCTCGGACGCTGCTGAAGACCAGGTGGACTCTGTGGGCTCCCAGGGGCCGGTCCCTGGTGGCGCTCAGATGCAGGTGTGTGGGGTGAGTGCTCCTGTCCACAAACCGCCCACAGTCAAACCTCCACAGAAGAAAATCAAAATGAAAAACACATCTGCCAAGATCCGGAACTACAACATTAAAGACTGATAACTGGGAAGATTCACAAAATAATAATATTATAGTATTTTTAAATTGAGAGAGGACATCATGCACAGGTCTGTTGTAAACACCACTTATATGTGTATGTCTCTCGCTGTTTTTTATGTCTGTATTTTGTTTTAATAAATGAATAATGCCTCAAACGCAGTCGCTTTCTCACGCTTTAAGTTCACCGTGTGCTTCAGTAGGTCAGTAGAGGCTCCCATGAACCACAATAAACCCGGCCGGCTTTGTGACCGCTCCGAACCCGCCTCTTTATCACCTTACACAAGGCAAAGACTCATTGGTCCATCGCGCACACCCTGCTCTGTGATTGGCCCAGGCAGCCGTCAGTCAAGGTGAGTCACATTTCGCCAACACGTGTGCCTGCTGCATTCTTTCAAGGTAAAGTTACTCAACACTGGCTTCTGTGTACACGGCCGATCTTATCTACACACGTTAGTAAACTTCATTGGCAGGAGCTATGAGTAAATATACGGATACGTTAATTTTAAAAATAGTTCAACTTTATAATTTGTGTGCGTTTTTATATATTTTTTTCGTTTTTACAATTTGCTTTCGCTTTGGCCACACGCTCGCTTTAACAATATATTTTTTAATTAATACACTGTTGATACATGTTAATAACGCACTTGAACTGTAGTAACCTCACGTCAAAATGTTTTCTTTCCGCTTTCAGAATACAGACGCAGGCAGCGAATCAGGGACGACAGCTGCATCCCAAAGCCCTGCCTCTGTTCTCATTGGACTGCTAACCCGAGCCAAGCTGTCAGCCCATGTGGCGTGGCCCAGACCGGACTCCCCACGTTTGAAATCTCCACAGAGGACCGGGATTCAATGAGGCAGAGGCTGACGTCAACCCCCATCCAGACAGCGTGATCCCCCTCCACACACGCCAACATTACAGACCTACACATGCCATCAGGGAGCTGAGAGAGAGACAGAGAGACAAGACACAGTAAGTACGCTTCTGTTTTTGCAATCAGGCTGTTTGAGCGATGGGAGGAAGTGCATAACATTGGGGCGAAGTTGAGAATACAAACATACGATTATAGGGCATTATGTGTTGCTTCATTCAGGTTTTAGACACTGCTAATACTTGGTTATCATGTTAAACTTTTATCCAAATACACTACATGAATCAAGAGAAGACTCCGACTGTATTTTGTAAACTGTCCCCTTGGAGAGAGAGTAATTGGAGCGTGTCAAACTGATGACACTGTACCCTCAATGACAAGCCAGATCTTGTCATGTTGCCTGTGCCTCTGCTAAGGTGTGCTAGAATGTGCCACTATGAATGTGCTATACAAATAAACTTGCCTTGCCTTGCCTAGAATACTGTCAATAGGACTGATGCAGAGGACAGTGAAGACATTAGGACTGATGTAGAATCTCACAAACCTGGGACATTATTAGACCTCAGTAATCTGGTGTAGGTCTCAGTTGTCTGATGTGGTGCAACCTCTGGTCAGTCTGACCCAGGGCGGCTGTGGCAGGAGACTTGGCTGAGCTCCCATATTTGAGGGCACTGAGGCTCCTCCACTGGCTCCACACTGAGGCTCCTCACTGGCTCCACACTGAGGCTCCTCACTGGCTCCACACTGAGGCTCCTCACTGGCCCCACACTGAGGCTCCTCACTGGCCCCACACTGAGGCTCCTCACTGGTTCCACACTGATCTAATGCTACATTGTTTCAGGTGAAACCAAGTAACATTTCTTATCATGTTTATGGAAGTTTTATCATATCTTTGCATCGTGTCATCTTGACTTGTTTTTATCTTTTAGTTCTGCCTTTGAATTAGTTTGATCTATGATCTAGAATGAATGAACCAGAGCTTTAATCATTGATTTGATTACTTTCAATGTTCAGATGGAGGATATTGTAATAGCGGGGATATCAGGCCGTCTGCCTGAGTCCAACAACCTGGAGGAATTCTGGGAAAATCTGCTGGGAGGAGTGGACATGGTCACTGAAGACGACAGACGCTGGAAGCCAGGTCAGAGCAAATGTTAACACATTATGTCCTTATAGTCTGGCTGTCATAGGCTTAATCTACAGTCAACAGGTAAAAAGACCTTTAAAAATGTGAAATTGTGGTTGTAGTAATGTTTCAATAACAGGTTTAAACCTGACCTGCTCCATTCCTGCTGTACACTTTGTCATCTCTGCTCCGTAGGTTTGTATGGCCTTCCACGAAGAAATGGAAAATTAAAAGACATCAGCCACTTTGATGCAGCGTTTTTTGGGGTTCACCCCAAACAGGCCAACACGATGGACCCGCAGCTGCGGCTGATGCTGGAAGTGTCGTATGAGGCCATTGTAGACGCAGGTATGATCACAGGACAGAGCCTTTCAATGGCCTTTATCATATTGATGTCTTCAACACTTCTTTGATGCTATCAGGACTGAACCCAGGCTCCCTGCGGGGCACTAAGACAGGGGTGTACATTGGGGTCAGTGGTTCGGAGGCGGGCGAGGCCTTCAGTAAAGACCCAGAGGAGCTGCTGGGCTACAGCATGACCGGCTGCCAACGTGCCATGCTAGCTAATCGACTCTCCTACTTCTTTGACTTCAGCGGTAACATGACGACAGTGGAGTTCATGTTTGATAGTAGTAGACCTCAGGCTCATGCTTCTTATTCTCTCAGGTCCAAGCACAGCCATCGACACGGCGTGTTCCTCCAGTTTGTTGGCGTTAGAAAATGCTTTCCACGCCATTCATCTGGGTCAGTGTGAAGCTGCGCTGGTCGGAGGAGTCAACCTGCTGCTCAAACCCAACACCTCAGTCCAGTTCATGAAGCTGGGAATGCTCAGTCCAGAAGGAACCTGCAAATCCTTTGATGCCTCAGGTAAAGACGCTATACCCAAGCCCCGGCGATCCAAGATGGCGCCGTATTCAAATGAATGGTTGTGCTCAGTGGCGCTTTGTGCCGGCACGGGTAGCGAAAGATTAGCGGGACTTGCCTGGAACTCGCAAAGATCCATGGGAACTCGCCCGTATTTGGTCATCGTCTGGTCCTCCCGGTTCTGCACAGTGGATTTATCTCCCATGATGCGTTGCGCCAAATATGCGTGTGTGGGTCTCACACCGGGTCTCACGCACGTGCACAGAGGGGCTCGGCCGCGCTCTGACCAATCAGAGCAGTTCATCAGAGCGGGAGTTAGAGCGAGAGCCAGACGAGCAGAGTTTGTTGCACTTAAGTGACAATTTAAAGAAAACTGAAGGATTTAAGAAGAAAAAAAGTTCAGGATGACAAGGGACACTAAAATCCCCACAAAATCCGAACTTTATTAAAGCTGTAGGTTCTCTGTCAGGTTCTCTGTCAGCTGAGGTTTAAATTTCGTCTTATTTAGTCTGCAGTACCGCGAGAATCCCCTGAGCACGTGGTTCTTCAGCTATAAACTAGCAATACCCTATCCAGTTATTATTATAGATCCATGCGCCATAACTGCTCATACGTCTCTTCTCTTCTAGTTTCTTAAAGACACATCAATAACAATGTTGTTCAACTGGTGATTCGCATTGACGTTGCATTATAATCTTTCCCTTTTCTTGCTAATAGGAAATGGTTACTGCCGCTCAGAGGCCGCTGTAGCCGTACTGCTAACCAAGCGTTCAGTGGCAAAGAGAATGTATGCCACTGTGGTCAATGCTGGAAACAACACCGACGGTCACAAAGAGCAGGGTAAGTGCTGGGTACATAAGACATGGGGGAAGGGGCAGACATACCAGCACCAACTAATGTCCTCGCCCTGGTTTTCTGTCAGGGGTGACGTTCCCTTCAGGGCAGATGCAGCAGAGGCTGGTGAGCTCTCTTTATGAGGAGGCCGGAATTTGCCCAGAGCAAGTGGAGTACATAGAAGCTCATGGCACTGGCACTAAGGTACGGCTTGAGTTATGATTCTCTGCCCATTAGTTGTGCACAGAATGGGGCTTTAGGTATAAGCCACTCCCATAAATACCTTGAATTGTTCTTTGTCCCTACTCTAACAACTGAGTGACAGGGTTAAAGTAATAGAGCATGTTATTACAGGTTGGTGATCCACAAGAAGTGAATGGCATTGTTGGTGTGTTCTGTGATAAAAGGACAGAACCTTTGCTCATAGGTTCCACCAAGTCCAACATGGGCCATCCTGAACCGGCCTCAGGTTTAGCTGCTCTGGCAAAGGTATATTAGCGCAATTTTTTTTTACTCAGCGCTTCATTTTATATTGTGGTTATGAGTGTACTCTTTATGTGTTACCTTTTGTGCAGGTGGTTCTGTCTTTGGAGAAAGGCGTATGGGCTCCGAACCTCCACTATTCTAATCCAAACACTGATATTCCAGCTCTCACAGACGGGAGGCTCAGAGTTGTGGACCGGCCGATTCCGGTCAAAGGTGGCATTGTGGGAATCAACTCATTTGGTTTTGGAGGTTCAAATGTCCATGTGATTCTTCGTCCGAGTAACTGCAGGAAAGTAGAGGGCATAAAGAGCGCGACTCGAGTGGTTCCGGCGTGTGGACGCACAGAGGCGGCTGTCAGGGTCCTGCTGCAGAAAGCCCAGGAGCACTCTGAAGACCCCGGCTTCCTGTCTCTGCTCACGGACATCTCCTCTGCTGCTGGGATGGCGTTCAGAGGATACACGGTGCTGGGTTCTGAGCCCAACATCAGCGAGGTTCAGCCGACACAGTCTACGCACCGCCCAGTCTGGTACATCTGCTCAGGTACAGCACTTCTCTCAGCTCTGGGAATGCTTCAAATAATCTGGTTGATTATTGTTGAGACAAAATATGATTTTGTCAATGTTTATTATGATACTTTTATTAAGCATTATTAAGCAACTTTAGTTTAGATTTGATCATGGACGTTTTATTTTCCTCATTTAACATTATTATTACTTCTGGGGGTTAAATTATATGTCTGTCTGTTAGCATAGAACATGTGCATAATAAGAATTTCATACACTGTCAAAATATTTAGAATGGAAACACAACCTTGTGAGGTCTGTCTGAAGTTGTGCACTGTCTCTCTAACGTTTGCCATTGAGGGTTTTAGACTGCTGTATCTGTTTTTTCACATTGTTCTCAGTTGTCTTAGTGAAATGATGCCCCCTGTTGCAGGCATGGGGACCCAGTGGACTGGGATGGGTCAAAGTCTGATGCAGTTATCAGACTTCAGAGCCTCTATCCTGCGCTCAGACAAAGCCTTGAAGAAGACGGGGTTGGTTGTTTCAAAGATGCTCATGGAAGCCACTGACGACACTTTTGAGGACACAATAAATGCCTTTGTGGGCCTCGCCGCTATTCAGGTACGGACCGAAGATCCAAGATTCACTTTAGTCATATAGTAGTGTTTTTAACATTATGAATTTGATCATTTGTTTAGATTGCCCAGATCGACCTGTTGAAAAAGATTGGCCTGCAGCCTGATGGTATTGTGGGACACTCTGTGGGAGAGTTAGCTTGTGGCTACGCAGACGGCTCATTAAGTCAAGAAGAAGCTGTTCTGGCTGCATACTGGAGGGGGCGCTGTATCAAAGAGGCCAGCCTCCCCCCTGGAGGCATGGCTGCTGTGGGTAAGTTTATATTTTTCCAGTGTTGAAAATTACAGCATCAGAAAATAATGGCGTATATTTAGGCCAGTTACGAGTACTCTAATTAGTTACTCTCAGAATCAAAATCAGAATCAGAATCATTTTTATTGCCACGTAAGTAACAGGAGGTCACAGACTAGGAAATTGCTTTGGCTCAGTGCAACAGTTAAAAAGAGATAATAAAAATAAGAATAAAAAACACTTCTAAAGAATAAATTTAAATTTAAAATAGAGTTACAGTTACTATTTACAATATACAAGTGCACATGGTGCACACAATGTAAGGTGACAGCAGTACAGTGAAGTAAAGTGACGTATGATGGGCAGTAAAGTGACTTTATAAAGGGCGGGGGGACAGGTTAAGAAGTGTTCAAGAGTCCAACAGCAGAGGGGAAGAAACTGTTCTTGTGGCGGGAGGTTCTAGTCCTCATGGACCGCAGCCTCCTGCCTGAGGGGAGTGGTTGGAATAGTCCATGTGCAGGTGAGAGGGGAGTGGTTGGAATAGTCCATGTGCAGGTGAGAGGGGTCGGCTGTGATACGACCAGCCCGGCCTCGAGCTCGGGCGACGTACAGGTCCTGCAGCGATGGAAGGCTGCGGCCGATCACTTCCTCTGCAGAGCGCACAATGCGCTGTAGTCTCTGTTTGTCCCTGACTGTGGCTCCAGCGAACCACACGGTGATGGAGGAGGTGAGGATGGACTCGATGATGGCCGTGTAGAACTGCACCAACATCTGTGCAGGCAGCTTGGCTTTCCTGAGCTGCCGCAGGAAGTACATCCTCTGCTGGGCCTTCTTGATGAGGGAGCTGATGGTCGGCTCCCACTTGAGGTCCTGGGTGATGGTGGTGCCCAGGAAACGGAAGGACTCCACAGAGGTGATGGGGGAGTCCATCACGGAGGGTGGGGGCAGGGGGACAGTGCTCTTCCTGAAGTCCACAATCATCTCCACTGTCTTCTGGGCGTTCAGCTCCAGGTTGTTACCACTGCACCAGGACACCAGCCGGTCCACCTCCCTCCTGTAGGAGACACCAAGACACCAGCCGGTCCACCTCCCTCCTGTAGGAGACACCAGGACACCAGCCGGTCCACCTCCCTCCTGTAGGAGACACCAGGACACCAGCCGGTCCACCTCCCTCCTGTAGGAGACACCAGGACACCAGCCGGTCCACCTCCCTCCTGTAGGAGACACCAGGACACCAGCCGGTCCACCTCCCTCCTGTAGGAGACACCAGGACACCAGCCGGTCCACCTCCCTCCTGTAGGAGACACCAGGACACCAGCCGGTCCACCTCCCTCCTGTAGGAGACACCAGGACACCAGCCGGTCCACCTCCCTCCTGTAGGAGACACCAGGACACCAGCCGGTCCACCTCCCTCCTGTAGGAGACACCAGGACACCAGCCGGTCCACCTCCCTCCTGTAGGAGACACCAGGACACCAGCCGGTCCACCTCCCTCCTGTAGGAGACACCAGGACACCAGCCGGTCCACCTCCCTCCTGTAGGAGACACCAGGACACCAGCCGGTCCACCTCCCTCCTGTAGGAGACACCAGGACACCAGCCGGTCCACCTCCTCCTGTAGGAGACACCAGGACACCAGCCGGTCCACCTCCCTCCTGTAGGCGGACTCATCGTTGTTGGAGATGAGTCCAATGAGGGTGGTGTCGTCCGCGAACTTGATCAGCTTCACAGAGTCGTGGCTGGAGGTGCAGTGGTTGGTGTACAGGGAGAAGAGCAGGGGAGAAAGAACACAGCCCTGTGGGACTCCTGTATTTATAATCCGAGAGTCCGAGACATTCTTCCCCAGACGCACTCGCTGCTTCCTGTCCGTCAGGAAGTCAGTGATCCACCTGCAGGTGGAATCGGGCACGTTGAGCTGGGAGAGCTTGTCCTGGAGCAGGGATGGCAGGATGGTGTTGAAGGCAGAGCTGAAGTCCACGAACAGGACCCTGGCGTAGGTCCCCGGGGAGTCCAGGTGCTGTAGGATGTGGTGGAGGGCCAGGTTAATGGCGTCGTCTACAGATCTGTTGGCTCTGTAGGCGAACTGCAGGGGGTCCAGGAGGGGGGAGGTGAACTGCAGGGGGTCCAGGAGGGGGGAGGTGAGGGACTTGAGATGGGAGAGAACCAGGCGTTCAAATGACTTCATGACGACAGACGTAAGTGCTACAGGTCTGTAGTCATTGAGTCCTGTGATCCTGGGCTTCTTCGGGACGGGGACAATGATGGAGGATTTGAAGCAGGCCGGGACATGGCAGGACTGCAGAGAGGTGTTGAAAATGTCACTGAACACAGGAGTAAGCTCACTGGCGCAGTGTCTCAGAGTGGCCGGAGACACGTGGTCCGGGCCAGGAGCTTTGCGGGGGTGCAGCCTCAGGAAGAGTTATTTAATCTCTTTAGAGGCTATTGTTAGGCTGGGGGCAGGGCTGATGGGTGGGTCGTTAGAGTAGTGGGGGGTGGGGGAGGGAGAGGTGTCAGGGGCAGCATCAAAGCGACTGAAAAATAAGTTCAGTTCGTCAGCTAGCTTGTGGTCGTCAGCACAGGGGGGGGCTTTGGGTTTGTAGTTGGTGATCTCCCGTAGGCCCCTCCAGACAGAAGCAGTATCGTTGTTACCAAACTGCTCCTGTAGTCGTTCTCTGTGCCGGGACTTGGCTGCTTTCAGTTCTTTCCTGAACTGATATTTAGCTGCTTTGTAGCCGCTGCGGTCCCCCTCCCTGAAAGCAGACTCCTTTGCTTTCCTGAGCTGCCGGAGTTTAGCAGTGAACCAGGGTTTGTCGTTGTTATAGATGACCCTGGTCCTTGTTGGAATGATGCTATCCTCACAGAAGTGAATGTATGACGTCACAGTGTCCGTATATTCATCCAAACTATCTGGGACCTTTTCAGAGCTGCCACAGTCTGTAGATTCCATGCATGCGCGCAGCTCTTCCACAGCTTCATCAGACCACACTTTGGAGCTCCTCACTGCAGGTTTCGAGAGCTTTAGTCTCTGTCTGTAAGCAGGAACCAGATGTATCATGGAGTGATCTGAGAAGCCGAGGGCTGGCTTGGGAACAGCGCGAAAAGCTCCGCGCACGGTGGTGTAACAGTGATCCAGAGTGTTCTCCTCTCTGGTCGGGCATTTGATAAACTGTCTGTATTTGGGTAATTCCTGGCTCAAGTTTCCCTTATTAAAATCCCCCAGGATAATAATCAGAGAGTCCGGGTATAAGCGTTCCATACACAGTACTTGCTCTGCGAGTGCGCGCTGAGCCTCGCGAGCGTCCGCGCATGGCGGTATGTAAACAGAGGCAAGAATGAATGAAACAATTTCGCGCGGGGAGTAATATGGTTTACAATGAATGAAAAGATATTCCAGAGCAGGAGAGCAGTGCTTGGAGATCACTGTCACATCGTTACACCAGTTTGTATTGACGTAGAAACACAGCCCTCCGCCTCTGCTCTTCCCTGAGAGCGCACAATGGCGATCCGCGCGGAACAGCCCAAAGCCCTGCAGCTCCAGAGCGCAGTCCGGGATCCGCTCATTTAGCCAGGTCTCAGTGAAGCAGAGGACACAGGATGAAGTCCTTGTTTCTTCTCATGAGCAGGCTGAGTTCGTCCATCTTATTGCCCAGTGAGCGTACGTTGGAGAGAAATGCCGGGGAGAGCCGTGCGCGCTCCTCTCCTCCTCAGACGCACGAGCAGGCCTCCGCGCTTTCCCCTTTTACGGGCCCACACTTTTTTGGCTAGAACATGGACTAAATCAGCCGCAGATGCCAAGAAAACAGGCAATAGGTCCATGGGAACGGTGGGTCGGATGTTCATAAGTTCCTCACGGGTGTAGGAACAGCCAGATGCGCAGTTAAAAAGTAAAAACAAAAGAAAAAGAGAGCAGCAAAGAGCCATGTCGACCGTACGAGGCGCCATCTTTGTTACTCTGGTCTCTGCTGTAGGTGTCTGCGTTATTGTTACTTTAATGGAACGACTTGATCACACTACGTGTCATTCACAAGAGATGTTGGGGTTTTGGGAAATAAATAAACATGGTCAAACAAACTGATTGAAATGACAACAGACTAATCAGAAGTAGACAGCGCCCACATTACTTTCTACTGCTTTCATTTTCAAACACAAGAAACTTATTTTGGGATTGAATCATGTTTTCGCGATGGTGCAGTAAGAGTAACGATAAGAGCAGACGATAACAACAGGTGGGACACGTTATTTGAGTGTTGTTGTGCTCTTACCACTTCCTGCATGTGCGCTGCAACACTGACATTTCATCCTCGTCTTGTCTGGTCTGCTGCAGGCCTGACGTGGGAGGAGTGTAAGGCTCAGTGTCCTAAAGGAGTGGTTCCGGCCTGTCACAACGCTGAGGACACAGTCACAATCTCTGGCCCCCAGGTTCAGGCTCCCGCTGTTTCTGACTCTAAGTTGTTGTGACCTTCTTGTTAAATGTGTCGTGTTTTATCAGGATGCAGTTCACCGGTTTGTCCAGGAGCTGAAAGAGAAAGGAGTGTTTGCCAAAGAAGTCCGCAGCGCCGGTGTGGCTTTCCATTCATACTTCATGGCTTCCCTCGCTCCGGCGCTTCTAGCTGCTCTACAGAAGGTTAAAACTGTTTATAATTATATAAACTAAACAATTATACTCTATTCTTTGGATTTGACTGTGGGTTGTTTGTGTAGGTGATCAAGAAGCCTCGGACCCGCTCTGGTCGCTGGGTCAGCACCAGTATCCCTCAGTCTGCATGGGACACTCCTCTGGCCTTGTCCAGCTCTGCAGAGTACCATGTCAATAACCTGGTGAGCCCGGTGCTTTTCCAGGAGGGTTTGAGTCTGGTGCCAGAGGATGCAGTGGTGCTGGAGATCGCACCTCACGCCCTGTTGCAGGTACAGAACCCACGGCTTGACATTTGAAGTTTGATTTATTTAAGATGTGCATTAAAAAGATGGCTGAAATAAGATGTATTATTATTGGAAACCTTATTGCGTAGATTACCATATTTAGTTGTATTTTTATTGAGAAATGTAATGTTTATGTTCACACAATAGGTATGAATGTGATGAGTGAATGGTGTTGGTCGGGGCTTTGATGGTCCAGTGTGTTCAGCGTCTTGCTTCTGTCATTGTGTGTGAATGGAAAAATATCTGATTTCTGAACATTGTAAAGTGCTTTGTTCTGTAAAATGCGCTATATAAATAAACATGACTTCTTACACAGTCCATCCTGAAGCGCAGCCTCAAACACACCTGCTCCATCATTCCACTGATGAAACGAGGCCACGTCAACAACCTGGACTTCTTCCTCTCCAGCATCGGGAAGGTCCACATGAGCGGGTCCGTGATTGGAAAACTGTCTCCAGATTTCAGAGTTGTTATATTTAAATCTTCTGTTCCTTGTACAGGATCAACGTGGACTGTAACAAGCTGAGCCCGCAGACCCCGTACCCAGTTCCAGTGGGGACGCCTCTGCTCTCACCTCTGGTGGAGTGGGATCATGGTCAGACTTGGGATGTTCCCACAGCTGCAGACTTCTCCTTCAGCAGCGGGGGATCCAACTCTGCCATTGTCTATAACATTGGTAATGTACAGTCAAATGTTTGATTTTAGAACAAAGTGACTTCACAGTGAACATGTGTATTTTGTGAGGGGTGTATTTATCAATATTGCTATAGATTAATTGTATTTTGATTTTATTATTTTAATGCAGACATAAATCCGGAGTCTCCTGACTACTACTTGCTTGGACATTGCATCGATGGTAGAGTCCTGTTCCCAGCGACTGGATACCTGGTCTTAGCCTGGAGAACCTTGGTGAAAAGCTTGGGGATGGTTCTGGACAGCACTCCTGTCACATTTGAAGATGTGGCCATCCACAGAGCCACTATTCTGCCTCGAACTGGTGAGAACACGGTGCAGTAATGACAAAGTTCTTTGGTGCTCATGTGTTTGGTTTTCTCTTCAGGCGCTGTGCAGCTCGAGGTGCGTCTTATGTCTGCTACTCATACGTTTGAGGTTTCTGAGAATGAAAATTTAACAGTTAGTGGTATGTACTTCCCCTTCACTCAGGTCAGAGCACTTTCAAAGGTTCAGTTTTTGAAGCTGTCGTCTTTGTTCTAGGAAAAGTGAGGCTTTCAGAGGACACGGAGTTCCATTCACTGGGTCAACACATAATGTCAGCCAATGACATTGAGACTGACCCCAAACAGAAGCTGAAGGCTCCAGACATCTATAAAGAGCTACGGCTGCGGGGCTATGACTATAAAAAGACTTTCCAGGGCATTTTGGAGTCAAACATTGCAGGTAGATTTCATGACTTAAAGATATGCAAACTGCATCTACACCGGAAACACCTTCTCACACCTTCTGTGGCTGTTGCTTTCAGTCAGTTATTTTTACCAGAAGATGTTCCATTAGCTCAATACCACAGTGTTTGAGTTATTCTTCTGCATTATTTACATATTCATGCATATATAACTTTTCAGACAGCAAGGAAAAAGTAAATGTATTTTCACACTGTAAACTGTAACACACTGTGAAAACCTATGACACTCTAGGACTATGATTATTGAGCTTGAACATTTGAAATCTTAATATTCATCTTAAAGGGCATTATTAAACAAGTTGCATATGTAGGTGCAGTATGTCACTGTGCATATCTAAGGGCTGAAGTCACTGCTCAGAACAAGTCCTGTGACTAAAGAGTGGTGTGTATCTTAGATCATGGAGATACTGATCTCTCTTTTGCCTGAATCTGTGCATTGTAGATATGTGAATAAATAATAAGGGAACACAATTGGAGCAGAGTTCTTTAATTATTTCTTTTAAATAAGTGTCCACTTAACTAAGGAGACTCCTGCTGTCACAATGTAATGAACATTTCTGACCCTCTGTGGTTGTCAGGGGACAGGGGGGCGCTGCAGTGGACTGGGAACTGGGTGGTCTTCCTGGACACCATGTTACAGATGATTGTGCTTGGTTTACCGGGACGCGGCCTGCGCCTCCCCACCAGGATCCGCTCTGTTCAAATCAACCCTCAAGCCCATTTGGAGAAGCTGTGGCAGTATGCTGATGATAAACAAGGTTAGCTTACTGTCTGTGCACAGTTTAATACTAACTATCATTTCATATAGAAAAGTTTTATGCTTGAGACCTGTCATTAACAGCACATCTCTGTCTCACAGCTGTAGGCATCAGTGTAGATCACTGTGTGGATGTGATCGTTGCTGGAGGAGTTCAGATGAGTGGACTTCATGCTACTGTGGCCCCTCGCCGACAGCAGCAGCAGAGCCCTCCTACTCTGGAGGATTTCTGCTTTGTTCCTTACATGAAAACTGAGTGCCTGAAAGAGAGCCAACACTTGTCAGACCAAATGAATCTCTGCAAAGGTACAAAGCTGAAAAACCTTCAATTCTGGAACCTTTTGTCACACATAGAATGATCATCAAGATCTATATCTGTGTTCAGGATTGATCCATAAACTGCACTTGAAGCTGAAGCCACATGGTGTGGCCCTGAGTGTCCCGGGAGTAGAGAGTGTGTCTGTCAGCCCTGTGCTCGACCCTGTGCCCTCTGAAGCTGGTCTGCCCCGGCTCCTCTCTCTGCTGTGTGCTCTAGAGCTAAACGGAAACTTGGAGTCTGAGATGCAGCAGCTGGTGGAGAAGGAGAGGTCCTGTCTGCTCCAAGACTCATTGATCCAGGGCCTTCTGAGAGATGCTGCTTTCAGGCACTGCTTGGACACAGCTCTAGAAAACAGCAAGCCCGGCAAACTCAGGGTGATTGAAGTGAGTGACTTTGATCATTGAAATGGCCAAGAAAACAGGACATATTTCTCCATTTTAATGCAATGTCCTGTGTTTAGGCTTTCTCTGAAGAGGGACAACTTTTCTCCCATGTTTTATCTCTCCTCAACATTGAGCCCATGTTGCAAGTGGAATACACTGCTACTGCGATGCGCCCTGAGCTCCTGAGCCCCTTCGCAGAGAAGCTGGAGGAGCTGGGGGTGGGCTCCTCACAGTGGGACCCTTGGACAGGTCCTGCTCCAGGAGCCACAGCAGGAGCTGCTGACTTGCTGCTCTGTAACCACTGGGGCCTTTTGCAGAGTGAACCAGAGAAGCTTGTATCAAACCTTGCTTCTGGGATCAGAGTGGGAGGGTTTGTGCTGCTGCATGTGCTGCTGCAGGGGAGCACTCTGGGGGAAACCCTGGCCTTTCTCTGTAGGACCTCCAGCAGTGAGACAGGGGCCCAGCGTGGGATTGTTTCACTGGTAAGTGTTGTGGACTTTCTTTTTTAAATCATGTTATGGAAATCATCTTTGTGTAACATTGTGTGATGAATTAATATCAGTATATTTTGATATTTAAGTTGCATGATACAATTTATTTTTGTGACTGGTTTTCTTCAGGCTGAGTGGGAGAGGTGTTTTCTGGAGGCCTCTCTGGATGTGGTCAGTGTCTGGACGTCATGTCACGGTTCTGCGTTGCTCCTTTGTCGGCGCCGTGTCTCTGCTCCAGAGCCTGTACTTCTGTCTGTGGATGACACGTCCTACACCTGGGTGGAGACCCTCAAAGTATGTTTCTTCTACTGAGACCCATGTCCTCTGTACAGGGGTTCACACAGTTATCGGACCAATGTGATTTCTCCTCAGTCTCTGCTTTCTGAGCCTTCAAACTGCCCTGTTTGGCTGACGGCCTCTGAGCCTCACTGTGGCGTGGTGGGTCTGGTCAACTGCTTACGTCAGGAACCCGGAGGTGATCGGATCCGGTATGTTAACCTCATGGACCTGACTATACATGAGACATTCTCTCGTCTTTTACCCTATACAGACCAACGACATGTTTTTGAAAGAAACAAGATGCACTTTAGACTACAGCGTGTCAGCTTTAACTTGAGGATATTTACATCCAAATGATTGAGCAGCGCAGGAATGATGTGAGGTCTATGCTGCAATTGGAAAAACAGCTGTATTTGTTATTATTCCTACACTGTTGTGTTAATACCCTCTATTTAAAGCTTACTCTGCAGTGTGTTTTATTCAAAAATACAGGCTAAAATATGAGAATGGTCTCCATGGACCAGGACTTATGGAACTGACTGTGTTTTGACAAAACCAAATCATTTTATTTGCTATTTTATAGCTGTGCTTTTGTATCCAATCTGGACGAGTCATCGATGATACCGAGCCTTGTTCAGTCTGACGAAGTCATGCAGTCGCTGCTGCGTAAAGACCTGGTGATGAATGTGTGGAGAGACGGCGAGTGGGGGGCCTTCCGACATCAGCTCCTCACTGACGGTATTGATCTGAGGAAACTGTGGTTTCTGTCTGTGGTCAAAGTGACTGATTGTTTTTCTTTAGTTCTGAGAGTGGAGCCCACACAACAAGCGTATGTGAACGTTTTAACTCGAGGGGACTTGTCTTCTCTGCGTTGGATCGCTTCTCCTCTCAAGCACTTTACGTCCAAAAACCCAAACTCAATGTTATGCAGCGTCTCCTACAGCTCTCTAAATTTCAGAGACATCATGTTAGCCACAGGGAAACTGCCCCCTGACGCCATTCCAGGTACTTTTGACTGTTTTCCCAGTCTATTTATTTAAAGACGGTAGAATACGCAGAAGGAAGGTCACCTTTAACCTCTGCATGTGCAGGCGATGTAGCCCTTCAGCATTGTCTGTTGGGGATGGAGTTCTCGGGTCGAGACCAAAGTGAGCAGAGAGTTATGGGTCTGCTCCCGGCAAACGGCCTGGCAACATGTGTGAGTGCAGACAAGAGGTTCCTGTGGACTGTTCCCTCAGACTGGTGAGTTATTAATCTACAGTTTATGAAAATAACACTTTGACATGATTGTCATGTTAACTCCTTATGCATTACATTTATCTAATTCTACCGGTTACTCCTGGTAGGACCCTGGAGCAGGCGGCGTCTGTGCCTGTGGTGTATGCCACTGCTTACTACTCCCTGGTGGTGCGGGGCAGACTGCGGCCTGGAGAGAGTGTTCTGATCCACTCCGGCTCCGGGGGAGTGGGACAAGCCGCCATCGCCATCGCACTGAGCCAGAAATGCAAAGTCTTCACCACAGTTGGTAAGAATGTGTCTTTGTCAGAGGAGCTCACACTTTATACATCCAAGATCTTTCTTTTTAGATGTATGTGAATGTGTAATGATTAATGACGCATGATTCATGATCATTAATGACCACGTCGTCTATATTCACATAAATAAAAAGTGTTTTTGACTGTATTTGCATGAACAGTACTGTGGGTCTTTCTGAAGGGTGAGTCTTGCTTGTTGTTTGCAGGCTCAGCAGAGAAGCGAGCGTACTTACAGCAGAGGTTTCCACAACTCACTGAGGAATGTTTTGCCAACTCCAGAGATGCCTCGTTCGAGCAGCACGTGCTTCTCCACACAAAGGGCAAAGGTGAGAGATCAGTTTGGCCTGGTACGCCTCACAGCTGATCCTGCTGAAACAGGAAACACTGAAACACTGTGTTGTGCGTCTCAGGAGTGAATGTGGTGCTGAACTCGCTGGCGGAGGAGAAGCTTCAGGCCAGTGTGCGCTGCCTCGCTCGCCACGGCCGCTTCCTCGAGATCGGGAAATACGACCTGTCCAACAACTCCCCTTTAGGTTCGTACTACAGACTGAAGGAACTGGAAAGAGGAGAGAGTCACGTCCCAAAACATAAACACACATTAACACAGATTATTTTATTATAACTTATGGTAAATTTAAATTGTAGTTTCTGTCTGATGATGTTGGTATTGTATCTATCTACTTTATTTTACTGTTTTACTACAACCTGCTCAGGGACTACAGCTGTAAATTAGCACTGCTGCTACAACCTGGGACAACGCACCTTTCTTTTTGGCTATTGTACACTGTCCCTGTAAAATTAATCCATACCATACCAAACCATACCAAACCAAACCAAACCATACCAAACCAAACCATACCAAACCATACCAAACCAAACCAAACCATACCCAAACCATACCATACCAAAACCAAACCAAACCAAACCATACCATACCATACCAAAACCAAACCAAACCAAACCAAACCATACCATACCAAAACCAAACCAAACCAAACCATACCATACCATACCAAACCAAACCATACCATACCACACCAAAACCAACTAACATGAGTGATTGTGTTTCAGGAATGGCCGTCTTCTTAAAGAACGTCTCCTTCCACGGTATTTTACTGGACGCTCTGTTTGAGGAGGACAACCCCGAGTGGGAGGAGGTGTCACAGCTGCTGCAGCAGGGCATTCTGGGAGGTGTAGTCAAACCTCTGAAAACCACAGTCTTTGAAAAGGAGCACGTGGAGCAGGCCTTCAGGTTCATGGCGCAGGGAAAGCATATCGGGAAAGTCCTGCTCAAGGTGAAGTCATTCAAGAATAACAAACCAAAATAGAGGAGATTCTGTTAAAGTTTAATTTAAGAAGAGAAAGAAGTGAGATTCATTGACAAACTGGTTTTTAATATTACTTTTATGTGTGTCCAGATACGTGAGGACCAGGATTCCTCGGTCTGCTCCCCGTTGACTCTTCCAGCCATCTGCCGGACCTTCTGCCCTCCTTCTCTGTCGTACATCATCACTGGGGGCCTGGGGGGCTTTGGTCTAGAGCTCGCTCAGTGGCTCCTGGAAAGAGGGGCCTGCAAAATAGTGCTGACTTCAAGATCAGGCATTCGCAACGGTAAAACCACACTGACCTAGAGGACAAATACCACAGTAATGATACAAGACTACAGATGCTGACAGAGTGCACATGTCTTCACCTGAGAGCAGGATACCAGCTGAAGCGGGTTCAGGAGTGGAGGTCTCGGGGGATGGAGGTTCTGGTCTCGACGTGTGACGTGTCCACGATCAAAGGAACTGAGCAGCTCATCAGTGAGGCGCGAGCTCTGGGACCTGTGGGCGGGATATTCCACCTCGCCATGGTAACGGAAAGTCTGTTGTAGTTTATTCATTGTGATATTGTGTTATGCAAAATACTTTTTATCTTTCAATTTTCTCAGCTATATATTTATAAATATGTTTTATATCGTGATGATTCTGTCATTATGAAACACCCTGTGCCTCACTCTCGCCGCATATCGGGTGAAATCATTGTTGTGACAAAATCCAAAACTGCCAGACATTTGAGAATAAGCGAGTGGTTGTAAATATTCAGATCTACAAACTGTATTTTACACATGTTTGCATTATGTAAACGTTGACATTATTAACATAACCCTGGTAGGTATTGATTCTGAATGTCACTAATACATTTTATGATTTGTCAGGTTCTCAAAGACGGCATGTTGGAGAATCTTACTCCTCAACATTTCCAGGAGGTGAACAAACCTAAGTATGATGGAACGTTGAACCTGGACAGGTAAGTTTCTGTAAAGACCTTTTATAATAAACCCAGGTCTGTGCTGAACGTTGTTATGTTTCAGAGTCACACGGAGGATCTGTCCAGAGCTGAGCTACTTCGTGGTCTTCTCCTCTGTGAGCTGTGGCCGAGGTAATGCAGGGCAGAGTAACTATGGTTATGCCAACTCCTCCATGGAGCGTGTGTGTGAGAAGCGGCAGAGAGACGGTCTGCCCGGCCTCGCCGTGCAGTGGGGCGCCATCGGGGATGTGGGCGTGGTCCTGGAGACGATGGGAGACAACGACACAGTGATTGGAGGCACTTTGCCTCAGAGAATTACCTCCTGTTTAGAAGTGCTGGACCTGTTCCTGTGTCTCGGAAAACCTGTTATGTCCAGCTTTGTGCTGGCGGAGCGTGTGGTGGTCAAAGGCAAATCTGGCGGTCAGGCCGACCTGGTGGACGCCGTGGCCAACATCCTGGGTATGACATCATTCCTCCATATGTTACATTAGTGAGGGTTTATTCAGTAACCACTCTCATGTTCTAGGCGTGCGTGATGTAAACAGCCTAAATGCAGAGGCCACTTTGGCCGACTTGGGTCTGGACTCACTGATGGGTGTTGAGGTTCGTCAAACTCTGGAGCGAGATTATGATCTCGTCATGACCATGAGGGACATCCGGCTACTGACGATCAACAAACTGCGTGAGCTAGCTACCGGCAGCGGGTCCACAGCCAAAGGTTTGTACAAAAGTTTTGATATGGTGTTGTTTTAACAGTCTCTGCCTGTTTTTATTTACTATTATTATTATAATTTGTTGTCTTCCATGTTTCAGATGTGTCGGACTCGTCAAAGGGAGGGCTTGCCTCAGTGTTGGGCTCTGACATCAGCAGCCTCCTGATGGACCCTCAGGGCCCCACACTGACTGCAGTAAACTCAGTGCAGAATCAGGAGCGGCCGCTGTTCCTCGTGCATCCCATCGAGGGCACGGTGTCGGTCTTCAAGGCCTTGGCGTCCGAGCTGCGACTGCCCTGCTACGGCCTGCAGTGCACCATGGGTACAGTGCTTCGTTATATTCATGCTGTTAACCTTTAATGTTCATGTACTTATGGTCATGCTGTTAACCATAAGTACATGAACATTAAAGGTTTTCTTCATCATTTGTGTTTCTTTAGCTGCCCCCATGGAGAACATCCAGTCCCTGGCGGCCTACTACCTGTCCTGTGTGAAGCAAGTGCAGCCAGACGGACCGTACAGACTCGCTGGATACTCCTTTGGAGCCTGTGTGGCTTTTGAAATGTGCTGTCAGCTACAAACACAGGGCGCCACGGTGGAGTCTCTCTTCTTGTTGGACGGATCACACTCCTTTGTAGCAGCATATACTCAGGTTCAGACTAAACTAATGTCCACAAAACATTCCTGAATGTAGAAGAACAATAATAAACTTTGTATGATTTTGTTCCTCAGAGCTACAGAGCCAAACTCACCCCAGGCAAAGAGTCAGAGGCAGAGACTGAGGCTCTGTGTGCTTTCATACAGCAGTTCACGGGGATGGAATACAATAAGGTATTTCAGCTCCACACGAGTGCAACGTGGCCATTAGAAAGAACACTTCTTAGTTCTAACATCTTCTTACTTACAGTTGGTGGAGGCTCTCCTGCCGCTCTCAGACCTGGACGCCCGAGTGACCACCGCTGTGAACCTCATCACCTCCAGTCACAAGGACCTGAGCCCAACGTCTGTGTCCTTCGGCGCCACCGCGTTCTACAGCAAACTAAAGGCTGCCGAAAGTTATGCACCAACCACAAAGTATCGAGGCCGGACTGTGTTACTGCGAGCCGGGACCAGCAGCCACTACGAGCAGAGTCTGGGAGAGGACTACAAGCTCCATGAGGTGAGGACTCTTTATGTTCAGGATTCAGACTGAAAAATGACTTCAATTGTATTATAATTGATTATAAATATGCTAATAGATAGGTTTTCCATCACGTGCATATTACCCATGATGCTTTGTGCGTTTGTCTGGCTTATATTGCACGGATCATTTGTGCCCGTGTTATCTAAAGCCATGAATTGGGCCGACACTGACCGCGTTAAGTTATTGATACACTGGAGTCATCTGTGAGGAAAGATCCTTGGAGAAACTGAGAGTGATCGTAGATTTGGATCCGTATGAAACGCAGCGAGACCAGTGGACTTCACCAGAACAGTTTTACTTTCACTTTACAGTTTTACAATAAAAAAAAAAAGGTCAGGATGTATGAGATGCAATATTTCTTTCAATCAATAATTTATTTTGAATGAAGCAGTTGATATCACAGGCCGTAAATCACTTCTGTCTACCACCCTTTCCCCTCCTCCTCCTCCTCCTCCTCTCATTCATTCATTCAGACCTAGTATCACAGTCAAATCTCTGAATATAAACCACACATGCACAGATTTAGCTCGTACTTGTTATGAAATGGTCAGAACAGACCTGATAGTGCCGTTTTTCAGGGGTTAGGGTTGAATCCCTCTCGGTTGATCCTCGCCAACTAAAGAGTCTTTTCTCCGTTGAGAGTGGCTCCCCTGGCTCGTGATAACCTTCGGAATGTCCCCACAATCTGCACGGTTACTGCGCCCCCAAACGACGCAGGCAGTCGGCATGTTTTAGCGCAAAAAAGTGATTTGAGCGCTTTGTTTACCTACAACTGTCAGAGGCTAGACCCACAATATGGCGAACTGCGGAATTGTGGGTAGTGCGTGATGTCAGTGGAAAACCATTTATTTAAAGTAACGATATGATAAAAACTCTACCATGGCATGTTATACCTCATTTTAAAGCTCTCAGGAAAACACATCAATTATTTTACTGTAAAGATTTAACCCTAAAGGTAAATTAGAACGAATCCCAGCAACTCCCAGCGACTCCCAGCGACTCCCAGCGACTCCCAGCGACTCCCAGCGACTCCCAGCGACTCCCAGCGACTCCCAGCGACTCCCAGCGACTCCCAGCGACTCCCAGTCATTCCCAGTCACTCTCAATGACTCTCAATGACTCTCAATGACTCTCAATGACTCTCAATGACTCTCAATGACTCTCAATGACTCTCAATGACTCTCAATGACTCTCAATGACTCTCAATGACTCTCAATGACTCTCAATGACTCTCAATGACTCCCAGAGGCTCGCAGAGACTCCCAGTAACTTTCAATGACTCTCAATGACTCCCAGTCATTCCCAGTCATTCCCAGTCATTCCCAGTCATTCCCAGTCATTCCCAGTCATTCCCAGTAACTCCCAGTAACTCCCAGTAACTCCCAGTAACTCCCAGTAACTCCCAGTAACTCCCAGTAACTCCCAGTAACTCCCAGTAACTCTCAATGACTCTCAATGACTCTCAATGACTCTCAATGACTCTCAATGACTCCCAGTAACTCCCAGTAACTCCCAGCGACTCCCAGTAACTCCCAGTGACTCCCAGCGACTCCCATCCACCCCCGGCCCCTGTGAACACACACTGTACATGTCTCTGTGTTATTGTGTGTCGGTTGGTGAGTGGTGTCGTGTGTCGCAGGTGTGTGACGGTCCCGTGTCGGTGCATGTGATCGAGGGGGACCACCGCTCCATCCTCCAGGGCCCAGGCCTCACCTCCATCTGCAGCATCATCCACAGCTCGCTCTCTGGAGACCCCCACACGGCAGCGCACTAGCCCCAGAGCAGGAGGCCACATTCCTCTGTGTCCCGCACGGCTCTGGAAGCGTTAATCCTTATTCCTCACTAATTCATTCCTGTATCGTCTTCTTTAATGCAACACAAACTTCTGTATATTTGGATGTTTGCAGAGATGCTCTAATGTTCCCTCTTCACGGAAAAGCCTCAGTGACGCACCTACATCCCTCTGTTACCGTAACGATACTTATTGCAGAATGGTTTTGCACATTTGTAACATTTTTTAACAAGTATTGCTATGGTTTGTGTTTCTATGTTCGGGTTGTGTGTTGCATGTTCTGCCTGTGCCTGCTCTATGACCATAGCGACGAGCAGGTCTGACTTTTATGACCAGGCCTCGAGCTTGTGAAAAGTCTTGTGGCTGTTTTTATATAGTTTGTGTTTCATTTCGATGTATTAAATGCTTTTAAATCCGTGGAATGTTTTTATTTTTGTTGGAAGTTAGTGTGAGACCTTTGTTCCACGAGAAATCCTTGATCCTTAAAGTCACAACATCAACATGAACTTATTTACTGCGTATGGCTGTTTTTAATGTCATTCTTGTCAAATTCTGTCCAAAAACAAATCCCAGCTCGTACAGTTTGGTGAATGTTTACAATTAATATCAAGCCAAAGTAAATGTCAAATAAGCACCATTTCCATAGCAACAAACTATTTAAAACCAAATATATTTTCCCAAAAACACTCAGTTGTTTAAAAGCCCAACATTTCTCTGACCAAAAACTCGAAGTATCAGTTTAGAGGAAATGGCAGCGGAGAGTCCGGATCCGAGCCTTGAGGAGGCTCTGAGTCCAGAGGAGGAGAGAGAACTGCTTTTACTGAGGACCGAGATCGAGGAACTCCACATCGAGCGCTGGAAACAGAAAGAGGTGAAACTTTAACTTAGACTTTAATGATCCACAGGGACATTGTGTTCTCAGGGTGCTCCCCCGTTAGGTGTTAACAATTTAACACACGACAGTAGCTCAGTTGGAAGAGCATTGGCCTTCAGGGCTGAAGGTCGTGGGTTCAATTCCCACCTCTACACCTTCTCCACCGACTCCCACTGATGACTGCTGTCGTTGTGTCCTTGTGCAAGACACTTAACCCCACTTCGCCCAAAAGCCCCCACTGAAAGATCAAGGCTATGCTCACACTCAGAGCAGCCGTCCTCCTGTGGACTCACCACCTGCAGAGGGTCAGTGAGGGGCTGGTGCTATGAGACTTGGGTGGCATCTCTGACTGCCACCCCCCTGACCCAGAAATGGATTAAAGGGAAGAAAATGAATGGATGGACTATCCACCTGTAGAGGCCAAACTGTACCTCCAGCCTCTAGATGTCACTAGTGCTGGATACTGTCACACCTGTGTGTATTTAAGGCAGGTAACTAGTGCAGCAGGTGTTGCATGTGTGAGGAGGAACAGTCTTCTGACCGTGTTATTGAGCACAAGGAAATAAAGAATGGAATTTTGTGCATATTTTTTTGAGTATTGGCCTCATTTTTTGGACCAGGAAACACGCGTCTGAAATCGCACCAAACATTGCAACCTTCAGTGACACAGGGCCACTGAGCCTCTACAGAGTCTACACCATCTCCTCCATCTACACACCAAGCCTTTTCCTCAAACAAGTCAAAGCAGTACATATTCAAACTACATCTATACGAAAACTATTGGAGAAAAAACAAGTGGATGGAGTGTTTGTGGAGCTGAAGGCCTGTAGTTTTGGCCTCTGATTGACTTTAATTATAAGTGGGTACAATCCCCGCACAGACAAAGATCAAACTCCTAGCTCTGCCTTGATTGTCTCTGGTAAACACACAGATGAAGCTTGATTCTCGGAGGGAGGTGAAGGTCCTTTATCTTTGCCTCATTCATTCACATTTCCTGCAGTTGTTGAAATAGATCAAGGCTGACAATAGTAGTGTCTTTACAGAGCTGTAGTGAGGGGTTATCAACGGATGTGTATGATCCTATTATATCATTTTATACTGTAAATGGGCACATATTCACAGATATTTATATTGCTTAAATAACATTCTTGTTTTCACACAGCGTGGAGCAGCTCTGATAAAAGAGAAAGAAGTCCTCACCGGGAAAATACAAGAGGCCATAGATTTGAATCTGAGCCATGACCTCTTCCAGCAGGTGAAATGACAAAGAGCTTCGTACTGCTGGGCCTGCCACTACTGTAACCATTGAGACGTGTTGCAGGCAGCAGTCGTCAAGGAGATGGAGGAGGCCACGGAGAAGCAATGGGAGATAGTGGAGGAGAAGAAGGCTCTCAGGAGCAGGATGGAGACGGAGATCGCTGAGCTGAACCAGAGGAAAAAGGAAAAACTCCGAACGGTGGAAAATCAGTCCGGCTACTACAAGCTCTTGGACAAAGTGGTCAAGAAGACAAAGGTGATGTTATTATTTTTAATTGAAGGTAAAGTGCTTGCTGCGTGTGCCTCGGGGCAGAATAACAGAGATGTGGCGGTCGTGGAGAGCCCACTACCTTTTTTATGGTTCAATTTCAGAACAAAATAGAACAAGACAATCAAGTGACAAGCTTTTCTGACATAATATGTGCGTCTCTCTGGTTGTGCGTCAGATAGGCAGTGGCGTTCCAAGGGTACCCCGGGGCCCCAGGCAACAGAGTCCTTGGGGGCCCCGACACCGACCACATAACCACATAAAAAGGTTTATATTACAGTAGGTATAAACATATATTTAATAATAAGGTAAAATGCCATATCTATTACTTGTTTACATTAATATAACTTAAATGTAGATAATTTGTTATTTTTAACAATGAAAGTGCGAGTGCTGCGTCTTAACCACTGGACCACTAACACGAACAGTATAGAATTGTACCCAGGCTTTTTATCTGTTAATGAAGCAAGTTTCGCATCAGACAGAAAGTTTTTTTCCGCTGACTCATCGCTGCAGGTAGTTGTTGCAGCCTGTACAAGACGAGCGCTTGTGTCAAATCCCCTGGGGCCCCCTGCTGGTTTGGGGCCGGCATTTGAAAAATGTTGAAAAATCCTTAAGTAAGTATGAAAGACTGAAAAACATGGTCTCTTCTTTAAAAAACAATATAATGGGACACATTGTGATGTACTTTTGATTCCAATCGTGTGGTTCTGTGTGGTTCCGTGTGGTTCCGTGTGGTTCCGTGTGGTTCTGTGTGGTTCTGTGTGGTTCCGTGTGGTTCTGTGTGGTTCTGTGTGGTTCCGTGTGGTTCCGTGTGGTTCCGTGTGGTTCTGTGTGGTTCTGTGTGGTTCTGTGTGGTTCCGTGTGGTTCCGTGTGGTTCTGTATGGTTCTGTGTGGTTCTGTGTGGTTCTGTGTGGTTCTGTGTGGTTTCGTGTGGTTTCGTGTGGTTCTGTGTGGTTCCGTGTGGTTCTGTGTGGTTCTGTGTGGTTCCATGTGGTTTCTTGGTGCAGTTTGCTGGTGTGGAGGAGCTGATCAACCATCTACAGAACCTGTTCCACATGAGAGATAAGGCGCGACAGGCCGAGAACGACAAGTTGGAGGAAATCGACCAGAACCGACGTCAGCTGCTGAGTCTGGAGGAGCAGCACCACATGAGCATGATCCGAAAGAACTACGACCTCGCCCAGAACCAGACCGAGCTGGAGAAGTGCCAGTCCGAGGAGCGCATATGGGTAAGGCACTTTGGCACAGATAATTTTTGAATCTCAAAGCTTAAAGATTAAAGTCGAAACACCAAACTTATTCTGTGCAGTCAAATCAGTGTCAGGGGAGGTGGCTCGAGCCTCTGTCTGGGGGAGGTGGTCTGTATTTCCATTTTTGTGACATTAATGAGTGTCTAGACCCCAGGAAGAAAAGCTACTGTATATTTTAGGAGCTATTGGGGATCTTAATTTTCAAAAAGCAAAAAAACCAAATCCTCACTCATTCAGTTACCTTTCTCTCTCTGTCTCAAAGATTACAAAAAGTATCCTCAGTCAAAGCAGAGAAAGGAGAACAGAGAGAAAAGACGGTCTGCTCCGGTGTTTCCCAAATGCAGCCTTTTCACATTTTCCTTGTTTTCTCGCAGCAACAAAGATGGGACAAAATACAAGAGACGGCGACGAAGAAGACCATGATGGTGGGACAGCTGAAGATGGCCACCCTGAACCTGTACGAGATGACCGGGGGCGTGGTGGGAGAGGGCGGGGTGGACATCAACGACACTCAGGCCCAGCTGGACATGGTGGGTGTGGGGTGGAGGGGGGGTGTATCCTGCTGTGGACGCGATACGTTTGTGATGGAATTGTTGTTTTCTGACAGATCGTCGACTTCATCCGCGACACTGAGAACATCATAAAGCAGTACCAGCTTTCTCAACAGCAGAAGAGCACCAAGAGAGACACAAAAGTGAGCACAGGGACGAACTAGACGACCGCAGACAGAAGATGAACTAATGAAGCTGCATTTTGATCCTGCTGCAAGAACTACAGAATACATGGTGTCTGTCTGTCTCTGTCTGTCTGTCTGTGTCTCTGTCTGTGTCTGCCTGTCTGTGTCTCTGTCTGTCTCTGTCTGTGTCTCTGTCTGTGTCTGTCTGTCTGCCTGTCTGTGTCTCTGTCTGTCTCTGTCTGTGTCTCTGTCTGTGTCTGTCTGTCTGCCTGTCTCTGTCTGTGTCTCTGTTTGTCTCTAGCCCTGTCTCTCTGTCTGTCTGTTTGTCTCTGTCTCTGTCTGTCTTTCTTTCTTAGCCATGCTTCTAATTTAATTAAAGCATTATAGTTAGCTGTGCCTCTAAATTCAAACAACCAGTTCTACATGTGTTTTTATTCCGTGTTAAATAAATTACTTTGCTCTGTCGTCAAAGTTAGGGCTTTTTATGTTTTTATTTTTTTAATGAAAGAGCCACCCTCTCCATTTTTTGAACAAAGCGCTTATCACCCGAATGATTGACAATTAGGAGGACCAATAGTTTTAATGATTCCGGAAGAAGAAAGTCTCCACATAGTATTTTTTTTACAGTAGATGTAACGTGTGAGAGTGTGTTGTGAATATACAATGTATAAAAACAAGTCCGAAATATAAATGAGACCTTAAAAGTTGGTCCTGTGTCTGGATGTTTAATGTCGTCTCTGACCGACCATAACTTCTCTGTATGTTCAGTGAGTAACAATGTTATCGCATCTCATCATGATCTGGCTCTCAGTGAACTCTGGGAAACTTTAAATATCCAGAGAAGTGTGTGTTTCCAGATAAGACCCATTCCCTCAGTGTTGTTCTTTGCCAGCAGCTAAATATAGGGATTTTATTTTAGTTTTAAAGTAGAGTTGTGCTATATTTGCTATCTTGTGTTGTGCTCCTCATTCTTACTGTCAGTGACTTGTGATGCAACACTGACATTTCCTCACTGTGGGACAAATAAAGGATCTATTCATCTTAATCCAACTTGTTTCTTGCTCTGAAAACGGTTTGGTTTTATAGAATTCTTTTCACCCTGAGCGGTCACATCTTTACATCCGCTTTTCAGACAGAAAAGTGAAAAAGAAAGGACCACACACACGCAGCCCAAAGAGTCAGATAGTGACTCACACGGTTCTTTATTTTCTAATAAGAAGAAGACAGTATGTGCGGTTTGATTTGTCATTTTACATTAACATGACTCTTTTGGTCGGGTCAAACCATATGTTATTATTCATGCTTTCTGTTTTTGTTTTTTGTTTGGTACCCCAGCTCTGATGAGTCCGCGACGTTATTATTATAGATTCATGCGACATCTATTATTTTGAAAGGGTAATAATCCGGAAGTGACCAAAGTGGTTGGGACAAACAAAATGTTAGTCCATTATGGTTATTATTAATGTTATTTTTACGTTCAGTACCCCAGCTTTAATGAGTTGATACGTTTCCCCTCCCCTCCCCGCACTACGCTCTTTTTTTGAATATTTGTTTTATTATTTTTATTTATTTATTGACAAATTATGCATACAGGTCGACAGAGCTTCAATAAAATTTACAATTAGAGCAGAAAAAAAAGCAAAATTTATGTGAAGAACGGAACAAAAATGATAAAGAACAGAGTCATCAAAAGCCATTTCGAGCACTTATTTTGAAAAGAAAATAATCCGGAAGTGAGCGTAGTCTCGACTGGGTCAAAGAGATCGACCCAGATGTGTCCAAGTTTCACTGTTTGGTTGAATGGTTCTGGGCCCCTTTGCCTCTGCTGCTTCACTCCGTGTCTGGGTCTCACACTGAGGCCGTGTTTGTTGTACTTTATAATCACATGCCCGTCAGAGAAGTTTGGTAAGTCTCATGTTTTCCACTTTGGCTTTTGTTGATCTGGGTCTGAACCATTGGGTCTGAACCATTAGGTCTGAACTATGGATGTAATATGGGCCTACAGCTACTGTAAACGTAAACTACTGTATCTACATCTTAAATAACTGGTTAGGCCTTTTGCTGAAGGACTATTCATGTTTATTTTGTTTTTCCTGCGTGGCGCCCCCTGCTGTCCTTTGGTTGTCATTGTCTGAAACAAAAATGCCTATAGCTGAATTATAAATGTTTATTTTCCACCCCAAAAACGTTAAATTAATACATTTGTCTATAGTCCTAAGTCACGTCGTCTCGTCTCGGTGGAAAGTTGTCGTTTCACCAACAGCCGTGATAACAAACACAAGCAGCAGGAAATAAAAGAAGGAAATAAGAGCAATTTGCACGTACATCAAAGGAGACAGTGATTCATAGGGAGTGGGATCATAAATGTTCATAAATGTCCTGTAATGTACCAGGTCATCACTGTTCTTGAACCCTCCTGCATGTGCAAGTACAAAGTGAGAAACCCCTGGAGAGAAAGGGATGCGTTCCCACAGACAAACTATAGATCCAGTTTAGAACCTGAATATTGCTCTGAGCTGCTCCGATGTCTCCAATGAGAGTGTAATGTGTTCTTGTTCTGTGTCCAGGAGGTGCTTCAGACCATGGGGCCGGCCTCTCTGGGACATCGGCCCTGAGGCTTCACCATGCACATAGCCTCTGTGGGCATCAGCAAATTGTGTTTTTGCCTCTCCCTGGCTTTGAGTGGGCTCCTCCTCCTCCTCCTGCCCTGCCTGCGGACCCCTGCCCGGCCGCTGGTGCTGCCCCAGCCTAAAGCCCAGTTTAGGTCTGCCTCCAGTTGGACGTACAGGACACCCAGCCAGACTGCAGCAGAGCCCCCTCTGCGGAGAAAGGACTCAGGGGCCTCCTCGACGGCCCACCACAGACATGAACCCCTGGAAATGGAGGATGTTTTTATAGCGGTGAAGACCACAAGGAAGTACCATAAATCCAGACTAGAGCTTCTCATTCAAACCTGGGTTTCTCAGGCCAAACGACAGGTGAGCACAAGTGATAACATATGACTTAAAGTAATACATCATCAGTAAGTCCAGACACCGTCTCCTCGTACGTCAAATACACTTAGACCTAATAAATCAGTGAGGGAAGGATGGAGCATGAGACTGACACAGGTCGGTGCAGTCGCTGTGTTGGATTGTTGTTGGAGGGAGCTGAGTCCAACGGGAGGAGCTCTGAGTAGAGCCGCTGTATTCTGGGCATGTCCCACAGGGAGTAGGTCCTGACTGGCCTGTGTGTTGCGTGTCGGGACGTCTCTGTTTAAACTGCTGCCCTTTCGACCCGGCCACGGATAAAGCGGAAGTAATGAATGAATGAATAATGAAGTGCGTTTCTTTTCAATGGTTAAAGAAGCAGTTTGTGTGAGATCAGTTGTGACGAGCTCCTTCTGCTGTTTCAGACGTACATCTTCACAGACGGAGAAGACCGAGACCTGCAGCTGAAGACAGGTACAGGTGTTTATGATCACAGGGACTGTTTATGATCACAGGGACTGTTTATGATCACAGGGACTGTTTATGATCACAGGGACTGTTTATGATCACAGGGACTGTTTATGATCACAGGGACTGTTTATGATCACAGGGACTGTTTATGATCACAGGGACTGTTTATGATCACAGGGACTGTTTATGATCACAGGGACTGTTTATGATCACAGGGACTGTTTATGATCACAGGGACTGTTTACAGGATGTTATGATCACAGGGACTGTTTATGATCACAGGGACTGCTTATGATCACAGGGACTGTTTATGATCACAGGGACTGCTTATGATCACAGGGACTGTTTATGATCACAGGGACTGTTTATGATCACAGGGACTGTTTATGATCACAGGGACTGCTTATGATCACAGGGACTGTTTATGATCACAGGGACTGTTTATGATCACAGGGACTGTTTATGATCACAGGGACTGTTTATGATCACAGGGACTGTTTATGATCACAGGGACTGTTTATGATCACAGGGACTGTTTATGATCACAGGGACTGTTTATGATCACAGGGACTGTTTATGATCACAGGGACTGTTTATGATCACAGGGACTGTTTATGATCACAGGGACTGTTTATGATCACAGGGACTGCTTATGATCACAGGGACTGTTTATGATCACAGGGACTGTTTATGATCACAGGGACTGCTTATGATCACAGGGACTGCTTATGATCACAGGGACTGTTTATGATCACAGGGACTGTTTATGATCACAGGGACTGCTTATGATCACAGGGACTGCTTATGATCACAGGGACTGTTTATGATCACAGGGACTGTTTATGATCACAGGGACTGTTTATGATCACAGGGACTGTTTATGATCACAGGGACTGCTTATGATCACAGGGACTGTTTATGATCACAGGGACTGCTTATGATCACAGGGACTGCTTATGATCACAGGGACTGTTTATGATCACAGGGACTGTTTATGATCACAGGGACTGCTTATGATCACAGGGACTGCTTATGATCACAGGGACTGCTTATGATCACAGGGACTGCTTATGATCACAGGGACTGCTTTTCTAACATGTTGTCTTCTCCAGGGATTAATCTGATCAACACAAACTGCTCTGCGGCTCACACGCGACAAGCTCTTTGCTGCAAGATGTCGGTGGAATACGACAAGTTCATCGAGTCACAGAAGAAGTGAGTATCGCTCTCGCCCCGCGGCCTCTCGCCCCGCGGCCTCTCGCCCCGCGGCCTCTCGCCCCGCGGCCTCTCGCCCCGCGGCCTCTCGCCCCGCGGCCTCTCTCGCCCCGCGGCCTCTTGCCCCGCCGCATCCCCCCCCCCCCCTGCCGCCTCCCGCGGCCTCTCTCGCCCCGCGGCCTCTTGCCCCGCCGCATCCCCCCCCCCCCCCTGCCGCCTCTCGCCCCGCGGCCTCTTGCCCCGCGGCCTCTCGCCCCGCGGCCTCTCGCCCCGCGGCCTCTCACCGCACGGCCTCTTTAACTCGGGTGTTTGTCTCTGTCGCAGGTGGTTCTGCCACGTGGACGATGATAACTACCTCCTGCTGCCGAGCCTCCTGCTGCTGCTCTCCTCCTACCACCACAGTCAGGACGTGTACCTGGGCAGACCCAGCCTGGACCACCCCATCGAGGCCTCTGAGAGGGTCAAGAGCAACGGCCTGGTCAGTCTGCTCCACAGATCTGATCTGTAACTTTACTCTGCAAAGTCAGCTGTGTCTCCATGGAGACAAAGGCTATACAGAAATGTTTAAATGTTTAAATCCATATTCAATGTCTTTTTATAATGTGAGTTACCATGTATCTGAAGTACCATGTGAGTTACCATGTATCTGAAGTACCATGTGACTCCTGTAGACGTCTGTGCAGTTCTGGTTCGCCACAGGAGGAGCAGGTTTCTGCATCAGTCGTGGTCTGGCTCTGAAGATGAGTCCGTGGGCCAGGTCAGTTCTTTATCTGTGGTACTCCAACATTCACCAAACCTTAAGTTTAAGTTAAGGTTAACTTGTTTTTAGGAGAAGCATCAGTTTGTAGTTTTGTCTCTTACTGGTGTAAAAACAGATACAGGCGCAGTGGGCTGTGGGGGAAAGGACAATACTTACTACACTAAGTATTTCCTGTGGCTCTCACGGCCACAACATGGACAATATGGTTTTTTAATACTAATCACCATGTTTTTAAATACAAATGAAAATGTCGCACTAGAATAATTGAAATAATTCTTCAGTTTAGGGAACTTCATCAGCACCGCAGAGAAAATCCGTCTTCCGGACGACTGCACGATCGGGTACATCATCGAGGCTCTGTTGGAGGTGAAGCTGAGCCACACTCCTCTGTTTCACTCTCACCTGGAAAACCTGCGGAAGCTTCTCCCAGAGACCGTCCTGGACCAGGTACTGCAGCTGCACGCTTTCCTCAGAAATACTGCCTTTCATGTCTTTTCTGGTCCCACACATAGTTACAGAATTGTCCGTTTACAAGTCCTGGTCCTGAAGGACCACACATGGTTTTATGTTTGTCTGCACTGTCGTACTATCAACACATTTCCTCAACTTGATTTCTCTGTTTAAGAAAAATGTTCTTTCTGTTCTCATATCAGGTTAGATAAGATCAGACGTCTCCTAAAGTCTGTGTTGTAATTATTTATGATTAACGTTTTGATCTTAGGTGACCCTCAGCTACGGAGGCTTTGAGAACCGGAGAAATGTGGTCAGTGTCGCTGGACGGTTTTCACTTATAGAAGATCCAACACGGTGAATATTTGTGCTTTTATTGGTCGTATTGGAAATGAAATATTTAATATAATCATCTGTCCAGGTTCAAGACTGTGCACTGTCTGCTGTACCCGGACACAGACTGTGTCCAAAACCCTGACTGGTGTCCAAAACCCTGAAGACTGGTGTCCAAAACCCTGAAGACTGGTGTCCAAAACCCTGAAGACTGGTGTCCAAAACCCTGAAGACTGGTGTCCAAAACCCTGAAGACTGGAGCTTTGCTGCAAATATCCTGAAAACCAAAGAAAGGTCTGGACTGTGGGCGACAGTGTTAAATCCACATCAGAGTAAACTGACTCTGTGCGAGTGCAATAAGAGGTTGTCTTTACAACAGAACTGAGCTGGATTCTGCCAACACCAGTTTGTATCTTTGTATCGTGTTCTTATGAAGTTACTCTTAACATGGCTCCCACTTTGGTCAATAGTTAAACTGTTTACATGGTGTGTGTGTGTGGAGAGGTGTGTGTGTGTGTGTGTGTGTGTGGAGAGGTGTGTGTGCTGTAGGCTGACCACAAAATGGCTCCAAGAGCAGATAGACTTCAGACATATTAAAGATATTAAAGATACATGTCAGTGAGTTGTGGATTGATGCTTCCCAGGTTTGTGTGTGTGTGTGTGTGTGTGTGTGTGCGTGTGTGTCTGTGTGTGCGTGTGTGTGTGTTGGTCACTGCTGGTCAGTGGCTGATGTTATAAATATGAAAAATAAAGCTTTTAGCCTGAGTCGGTGTGATGTCATGTCGTCATTGATTTAAAACCTGTGACTTTAAGGCCCTGGGTGCGTGCACAGCGGGTGCGTGCACAGCGGGTGCGCTCATGCAGAAAAGCGCAGTGTTCTCGGTTCAAACAAAGCAAAGTCCACAAACTCTGAGCTAAAGGTCTCCTGCAGACAGTCTCGGTCTCTGATTCTGGTCCTGGTCGGACATGGAAATCTCGTTTGCGGGGAAACACGCCCTGGTCACGGGGGCAGGAAAAGGTGAGGCTCCGGGTGCTCCGGGAGTCAGTGTAACATTGTATTAACTTAACTCAGTCTTTGTCTTAAACTTGTGCATTCCTACATTTCAACTGTCTTTGCTGTTTTAGTGGAAAAACTGCAAACAACCACTTTTTGAAGCGGAAATGGAAACTTCAAAATAAAAGGACACTGGAAGTAAAGCTCAGGAGCAGATGTCTCCTTCTTCTGTTATTATTTAATACCGTTATTATAATAGATCCATCTATAATACTCACTAAAGTTTAATGCATGGCTGTTTAAACTCTTTTTCATTCTAGACATTTTAAGTGTAAATATGGACACACAGTGATTATGTTTCTTGTTTTGTTAAGCACTTTGAGTTGTCTTGTGTATGAACTGTGATATACAAATAAACGTTGTCCTCCTTGTGTGTGTGACAGGGATCGGCAGAGCCACAGCCTGCGCCCTGTCCCGCTGCGGGGCCCGGGTCACCGCCCTCACCCGCTCACAGTCAGACCTGGACTCTCTGATCCTCGAGGTTTGACTTTTTCTCTGTTTTGAGATTATTCCAAAGATTCTGACGGATCCAGATCAGATTCTTTGTTTTTGTGCAGAAATCAAACAAAGGGTAAAATGGAATCTAAACTTGTATGAAGTGAACACAATGATCACTGATACCTGCCTCCTGCCAATGGAGATGAGGTTGATGAGGCTTGGTTAGCACTAGGATGGGAGACTTCCAGCGATGGGTGTGGCTGTAATGCAAACTGAGATTGTGTCCTTGAGCAGGACACTTCACCCACATTGCCCCAGGGCAGTTGTGGTTATAACTTACTACCACTAAGTGGAAATGAACACAGATAAGTTCAAACGTAAAATGATAATCTTTGGTAAAGCACATGTTCCAACAGTGTGAGTGTGACCTGTGCGCAGTGTCCCTGCATTGTCCCTCTGTGTGTGGACCTGTCTGACTGGGGGGCCACGGCGGCCGCCCTGGAATCCGCCGGACCCTTTGACCTGCTGGTCAACAATGCGGCCTGTGCTTCTCTGCAGCCGTTCCTGGAGATCACCCCAGAGAAGTTTGACCAGTACGGACACAATCATCAAACTCTCCCAAAGAACAAATGAAACTTCCATCTGTTTTCACAGGATGTTTACCGTGAACGTGAAGGCGGTTCTGCAAGTGTCTCAGGTAGGACCCTAACCCTAATAATACTGCGGTTATGGAAGCCTCTGAGTCTGGTCCTCTGTGACAGGTAGTGGCCCGCAGCATGAAGGCCCGCGGCTCCGGGGGGTCCATCGTCAACGTGTCGAGTCAAGCTTCACAGTGCGCCCTTCGAGACCACTCCGTCTACTGTCAGTCACACTCACACACTCACAATACCTCCATGTACTGTTACGTATACTCCTGACACTAGTGTATGTGTGCAGGTTCCTCTAAAGCAGCCCTGGACATGTTGACCAAAGTCATGGCCCTGGAGCTCGGCCCATTTCAGGTACAACTATATTTATGGAGGATATTAGTTAAAATGTGCGAGTTTGTCGTGAAGAGCCAATCACCTGCCACCAGAGGGCGCCATAGATCACGCCACGGTGTTTATAGATCCATGGTTGTAATACTGCCTGTTGCTTAGATCCGAGTGAACTGCGTGAACCCCACAGTGGTGATGACTGACATGGGACGCATCGGTTGGAGTGATCCTGTGAAAGCTGGAGCCATGAAGTCCCGCATCCCCCTGGGCCGCTTCGCAGGTGCCAGAAACACAAGATTTGTTTATGTTTCTTATGATCTCCATCCATCCATCCATTTTCTTCCCCTTAATCCATTTCTGGGTTGGGGGGGTGGCAGTCAGAGCTGCACCCAGTTCACAGAGCACCAGCCCCTCACTGATCCTCCTGCAGGTGGTGAGTCCACAGAAGCTGAGATCTTTCAGTGGGGGCTTCAGGCAAAGTGGGGTTAAGTGTCTTGCCCAAGGACACAACGACAGCAGTCATCAGTGGGAGTCATGAAGTAGGTCTCATGGTGGGCTTGAACCCACGACCTTCAGGCCTAAAGGCCAGTGCTCTACCAACTGAGCTACTCTCGCCCCCAGTGGGAGTGTCTTATGATCTTAATGTGTTAATTAACTTTAGCTGATCATTATCAACATTTAAAACTACCGTAAAATGTGAAATCATTAATTCATTTACCTTGCCTTAAAAGTAACAATAATAATAATGATAGAAAATATGAAAAAAAATACATTGTTCTAGCAAATAAGCTTTTTATTGTTTACATAGTTGATGTGTTTAAGCAGCTGACGGCCTGTATGTGACGTGAGGTCGGCCTGGGTCACATTAGCTGCTTCTGCCCAGTCCTTTTTTTGGTTGTAATATAGTCAGTGAATGTGATGTTAATAATCAAAGAATTAAATACACATTCATTCACATGTTACAAAACTTGGACACACCTTTATCAGCCGTTTGGGGGTTGACAGGTTCCACTAATGCATTGACGTTTATAATTCCATTTATAACACAGAATCCTGAAGCTGCGTTACTGATGTGTGTTTTGCAGAAGTGGACGACGTGGTCAACAGTATCTTGTTCTTGCTGAGCGACAAGAGCAACATGACCAACGGAGCCACTCTGCCTGTGGACGGAGGCTTCTTGTGTTGTTGAGTTGTATTTTTGGTTACAATAAAGTCAAAGTTATAGAGTTAGATCCCTCTTTATCCCTCTTTATGTGCAGACTCTTTAAGAAGCGACACCTGAGTTCATGTTTAGAATGAGTTAGTTCTTCTTCTACTATTATCCATAAACCACAGAGAAAATGATTAACCGTAGAGCTCAGTGTTGAATAAAGACAGACACGAGCACATGTTCTCCATACATTTAGTATACAAAATTGAAGTGTCACCACACAGACGTTAAGTCATAAAAATAAGACAAACAGTTTGAACAAGTCATCTTACATTACATAAGTACATGGCCAATGCTTTTCGCACTCCTCAGAGTTACAGCAGCTCAATACCACACTTTCCATGCAATAGTAAATCACATTTTTTGCTGTTTCTCAGCTACATTTTAAATTATAGCGAGGCAAGACCACAGATATCAGTTCATCACACTGGTGCTATGCACGTTTGCAACCCAAAGAGAGTGAGGACCAGAGCCTCGCCACACGGCAGCGTCTACTGCAGCCAAAAAACACAAATGCATTTGAGGTATGCACAAACGGGCTCCTTCTTCCTCCAGGAGACACTAAAAGACATTTAGAGTAAGTTCTAAATGCACTGGTACATGTGAATCTAGATAATGCATTCATTCTAATCTGTACATAACTAAACATATTTACTTCCTGGTGCCATTTAGCGTGTTGAAAAGAACATGGAATGGTACCAAAATGTGACATTAAAAATCCCCCAGAGTTCTTTGCCTACGCACTGGTCCTTATGGTTATGGCACACACACTCAGGCTGCGACACACTCAGAGGGACGCACAATCGGCCTGAACACGCACATGCACTAAAGAATGAGGTCATTACTTTGTGGATCCGTTTCATGAAGTCCGTTTGAGCAGAGCCTTGTTTGGAGGCAGCACCGTCAGCGCAGCCACAACGCTCCAGAGACACACACACTTATTTACGATGTCCATTTTGCCGTGGATGTGCTCTCCCACCTTTGAGCTGCAGTTTTAAGAGTGTTAAAACGAGAGGATGTGTCGCCCGTGCTCTCATTGGTTTCAAAAGGAACTACAATCACAGCTTTTAAGTTGAGAATATTCAGATCCGCTCACAGGACCTGGCAACCCAGACGAAAGATTGATGTGGTCCTGCTTGGCTCTCACTATGAATAATCATTAAAAACCAAAGCGTGACCCATAAAAATAGTTTTTTTAGTCAATCCAAATGTGTTATTTGTTAGTAAAGTCTAAGTCTATATTCAGTGCAGTTAAAGTTAGAGTCTGTGAGTTCCGTGAGGGCCGCCACACACTCAACGATTCATTATTGACAGGGATCAAAAGCAACATGGAAATAAAAACACACAAATGTCGTCTATGAACATTACCAATGAAAAATAAACATTACAAGAAATAAGCCACCTTTTATGATACATAATTGAAGCATATTCTACTGCATTCTTCCCTTTTGGCCCCAACATGGGTCAAGAGTAAAGTGTGGTTTTTCCTGAACTCTGAATGAATCCAAATGAAAACTGAAGCAGGAGAAGGAGACTATGTGTATGACGGAAACTTCATACAGTGCACACTACACATGGAAAGTACTTTTAAACATGGCACAGAATCTAATCTTTCTATCATGTTAAATATTAGCAACTCTCCAAGTACCACGACCGCACTAACCCCGTGGTACACTGCGACAGACAATATCTATTTGACACATACAGAACTGTACGCTCCCACCTGTAGCTCAGACTCAAGGCCACGATTAAACAAGGCTTCGTATGACAAAGGCCGCCTGAAATACTATCGTTTACTAATACTGTATTCAAGACGGGAGAGAGTGAGGGCGGAGTCAGTATGTGCTGTGGTACACTCCAGCTCAGTCTGCTTTCCTTTGGACCGTCACAGTATCAACAGCCTCAGTGCGTCTGACGGCTTCAACTGCTTCCTTCAATCCAGTCCCAGAGATGTCCATCCATCCATCCATCCATTTTCTACCCTTTAATCCATTTCTGGGTCAGGGAGGTGGCAGTCAGAGATGCCACCCAAGTCTCATAGCACCAGCCCCTCACTGACCCTCTGCAGGTGGTGAGTCCACAGGAGGACGGCTGCTCTGAGTGTGAGCATAGCCTTGATCTTTCAGTGGGGGCTTTGGGCAAAGTGGGGTTAAGTGTCTTGCCCAAGGACACAACGACAGCAGTCATCAGTGGGAGTCGATGGAGAAGGTGTAGAGGTGGGAATTGAACCCACGACCTTCTGGCCTTAAGGCCAATGCTCTACCAACTGAGCTACTGTCGTCCCAGAGATGTGTGTGTGTGAATTTAGAGTATGACACAACCCAATAAGTGTCAGGCGAGAGCTGCAGCCAACACCGACAGCAGCTGTGGCCTGGGACAGCAGCTGTGGCCTGGAACAGCAGCGTCAAAATCATGTATCGTTAGAAATCTCCGGACCGACTTTACGGCGTCAAACATAAACGTGCTGTGCTGTGATGGACTGTGTCAGACTGAAGTGAAGAGTACTGCTCTGAGATGACTGAGTGCGGAGAGGGGCTCAGAGAGGGGCTCACAGAGGGGCTCACAGAGGGGCTCACAGAGGCTAAAGCACGCCTGGGAGGGTTCATGCCAGTGTAGAAAACATGCTTAGTGAGCTCGCCGTGTGTTTGAGTAAAAACCTAATAGCCCTCATGCCACACTCATGTTCTACAGTACCCAGCATGTGGACAGTCTTTCACACACAATCTATGAACATATTCATATTGCCATGGTAAAAAATTGGACTCAATAATAATGGTCTTGTAGCTATCACTTGGAAAAACATTGATATAAAGAAAGCAGTCTGAGCAGTGCACTCTCACTCACTTTTCCATGTTCTCAGAGCAGTGGTGGCATCCAGGTGATGGGCCAGAGTCTAGAAAAGAGTGCACCTCTTCCCCCTCTTCTTCACGGGTGGAGGACAGAGCACAGCTCGAATAGCCTCGTCGAAAACGGTCTTCAGGCCTCGCTGGGTCAGAGCAGAGCACTCCAGGTACTTCACAGCTCCTGAAACACCAGAGGAGACACATCAACATGGGTCCTGGACTACGGGCCCTACGGGCCCTATGGGCCCTTATGATCAGGACAACCACAGACACCTGGAGATTCTGTTGGTACAAAGTGAGATTAGATTTTACTTTTGTTCTTTTCTTACCAATAAACCTGAAAAGTGCAGCAGGAGTCTTTGCACTCTGAGTCTTTGTGGACCCCCTCTGCTCCAATCACAGTTTTACAGTTTAGTGTTTCATCTGCACTAGACCAGACACTTTTATTGTTCCCATTCGCTTGAACACGTTAGTTTGAGAGTTTGTGAACAGTCTCTTTGTACTTTTACCATTTTAACTCAGGAAATATGTCTTGTCATTGTGTGAAATGTGTCATGTTTAAAGGAAATGTCTTGATGGAAGGAAAACCATCAAGAGTCTGTGCACACTGGAGACTTTTTGCTAATGTATTCCAATGTGGTTTTTTTTACTGCAAATGGCAAATAAACTGAATCTGAATCTGAGTGTTCCAAGAGTGTCCTGTATTTCCAGGTACCTCCCATCAAGCTTGGCTTCCCTCTCTTTCCCATCCATGGGTTCTCTAAAGTCAAAACTACATACAAACTGCATCATCTTTTTAATGTAAGTGCACATTGTCCTAACCAAACAAAGTGCACTGAGCAGGCACAGATGAGTTTGGGACAGAGAGGTACCTATCTCTCGGGCCATGGCCAGGCCCTGGGGGTAGGTGATGGGGGAGAGCTTCTTGTCCCGCAGACGCTCGATGGTGTCCTTGTCGTCCCTCAGGTCCAGCTTGGTGCCCACCAGGATGATGGGGGTGTTGGGGCAGTGGTGCCGCACTTCTGGGTACCACTGGAGACACGCACACGTTTTCAGGAGCAAAAACGAGTGAGTGAGAGAAGGTTAGAGTCATCGAGATCACTGCACGAGGATTCATTTAGAATATACAGTGCCTTGCGAAAGTATTTGGCCCCCTTGAACCTTTCAACATTTTGCCACATTTCAGTCTTCAAACATAGATATAACATTTTAATTTTTTGTCATGAATCAACAACAAGTGGGACACAATCGTGAAGTGGAACAAAATTTGTTGGATAATTTAAACTTAAAAAAAAAATAAAAAACTGAAAAGTGGGGCGTGCAATATTATTGGGCCCCTTTACTTTCAGTGCAGCAAACTCAGTCCAGAAGTTCAGTGAGGATCTTTGAATGATCCAATGTTGTCCTAAATGACTGATGATGATAAATAGAATGCATCTGTGTGTAATCAAGTCTCCGTATAAATGCACCAGCTCTTTGATAGTCTCAGGGTTCTGTTTAAAGCGCAGAGAGAACCATGAAGACAAAGGAACACACCAGGCAGGTCCGAGATACTGTTGTGGAGAAGTTTAAAGCCGGATTTGGATACAAAAAGATTTCCCAAGCTTTAAACATCTCAAGGAGCACTGTGCAAGCAATTATATTGAAATGGAAGGAGTATCAGACCACTGCAAATCTACCAAGACCCGGCCGTCCCTCCAAACTTTCATCTCAAACAAGGAGAAGACTGATCAGAGATGCAGTCAAGAGGCCCATGATCACTCTGGATGAACTGCAGATAACTACAGCTGAGGTGGGAGAGTCTGTCCATAGGACAACAATCAGTCGTGCACTGCACAAATCTGGCCTTTATGGAAGAGTGGCAAGAAGAAAGCCATTTCTCAAAGATATCCAATAAAAGTCTCTTAAAGTTTGCCACAAGCCACCTGGGAGACACACCAAACATGTGGAAGAAGGTGCTCTGGTCAGATGAAACCAAAATCAAACTTTTTGGCCACAATGCAAAACGATATGTTTGGCATAAAAGCAACACAGCTCATCACCCTGAACACACCATCCCCACCTCAGCTGTAGTTATCTGCAGTTCATCCAGAGCGATCATGGGCCTCTTGGCTGCATCTCTGATCAGTCTTCTCCTTTTTTGAGATGAAAGTTTGGAGGGACGGCCGGGTCTTGGTAGATTTGCAGTGGTCTGATACTCCTTCCATTTCAATATAATTGCTTGCACAGTGCTCCTTGAGATGTTTAAAGCTTGGGAAATCTTTTTGTATCCAAATCCGGCTTTGAACTTCTCCACAACAGTATCTCGGACCTGCCTGGTGTGTTCCTTTGTCTTCATGGTTCTCTCTGCGCTTTAAACAGAACCCTGAGACTAGGACAACATTGGATCATTCAAAGATCCTCACTGAACTTCTGGAGTGAGTTTGCTGCACTGAAAGTAAAGGGGCCGAATAATATTGCACGCCCCACTTTTCAGTTTTTTATTAAGTTTAAATTATCCAACAAATTTCATTCCACTTCACGATTGTGTCCCACTTGTTGTTGATTCATGACAAAAAATTAAAATTTTATATCTTTATGTTTGAAGCCTGAAATGTGGCGAAAGGTTCAAGGGGGCCGAATACTTTCGCAAGGCACTGTACTTCATAAAGGTTTATTCACTACATTCACACTTTTACCAACGACTAGAGCCCGTTCACTTCCTCGAGCTGAGTGTAACGTTCCTTAAACCTGATGGAGATCTTTGCACCGGGAGTCTGAGCAGATAAATGTGCGTTTCACATTGAGCTCCTGGAGAGCTCTGCTGTGAACTCACTGAGACTAGAACAACCCTCTGCAAAGAGGCCGCGCTCCTCAGACCTGGCTTTACCACAAGACTCTTCAAACTGTAGTGTGCTAAGTCCAGGTCTGGAGGCAGAGCGCTGTGGGCCTTTGTGAACCTTTGTGAGCCTTTGTGAGCCAGGTGGAGCAAAGATGTGCCTCCTAGTGGTCAGGGGTCAGAGTACTGACCTTAGCTCGGACGTTCTCAAAGGAGGCCGGGCTGACCAGCGAGAAGCATATCAAGAACACATCCTGGGAGAGAATCAGAGACAGGCTATTCATGAGAACAAGTCTGTATTTTAAGCCCAGTGAATTGCAACAGTATTTGAAATGCTGTATATTCTGTGCAGCTCGGTGTGGTGTGTGTGGATAGTACCGTCTGAGGATAGGACAAAGGTCTCAGCCTGTCGTAGTCTTCCTGTCCTGCTGTGTCCCAAAGGCCCAGATTCACCGGTTTCCCATCCACCATAACATTGGCAGAATAGTTGTCAAAACTGTAAAAAGCAAATCATAAAAACATTTTTATGATTTCAACATCAATCACCTTACATTGTGTGCACCATGTGCACTTGTACATTGTAAATAGTAACTGTAACTCTATTTTAAATTTAAATTTATTCTTTAGAAGTGTTTTTTATTCTTATTTTTATTATCTCTTTTTGACTGTTGCACTGAGCCAAAGCAATTTCCAAGTCTGTGACCTCCCGTTACTTACGTTGGCAATAAAAATGATTCTGATTCTGATTCTGATTCTGATCAGTGCAACATTTTGGAACAAAAGGAGAGAACATAAATACATTCAAGCCAACAATAGACAGAAAACTCTTGGAACTCTCAGCGGCCTCTCTCCAGAACACATGCATACATTAAAGGCCGTACACTGTGTGGCTTACACTGTGGGGATGTATTCTCCGGGAAAGGCATTGGTGGTGTAGCTGATGAGCAGACAGGTCTTACCCACCGCTCTGTGGACAAGACACAGTTAGTATGTGCACTTCTCACTGTAGTGTCTCTTTCATAATGTGGCACGCACACACACACACACACTGCCCTACATTTGTGTGGCCTGAGGGACACAGCAGACCCCTGTACCACCCCCATCTACGGTCTCTACCCACAGGCCGCCAAACACTAGTCCAGGCAGATGGATTCTCTTACTCTCCTCTTCTTTGTCAATATTGTGTAGACAACATTGACAGGTTACAAACACACAAAGATTTGCCATTGTCAGCATGAACCTTCAATTATCTAATCCCTAAAAGTCTTCATTCATATTGTCAAACAGAAACACCCGCACTGCAGCCACTAGCCCTTTCTTACATCATCTCTTGCTAAAGTTGTCAATGCCCAGATGGAGAGAGCCGGCCTGTCTTACTGTGATTGCACAAAGAATGACGTCACATAACGCGGTTGTTTAAATAGCAATCACACATTTCTCTGTCACGGCCTGTTCCAAATGATGTCATGTGATGTTGGACGGTGCACAGCCCATCACAGCAAGGCTCCGTGGGGCCTGCTCGCATTCCTCAGCACGCATCAGCTCCTCCGCCTCCAGTGGCCTGAGAGGCGTGTTTCTCTCAGCATCCCGGGCCTTTGTCACACACACACACCGCTGCCAACAACCAGCGGACCACAAACCAACACAGGAGGCAGAGAAACCACGCTGCAGACGCTAAACCATCCCCTGGAGAAGCCAGCGAGCAGCGGACCAGCGCCCCGGGCCCCTCTGCTCATAGCATCCTCCCATCCTTACGCACGCAGACGCATCCCCGGAGCACACGGAGGCCGCACTCACCCATCGCCCACAACCACGCATTTGATCGCTTGCATTTGTGCAGAGCTGAAGCCTCAGGAGCGGGTGCTGAGCGGTCACGGATCCGTCAGTGCGTCTCTGGTCTCGGATGGGAGCCGTGGGGTAGTCCGCTCAGCGATGGAGACGCAGTGAAAGGGTTCGTCGATGACCGAATAGTACCGAGCGTATCCGGAAAATACCGAAGCTTTTTAAAGGAACAGTAACTCGTTTTTATGGAGCGCACTGGGAGGAAAGGCAAGACGTCCAGGGGCAAGACGAAACATAATGCAGACATAGATCATGAAAACTCTTGATTATTCTTGATTCTTGATATTATCTAAAAACATAAGTCCCATTTCCACCAGCCCCCAAGTCTACTCTTCTCTGGGTTTTGAGTCGTTCTTTGCAGATGCAGGAGCGTCTAAGGACAGGGACGGTCCAGGACATTTAAGGACATTTATGGTCTTTGTTTTTTTTTTTTACTTCTGTCATTCCGCTTATGGGGCAACGGCTCCCAAATGTTTGTTATTATTGCATTTGTGTTAAAATGGTTTAATTCTCTGATCTGTTGTTCTTTGAAAAGTCTCAGATTCAGAGATGACTGCGGTAATTTAGGGCTGTACAAAAAATAAATGGTATTGAACTACTGTTTGTATTAGTATCTGGTGTTATATCCTAGAAACCTCCCACAACAAACCAGTATTCATTGAAATTCCTTGGTAACCATGGCTTCCAGCAGCACTGTGACCAATCACTGTCGGTTAGCAGCCTTTAGAACCAGCTCGGTCTGGGTCAAGAGGGACTAGAAAATAAACTATTTCCGGTTGAGTCAAGCAGGGCTGGTGGAATCAGGCTTTAGACAACATCCAGTTTACGTGTGATCGCCCTGTAAAATATTACTGTAGTTCTGTAGTGAAATAAAAGATAAACCTCTTGTATAACTTGAAGGTTTCTCTTGTATAACTTGTATAACTTGAAGGTTTTCTCTCTTGAAGGGAACGAGCAATATATTTGACTAAGAACCAATTTGGACGTTTGGTTGAGCGTCGCAAAGAAACAGAACACACGCATTTGAGGAAGAATTAAGAAATTAGAAAAACTTTTGTTAATAATTGGGGCGACAGTGGCTCAGTTGGTCGAGCACTGGTCTTTGAGGTCGTGGGTTCGAGTCCACCACAAGACTTTCTCCATCGACTCCACTGATGTCTGCTGTCGTTGTGTCCTTGAGCAAGACACTTCAACTACATTGCCTAGAATGAGTCTGGTGTGTGTGTGAATGGTTGGTGGTGGTGGGAGGGGCCAATGGCACAGACTGGTTGCCTCGCTTCTGTCAGTGTGCCCCAGGGCAGCTGTGGCTACAGTAGTAGTTTATCACCACCGTGTTTGGAGAGAAAGATTAAGACAGGCCTCCTCTCTGACAATGTTTAAAACCAGGTTAAAGACAGTTCTGTTTAGCTGTGCTACAACTGAGGGATTTTATATTTGTATCTTTCTTTTTAATGTTCTGTGATTATTTATGATTTTAATGCTTTCTTGTTTTGTTCAGCACTTTGAATTGCCTTGTGTATGAATTGTGCTATACAAATAAACTTGCCTTGCCTTGCCTTAATGACATGTGAAGCGTCTTTGAGAGTCTCCACCTGTTAAGTTTCTAACACTGTTTCCAAGTTTGATTCATTATTTGTGTTTCTTGTTGTACAGAACATACCATTTCTATAAGACATAGTTTTTATTTCAACACATATATTTCATTCTTACAAATAACAGTTGTATCAAGACGTTTAATCCAAAAATATCTACACCTGAATGTGAAATATCTATGAAAAGGCAAAGTTTACCTGATGCGCAGTAAGATAAATGACTGCAGATTCATGAACTCTGACTGACATTGACGGGTTTGTTATTTTGGCTGATGAAAGTAGACAGTCTTTCAGAATCTGGTTTCATATTTTACATCGTCACAGCACACAATATTCTGTGGGTCTTGAAAATCAGTGAAATCATCAAAAGCGGCGGCAGTCAATGAGATGCTAGCATGTAGGCACCGGCACAGGTTCTTTCCTCCTCCTGGGTAGTTCTTTCCTCTCATTTAAAGGTAAAGCCCAGTGTCATGAGGGGGGGTCAGAGGTCGGGGTCAGTGGGGGGGGGGGGGGTCAGAGGGGCTTGCTCGGGCTGCTGAAGTGTCCCAGTGGGGAGCCCTGGACGTAGGTGAGAATGGCGCTCTGCAGGTAGCTCGCCCTCTGCGCCTCGGCTTCTGTGATTCTCTGGATTTGAGCGTCTCGGAGCCGCACTTTCTCCAACAGTGATGAGATTTCGCTGTCCTTGTCCCGCAGCGCCTCCCTGTGGCTGCTGCTCTGCACTGCACCCAAGAATAGCGCATTTAAAATGAAATCACCACTGCAGCAACGGAGCAACTTCATACTTCATTTAGACAGTGACGCCTTCAGCACAGAGTGGTGGGAGGGGTGTTGGGTCAGAGGGTCTTTGGGCCTGTGTGTGTACCATATATGATATTGTATTATGTAAATTTTCTACTTTACTTTAAGAACTCTGACTTCTCAAAACCCACCTGTTCAAAAATGCCTACACAAATCTGTTTATTTTTAGATTTTTTATGTTTCTTATTGGTCTTTGAGTGTCCAAAAAAGCACTATATAAGTACAATGTATTATTATTAATATTACTGTTGTATTTTACACGGTTTTGTTCCTATGTTGAATGTATGAGCAGAGTTGAAACTATTGACAACTGCTTCATCTATCTGCTTTTCAAAACATATTTATTTTTTCTAGTTCAAATGTTATGTGCCAGTATCAGATATACAGCTAGCTTACAACTGCAGTCTCTTTGGGCACGGTATCATTCAAAACTAATTTTAAAGAACTGTCCATCACAAAAGCAAAGTGGAGTAGAGTGACTGCTGTGCACTGAGAAAAATGTCCAAATAAGTTCTTCCACTTGTGATATTTTTCCATGACTGTCTCTTTAAATGACGTCTGCTCATTGATTGGTTGGCAGTGTGCATGTGTGTTTGTGTATCATTCAAAGTGCCAAAGCTGAACCAACCTTTCATCTCTCTCTCCAAAGCGCTGATCCTCTCCTTGAATCCAGTTTGAGCCGCTCTCTCCGTCTCCAAACGACCGATCTGCTCCTGAAGCTCCACACGCACCTTGTTCACCTCCAACACCTTCTCCTGCTCTTTCCCCGACAGCTCCTGCAAAAACAAGATTAAAGCACCAGCCTGGGATATCTAGAAACTTTGTAATGCTCCAACAGAATAACTTATTAACTCGTTTTAAAACATTGTTGAGGAAAAATGCCATCTTGAATGTTTGGCTTTGAATGTCGTACCAATATGACCCAATAGTAGAAGCTAAATTGTGAATTTGACACATATTGCTGATTTACAGATTAACCTGATTTAAGGAATGATTTATTTGTTTTTCCTTCAGACAAGTAGTTTTACATTGCCCCATATGGATAATGCTAATGCTAACCCACTAGCTCAATGAAGCTTGGATTGGATTGACCAATGAGATGCTTTCATTCGTAGGGGAGACTCCAGCTTGCCTTAGCAACCGTCTTAGCAACACACCTGCCTCCGTTTCTGCAATAGACATTTGTCTTTATGAAGGTACATTATGAAGTGAAATGTAACTTTGTGCTTGCTCTCCACTCCACAGATATGACTTGTTCTCAAACTGTGGAACTGTCCAAACATGACGATGGACCAAAGGAAATGTAAGTCCTTTCTGTTCCACATCTGACTGAAGGATCCACTTCTGTACCACATCTGACTGAAGGATCCACTTCTTCACATCTGACTGAAGGATCCACTTCTTCACATCTGACTGAAGGATCCACTTCTGTTCCACATCTGACTGAAGGATCCACTTCTTTACCACATCTGACTGAAGGATCCACTTCTGTACCACATCTGACTGAAGGATCCACTTCTTCACATCTGACTGAAGGATCCACTTCTGTGCCACATCTGACTGAAGGATCCACTTCTGTACCACATCTGACTGAAGGATCCACTTCTGTACCACATCTGACTGAAGGATCCACTTCTTCACATCTGACTGAAGGATCCACTTCTGTGCCACATCTGACTGAAGGATCCACTTCTGTACCACATCTGACTGAAGGATCCACTTCTGTTCCACATCTGACTGAAGGATCCACTTCTGTACCACATCTGACTGAAGGATCCACTTCTTCACATCTGACTGAAGGATCCACTTCTGTACCACATCTGACTGAAGGATCCACTTCTGTACCACATCTGACTGAAGGATCCACTTCTGTTCCACATCTGACTGAAGGATCCACTTCTGTACCACATCTGACTGAAGGATCCACTTCTTCACATCTGACTGAAGGATCCACTTCTGTACCACATCTGACTGAAGGATCCACTTCTGTACCACATCTGACTGAAGGATCCACTTCTTCACATCTGACTGAAGGATCCACTTCTTCACATCTGACTGAAGGATCCACTTCTTCACATCTGACTGAAGGATCCACTTCTTCACATCTGACTGAAGGATCCACTTCTGTGCCACATCTGACTGAAGGATCCACTTCTGTACCACATCTGACTGAAGGATCCACTTCTGTTCCACATCTGACTGAAGGATCCACTTCTGTACCACATCTGACTGAAGGATCCACTTCTTCACATCTGACTGAAGGATCCACTTCTGTACCACATCTGACTGAAGGATCCACTTCTGTACCACATCTGACTGAAGGATCCACTTCTGTTCCACATCTGACTGAAGGATCCACTTCTGTACCACATCTGACTGAAGGATCCACTTCTTCACATCTGACTGAAGGATCCACTTCTGTACCACATCTGACTGAAGGATCCACTTCTGTACCACATCTGACTGAAGGATCCACTTCTTCACATCTGACTGAAGGATCCACTTCTTCACATCTGACTGAAGGATCCACTTCTTCACATCTGACTGAAGGATCCACTTCTTCACATCTGACTGAAGGATCCACTTCTTTACCACATCTGACTGAAGGATCCACTTCTGTACCACATCTGACTGAAGGATCCACTTCTTCACATCTGACTGAAGGATCCACTTCTGTACCACATCTGACTGAAGGATCCACTTCTTTACCACATCTGACTGAAGGATCTACTTCTTTACATCTGACAGAAGGATCCACTTCTTTACCACATCTGACTGAAGGATCCACTTCTGTACCACATCTGACTGAAGGATCCACAAAGCACATGACAGAAGCTGAAATTCCCTGCTGGATAATTCTGACCTGCTGTAGCTCCTCGATCCTCCTCCTCAGAGAGTCCGCCTCCAGACCGTGCTGGCTGCTCCGCGCCTGCAGCTCCGAGACCAGGTCCTTCTGTTGAGACGCGTGCAGCTGCGCCTCCTGCAGCGAACAGCGAAGGGCGGACAGCTTCTCCTTCAAGGAGGACACCTGCTCCCTCTGGAAACACCAGCTGCTGGACTGTTCACTGAACCGATGATTATGGTCTGTACCTGATCTGAGCAGTTTGTAATGAAACTACTATACTTTTAGTTTTAGATGTGCAAAAAGTATCACCTACTTTTATTTATTTGATGCCTTTAAAGCAGCAGCAGCACTGGTTTTTCAAACTGTTTTGTTCATTAAGATGAAAAGGGGAAGCTCAACCATCAGAGTCATCACTGGCAGGACTTTTCTTCTTCTTCTTTTCACAGGTTCATGAAGGTAAAGAGAATGTTGTGGGCTTTAAGGGAAAACCCTTTGGAGGGTGAGTTTCCACACTTTGGGGAGACCCTGGTCCTGATGACATCATGCATTGAAGTCTCTAAATGTTATGTCATGTTTAGTGGAGTTTAGGGCTGAAACAACTAATCGATTAATCGACGACTAATCGATTATTTACAGTAAATAGTCGACAACTATTTTAGTAATCGATTAATCGTTTTCTGGTTCACACGGACTCAAACAGAGCAAAAATGACATGAAAATGTAGTATTTTTGATTAAAACCGACTTTGTTTTTATAATTTCATGAATATCTGTCTGTCTCATCCAATCAGAGCAGAATTAGCACAAAGAGCCTGTTACAAACATTTACTTTAAGTTTACGCCATCAATACGTCCTCGAGTGTTGCCACTTTAGCTTTTTGTGATGAAAAAATACATTTTTTCTACACAATTCACAGCCAAGCGATTACTCGATTAATCGTAAGAATAATCGATAGATTAATCGATTACAAAATAATCTTTAGTTGCAGCTCTAGTGGAGTTTGAAATAAAAAAGAGCAGGATACAGTGAGATTGACACAAGCTGGAGTCAGTGGAACAGTGCTGTCAACAAACCAAAGTCAGTTTTGTTAGATTTGTGCAGATTGTATTTTGTTTGAAGTTCTTTGTGGTTCTGGATGAGAGTGTGTTGTTTGTTATCAAAAAGAAAGTCCAGACCTCCTCCAGTCGAAGCTGGGCCCTCACACGGCTGAGCTCCTCCTGGGCCTGGGCTCGTTCAGTCGCACACAGGGCTTTGGCCTGACTCACCTCCTGCGGTACAACACACAACCTCAGACACACAACCTCAGAAACACAACCTCAGACACACAACCCCAGACACACAACCTCAGAGACACAACCTCAGACACACAACCTTAGACACACAACCTCAGACAACAACCTCAGAAACACAACCTTAGACACAACCTCAGACACACAACCTCAGACAGACAACCTCAGAGACACAACCTCAGACACACAACCTTAGACACACAACCTCAGACAACAACCTCAGACAGACAACCTCAGAAACACAACCTCAGACACACAACCTTAGACACACAACCTCAGACAACAACCTCAGAAACACAACCTCAGAAACACAACCTTAGACACACAACCTCAGAAACACAACCTCAGAAACACAACCTTAGACACACAACCTCAGACAACAACCTCAGACAGACAACCTCAGAAACACAACCTCAGACACACAACCTCAGAAACACAACCTCAGACACACAACCTCAGACACACAACCTCAGACAACAACCTCAGACAGACAACCTCAGAAACACAACCTCAGAAACACAACCTCAGAAACACAACCTCAGACACACAACCTCAGACATACAACCTCAGAAACATAAAACTGAATAACTTAGTAATTATTGATATTAATCACAATCCAAGGCCATAGTTTCTCATCAAGAACATAAAATATTCCACAAAGAAAGGTATTGTGTAAATGTTATTAAACTGTGTGAGTATTTAACAATGTAATCATTCTTGAAAGTGTATTATCATAAAGATCCTGAGCTCAGGCCCCTTGAAATGGACAATAAAATAAGTGTGTAGATTAAAAAAACATTTTCTAAGAAACAATTTATTTTGCCTGGATATTTAAAGCGTGGCTATTTTGATATTAATTTGTGAATAAGACAATAAGTGTTGAGAAAAAGGTGTAACAAAGTAAAGAGTTGAACCTCTTCCAGTTGGATTCTCTGAGCCTCCAGTCTAAAGATGCGTTCCTGCGACACTCGCTCACTCTCCTCCTGATGACGGCTCACATTCTCCACCTGTCAATCAAACACACTCGCTCACTCTCCTCCTGATGACGGCTCACATTCTCCACCTGTCAATCAAACACACTCGCTCACTCTCCTCCTGATGACGGCTCACATTCTCCACCTGTCAATCAAACACAGGTCCTTATGCTGTGGACGAAGACTCTCTCGGCTCCAAACGCACCTCTTTATGATGCAGACTGTTCTGGTTTTCCAACGTCTGTTTTGAATGAAGCTTCTCCTTCTCCAGTCGCTCTGTGGAAAACAGAGTCATAATAATAATAATAATAATAATAATCAGAGCCTGTACCTTCTGCCTGGGCGAGCCGGACCCTGAGCTCCGCGGTGCTGTTGGTCAGCTGTTGTTTGAGCTCAAAGATGTGCTGCTGCTGAGCTTTGGTCCTTCGCTCTGTGTCCTCCACCTGCAGCACAAACACTGAGCTGAGCCAACAGCAGGAGCCAAGAGGACCAGGAGGAGCCATGAGGACCAGGAGGAGCCATGAGGACCAGGAGGAGCCATGAGGAGTCATGAGGAGCCATGAGGACCATGAGGAGTCATGAGGAGCCATGAGGACCAGGAGGAGCCATGAGGACCAGGAGGAGGCATGAGGAGTCAAGAGGACCAGGAGGAGCCATGAGGACCATGAGGAGTCATGAGGACCATGAGGAGTCATGAGGAGCCATGAGGAGTCATGAGGAGTCATGAGGAGCCATGAGGAGCCATGAGGAGCCATGAGGACCATGAGGAGTCATGAGGAGCCATGAGGACCATGAGGAGGCATGAGGAGTCAAGAGGACCAGGAGGAGCCATGAGGACCATGAGGAGTCATGAGGATTCAAGAGGACCAGGAGGAGGCATGAGGAATCAAGAGGACCAGGAGGAGCCATGAGGACCATGAGGAGTCATGAGGACCATGAGGAGTCATGAGGAGCCATGAGGAGTCATGAGGAGTCATGAGGAGCCATGAGGAGTCATGAGGAGCCATGAGGACCATGAGGAGTCATGAGGAGCCATGAGGACCATGAGGAGGCATGAGGAGTCAAGAGGACCAGGAGGAGCCATGAGGACCATGAGGAGTCATGAGGACCATGAGGAGTCATGAGGAGCCATGAGGAGTCATGAAGAGTCATGAGGAGCCATGAGGAGTCATGAGGAGCCATGAGGAGTCATGAGGAGCCATGAGGAGCCATGAGGAGTCATGAGGAGTCATGAGGAGCCATGAGGACCAGGAGGAGCCATGAGGAGTCATGAGGAGTCAAGAGGACCAGGAGGAGTCATGAGGAGTCATGAGGAGCCATGAGGACCATGAGGAGTCATGAGGAGTCAAGAGGACCAGGAGGAGCCATGAGGACCATGAGGAGTCATGAGGACCACGAGGAGTCATGATGACCATGAGTTCTACATCACAGACAGACGTACCTTGTTTCTGAGCTGCACATTGTGATTCGTCAGACTTTGAATTTCCTTGAGTAGTCTGCTTTCTTTGAGAACACAGTCCTGTTGAAGACAATGGTCCAAAGTAAAGCAGAAAGTTTGGATTTTATGGATTTATTTTCAGTACCTCTGATTCTTTCTTCTTCTCTCGGTTGTGCTCTTCCCACATTTGCTCTCTCTCTGCCTTTGCCTGAGTGAGCAGAGCTGCCAGACTGCTGTTCTTCTGCTCAGCCAGAGCCAGGGCAGCCTCAGCCATCTGCAGCCTGAAGACACACACACTATCTGTGTCCTGAAGACACACACACTATCTGTGTCCTGAAGACACACACACTATCTGTGTCCTGAAGACACACACACTATCTGTGTCCTGAAGACACACACACTATCTGTGTCCTGAAGACACACACACTATCTGTGTTCTGAAGACACACACACTATCTGTGTCCTGAAGACACACACACTATCTGTGTCCTGAAGACACACACACAGACACCATGTGTGTCCTGAAGACACACACACAGACACCATGTGTGTCCTGAAGACACACACACACAGACACCATGTGTGTCCTGAAGACACACACACAGACACCATGTGTGTCCTGAAGACACACACACAGACACCATGTGTGTCTTGAAGACACTGTTCTCACTAACCCCAGACTAATGACTGTGAGGTCACTTATGAAGTGCCTTAGGTCTCACTGTGTGTTCGAAAGCACACAGTTGTAGAGTTGCATTGACTTGTGTTACCAAAGACTTTTCCATTCATTCATCCATTTTCATCCCCTGGTCTTCCCCTGGTCTTCCCCTGGTCTTCCCCTGGTCTTCCCCTGGTCTTCCCCTGGTCTTCCCCTGGTCTTCCCCTGGTCTTCCCCTGGTCTTCCCCTGGTCTTCCCCTGGTCTTCCCCTGGTCTTCCCCTGGTCTTCACCCAAAGCCCATGACCATAAGGTGGAATGTAGAATGACCAGTAAATCGGGAGCTCCCATTCTTCACCACAACAGTCTGATACAGCTCTGACTGCAGACGCTGCTCCCTCTTCACCACAACAGTCTGATACAGCTCTGACTGCAGACGCTGCTCCCTCTTCACCACAACAGTCTGATACAGCTCTGACTGCAGACGCTGCTCCCTCTTCACCACAACAGTCTGATACAGCTCTGACTGCAGACGCTGCTCCCTCTTCACCACAACAGTCTGATACAGCTCTGACTGCAGACGCTGCTCCCTCTTCACCACAACAGTCTGATACAGCTCTGACTGCAGACGCTGCTCCCTCTTCACCACAACAGTCTGATACAGCTCTGACTGCAGACGCTGCTCCCTCTTCACCACAACAGTCTGATACAGCTCTGACTGCAGACGCTGCTCCCTCTTCACCACAACAGTCTGATACAGCTCTGACTGCAGACGCTGCTCCCTCTTCACCACCACACACTGACACAGCTCTGACTGCAGACGCTGCTCCCTCCACAGTCCGATCAGTGATACGTACTTGGCCGTTAGAGAAGTGACAGCCGATGCTCTCTGGGTCAGGGACTCCTGGAGTTGTCCGATCTGCACCGACGTACATCTGTGGACAGAGCACTTTAAAAACTACATTTCAACCTCAGAAGATAAACTTTATGGTTCATTTTGCAGAACATTCTGTGAGACCTGTTCGAGTGTCCCATTTCATCTCTTTGTCGATCTATGGTGTCCATCAGGTTCAGGACCTGTAAACACACAAATGTTTAGTCCAGAGCAAAGAGGCCGAGGCTGGCACAGAGTCAGCACCTGTCTCCCCTTCTCCTCCTTCAGCGCCTGTATTTCTTTACTGAGCACCTGTGTTCTGCTGCGGTTCTCTCTCAGCGCCCTCTGCTGCTCGCTGTGATGGGCCGTGGCGTGCTCTGAAACAACAAACAAGCTCAATGCAAACAAAACAACCGTGTGTCGCAGTTTCATCTCCACGTGTAAAGATTGAGAAGGTAGAAAACAAAACGATAGAGAAGGAAAACAGGTCGGAGGATGAAGCCGATGAACCTAAGATAATAATAATAACAGTTTATTCCTTAGGCGCCTTTCTTGACGCCCAAGGTCGGCTTAAAATACAAGACAAGAGTACATTCAAATACAGTTAAAATAAAAGTTAATAGTTTAAAGGAGAGAGGAGGCACCAGGAGAAGGATAGAGGAGAGAGGAGAGAGGAGGGGACCAGGAGAAGGAGAGAGGAGGGACCAGGAGAAGGAGAGAAGAGGGACCAGGAGAAGGAGAGAGGAGGGACCAGGAGAAGGAGAGAGGAGGGACCAGGAGAAGTAAAGAGGAGGGACCAGGAGAAGTAGAGAGGAGGGACCAGGAGAAGGAGAGAGGAGGGACCAGGAGAGGGAGAGAGGAGGGACCAGGAGAAGGAGAGAGGAGGAACCAGGAGAAGGAGAGAGGAGGGACCAGGAGAAGGAGAGAGGAGGGACCAGGAGAAGGAGAGAGGAGGGACCAGGAGAAGTAAAGAGCTACTGGACCTACTGTACATGTTTTAATGGTAAACTGGAGCACCTGGAGGAAACCTTCGCAGACACGGAGGAGAACACGCATAAGGGCACTGTTCTGAGAAGCAAGAGGGCTAACCACTCAGCCACCGTGCCGCCCAGGAGCATTCTGTACTGGATGCAACGAGTGATGATGAAGATCTCACCGAGAGCTCGCACAATGTCGCTCGGGATGTTGTTTCCCGCCATCTGCAGTTGAGCAAGACACTTATTCTTCTGCAGCGCCTCGAGAAGAGATCGCCCTCCGACCAGACCAATGTTGTTCCATCTCAAATCTGTCCAGAGACAAAGTAATGCCACGAAAAGTGAATCAGCCATTACCATAATCCACAACGCTTTAGTGCAGACAGAGAGAGCAGCGGTACCTAACACCTCCAGGCTATTGTTGCGTCTCAGAGCTTGGGATAGCTCCGCTGCTCCCTGGGGATTGATTTGATTGTTGCGCAGATCCAGCTGTTTCAGACTAGAGTTTGAGGCCAGACCTTCACAAAAGAGAGAAAATGCTTCGTCCCAAAGGCCAAGAGCATTCCACTCCAGCACCAACCTGAGCGATATTGACGGAAAGGAGACTTATTATTTATTTTAAAAGGTTATTTGTTATTTAAGCCAATAATAAACACACAATATAAGTCAAACCTGTTTAATGAATTATTTTGCACGAGCAGTCTTCCCAGGATTTCAGCTCCAGCCGCTCTGAGGTTATTACCCTGCAATGGATCTGAATGGTTTAAAACATGGAACGCAAACAGAATGGATTTGGACATGAGTGAGTGCGGCTTCACCTTCAGATCCAGGACTTTCAAAGAGCTGCTTCCAACGAGTCCAGTTAGAAGTGCAACGGCCCCTGAGGTCAACACAAACACACAACACTGCCAAATCAACACAAACACACAACACTGCCACGTCAACACAAACACACAACACTGCCACGTCAACACAAACACACAACACTGCCACGTCAACACAAACACACAACACTGCCACGTCAACACACCGTCTGAGTATGTTTGTGGATCTGTGAAGACCGAGTCAAAGACCGAGTCAAAGACCGAGTCAAAGACAGAGTCAAAGACAGAGTCAAAGACAGAGTCAAAGACCGAGTCAAAGACCGAGTCAAAGACCGAGTCAAAGACCGAGTCAAAGACCGAGTCAAAGACAGAGTCAAAGACAGAGTCAAAGACAGAGTCAAAGACAGAGTCAAAGACAGAGTCAAAGACAGAGTCAAAGACCGAGTCAAAGACCGAGTCAAAGACCGAGTCAAAGACAGAGTCAAAGACAGAGTCAAAGACAGAGTCAAAGACCGAGTCAAAGACCGAGTCAAAGACAGAGTCAAAGACAGAGTCAAAGACAGAGTCAAAGGCCGAGTGAGAGACCGAGCGAGAGACCGAGCGAAAGACCGAGCGAAAGACCGAGCGAAAGACCGAGTGAAAGACCGAGCGAAAGACCGAGTGAAAGACCGAGCGAAAGACCGAGCGAGAGACCGAGCGAGAGACCGAGTGAGAGACCGAGTGAGAGACCGAGCCAAAGACCAAGTGAGAGACCGAGTCAAAGACCGAGTCAAAGACCGAGTCAAAGACCGAGTCAAAGACCGAGTGAGAGACCGAGTGAGAGACCGAGTGAGAGACCGAGTGAGAGACCGAGTGAGAGACCGGAGTCAAATCCATGTCTCGTCTGAACAGTTGTGTTTGAAGCTGGGAAATATATTCAAACTGTTATGTTTGGGAACCTTTTTCCCCTTTGGTTTTGTGTCTTATCTTTATATCAGGTATTTGTGGGTTTTATAATTTTTTGTAAGATTGTAACCTATAAAATATACTTATATAATATTTTGTATATTTTGCAGCTCGGGCTGGGAGCCCTGTCCTGGTGCCTCTCTGCTCTCAGCCTCTGATGTAACACCTGCTGAGGTGAGCGTGCACGCACCGTGCGCTCCCTCTTGGTCTTGTTTGCGGCCTCCGTAAATACTGCAATGTGCAAAGTTACTGCAACTTCAGAATGTCACTTTATCTACTATTTATCCTGCCCTATATGTGTATAACTTTGCACTATATATACTTATTTTGTGTACTCCCTGTGTCTCTTACCACTGTCCTGTATGTGCGCTGCAACATTGAAATTTCCCCACTGTGGGATGAATAAAGAATCTAATTTTTGTAAGATAACTAAAAGATATAAGAAACATACTTCCTGTGCCTGAGACAAAATGATTATAACCAGAGTTAAACCAGAGTTGAACCATAGACCAGCACTGTCTGACCTTCTTCACAGAGCATGCAGTTGCTCAGCAGCAGCTCTGTGACTGACTGGTTCTTCTGCAGAGTCCTGGACAACACCGAGCACGTGTCTGTGGACAGGTTGTGTCCGCTCAGGTCCAGTCGGGGGCCCCTCTGCATCTGGGATAGGACCCCCTCCTGAGGGTCCACACCACTGCTCCTGCACAGGCTCAAGTACGTGCTCCTCAGATCCCCCATACTCCTGCATAAACACACAGGGTCATTAAAGCTAGAGGACGTAAGTTTGGAATCACATCTGTCATGGTGCGGATTTTTAGTTATTTTGTATTTAGCTACTTTGGTTTTATTTTGAAATCAGTTGGTTTTAGTTGTACTTCCTGTTTTGTTCACCTGCTGATTGTCTGCCCCGCCCTGGTGTGTTTCACCTGTGTCTATGTGTACCTGTGTCTGTGTGTACCTGTGTCTTTATGTACCTGTGTCTATGTGTACCTGTGTCTATGTGTACCTGTGTCTATGTGTACCTGTGTCTATATGTACCTGTGTCTGTATGTACCTGAGTCTGTATGTACCTGTGTCTGTATGTACCTGTGTCTATGTGTACCTGTGTCTATGGGTTTTATTTTGAAATCTGTTCTCAGTTGGTTTTAGTTGTACTTCCTGTTCTGTTCACCTGCTGATTGTCTGCCCCGCCCTGGTGTGTTTCACCTGTGTCTGTGTGTACCTGTGTCTATATGTACCTGTGTCTATGTGTACCTGTGTCTATATGTACCTGTGTCTATGTGTACCTGTGTCTATATGTACCTGTGTGTACCTGTGTCTATGTGTACCTGTGTCTGTATGTACCTGTTTTTGTATGTACCTGAGTCTATATGTACCTATGTGTACCTGTGTCTATATGTACCTGTGTCTGTGTGTACCTGTGTCTATATGTACCTGTGTCTGTGTGTACCTGTGTCTATGTGTACCTGTGTCTGTATGTACCTGTGTCTGTGTGTACCTGTGTCTGTGTGTACCTGTGTCTGTATGTACCTGTGTCTGTGTGTACCTGTGTCTGTGTGTACCTGTGTCTGTATGTACCTGTGTCTATATGTACCTGTGCTCCTCCATTGTATTGTCTCCGTCTTTGTCCGATATCCTGGTTCCTGAGATTGGTTTTTATTTTATTTTTATTATTATCATTATTAAATTATTATTTACTCCTGCATTTTGAGTCCACCTCGTTTCCACCACGTGACAATGACAGAAAAGTGAAAAAGAGAGGACCGCCCTCCCTCGGCCAATCAGCTCTCAGCCTGAAGCGCAGTAACTCACAGGGCTCTTTCTTAGTTTGTTAGAATGCTAAAAATAACATGTTTTAAGGTAAGATGGCGACAGTAAGATTTGTTGACAAAATAAAAAGAAAAAAATATTTTAGTTGGACCAAAAAACGTGTTTAATGTATGTTTGTATAAGCTTGTTATTCAAAACAAAGTTAGGTTTCTCACCCATCATCAAGCACAGATGAGTGAGCAGCCTAACTTTAGTGTTTATTATATGTAAAAGAGTGAAGCTCAGTTGTAGTTAATCTTATTTCAGTTGTAAACATAGACTGTATTGTTGTAAATCGTATTAATCTCGACTCAATGAACAAACAGAATAAATGAGGATCTTATGAGACAGAACTAGACAGAAGCAGCAGGTCTTTCTCTCCTGTAGTCTGCAGGAGGTCTGTGTCTGCTTTAGTTTAGTGAAAGAAAAGAAAAAGCTACAAACCTCCCTGGTCTGATCCCTGATGCGGAAGTAAACAAAGCGGTGGCGCGGTGCATTCGGGTTATTGTAGTCCATCAGAGCAGAGATGAGCGCCGCCAGCTGGACAGGAGGGGAACACTGAAGAACTGCACATTTATAAACACGGCCGCTCACAAAATACAATAAACAAAATTAAGAAAACACCAAAGACGTCACAGCACCGCGTTAATGCCGATAACTAATGCGAAGGCACAGTTTGGTGTGTAGTATTGTCACAGGACACTAGGTGGCGCCCATAGACAACCTGACGTCTCTACACGAAGAAGAGATCCAGCATGGCTGTGAGTGTGAGCAGTGCTGTGTCCAGACTGCAGACTCTCAATGGAGTTTTCGCTGTGTTTAAGAAAGAAGGGCCCACGTCTGCGGACGTCCTGAACGCACTCAAAGAGGCGCTGCTCAAAGGTGCAGTCTGTGGCAGAGGCTTTGTTCTGATCCATGTCTGAAGCATCTGTGTCGTTCTGATCCATGTCTGAAGCATCTGTGTCGTTCTGATCCATGTCTGAAGCATCTGTGTCGTTCTGATCCATGTCTGAAGCATCTGTGTCGTTCTGATCCATGTCTGAAGCATCTGTGTCGTTCTGATCCATGTCTGAAGCATCTGTGTCGTTCTGATCCATGTCTGAAGCATCTGTGTCGTTCTGATCCATGTCTGAAGCATCTGTGTCGTTCTGATCCATGTCTGAAGCATCTGTGTCGTTATGATCCATGTCTGAAGCATCTGTGTCGTTATGATCCATGTCTGAAGCATCTGTGTCGTTATGATCCATGTCTGAAGCATCACTTCTGTTTGACAGAGGCTGGGGTCTCGAACCCCAACCCGAGGAAGAGGAAGAGGCAGAGTATGAAGATGGGGCACGGAGGCACCCTGGACAGTGCTGCCTGTGGGGTGTTAGGTCTGTAACTACCATGGAAGGATAGCACTGCTTCTAATCCAACCTTCTTCTTTCTCACGTTCAGAACAATGTTGTTGTTGATGGTGAGGAGACATGAATGACTTAATGATACCTGTCCAACTGTCTCACCTCCTCTTTAAACCATGGCCATAATTAACCAAATGATGCGACTTCAGAACATCACTGTCCTGATTATATTTTCTTTTTGAAGTAATTTCCAAATGTTTTAGTTTTAGTCGTTCCTTGCAGATGCACAAGTCTCTAAAGACGGCAACGATCAGAGACATTTAAGGTCATTTATTAACATTTAAGGACCGAGGTCTTCCCGCTCCCTGTCGACCTATGGCTCCTCTGTGTTTATTAATGCATTTCCTGTTCCAACTGTTTGATTCTCTGATCTGTAGTCGCCAAATCAACAACTGCTTATACACAAACATATTAACTGATATGATTTACAGCTATTTGAAAGTAAATTTTAAAAAACTTATAATTTTTTCCACAGTGGTCGGTGTTGGCAATGGGACCAAAATGCTCAGTGCGATGTTGTCTGGGTCCAAGGTGAGTCCTTCTCTGCAGATGGTTTGTGTTCAGTGGTGGACCGTAAAGTACAAAAGTCATTTCTGTAACAACATTGAGCAACTCCCCATTGCTGTGTTTTTGCAGTGGGTCCAAATCTTTCGTTGTGTTGCAGAAATACACTGCAGTGGGTGAGTTTGGGAAGGCCACAGACACGCTGGACGCCACGGGGACGGTCACTGCGGAGAAAGATTATGGTGAGTGTCTTCTGGAGGCGGTCGTTGTGGTCGTTGTGGTGTCTGTGCCGTCAGCCATGTTTCCTCTGGACAGGGCACATCACCAGAGCTGAGGTAGAGGAGAAACTGAAGAGCTTTGTGGGCGACATCCTGCAGGTCCCCCCGCTGTGAGTGTTGTTAGCATTCATGGTGATTGTCAGATATCACCATGAACTTCAATCACAGAGAGAAGCTTGTCATGTGTAAGGCTCGCTCCAAACTAAACTGTACCATGTGTTATATTTGGGTCAATGACACAAAAAAGTCCTGAAATGTCCGCGGCTGTTACTGCTGAATGTCCACAGACTCTTGTTTTGTTCCTTGTTTGTCCAGTAGAGGGCGCACTACTTAAACACTGATTTGTTCACGCCCGTAATTACAGGTAGTGCACAAGATACAGAGAACTAAAACATAAATAAAACAAAAAAGCAAACTTGTTTTTTAGATACGATCAATAAATAAGGCTCCCACAATTTGACAACGTCTTTTCTGTTATCCCTTCACAATACAAGTCAATCTTTCGAGGCCTACACATTCAGAAAGTTCCTTAACCCACTGTCCTCGGGAATGACTCTTCTGGGATGTAAAAAACCAAAATCCAATCATTTAATATCGTCCTTTGTTTGTATTATACCTTCAGGATATATTCCTAGCACACAATGGAATCTTTAGTTTGACATTTCACATTCCCAAAGACAGTGCACAAGAGTTCCCTTTTAGCTTTTTGTAAACCCTTGTTAGACATTTGTATTGACGTAATCTGAGTCTTGTATTTGTTTGTTTTTGTGATCTTAAGCGTGCTTCGTTCCAGTCTGCCTCACTCATGCAGGTCGTTCCTCCAGGCATTTAATTTGTCCAATGTTGAATCCTTAGAGTGTTCTGTGAGCAGTGTGTAGAGTTAAGACAGTAAACCCGTCCTTTTTTAAATGTTTTATAGCAATTTCAGGCCGGTATTATTAAGCCAACACACCCAAGGCACACAGAAGAAACCGCGATCTGTATAATGTGTGTGTGTGTGAGATTTACCAGTCAGATCCAGCTTTTTAACCATGCAGCGCGCTGACTGGAAGCACAATTTTTCTCCTTAAAACACAGGGATTGTAAACTTAAGATGAAGAGATCCGTTATTCGTCCCGGGGAAATTTCAGTGTTGCATCACCCGTCACAGAACACACAGCACTTGTTACGTCCACAAAGCCCATTTGTCTGCAATAATGTTTTTGCCTACTGTAAAATCTATAATTACAGATTGATTCTAGTTTTGTCTCCATTCTCCAATCAATAACCTTTTAATAGTCTCTGTCCTGTTCACACAAAGCCTCCAACACAACAAGTCCTAAATAAAACAATTATGTCCCCATTTGCAAGACATCCATTTTTATTGAAATGGTTTTTTTCACTTTTATTTAACCAGAAATGAGAGAGATATTAATAACCTCTTTTCAAGGGATTCCTGGACAAATCATCTGTAAGCTACGCAGTACTTCAAAATATTTAGGTACAAACATTATCGCTTGAAGTCAGATTGACCCATTGTAGAGTTTATTGTTCAGTGAGCCATATGTAGTTTATGATTTGAGTTATGTTTGTTTGTAGTTACTCTGCTTTAAAGCGGGACGGGCAGCGTCTGTCGGTGCTGCTGAAACAGGGACATAAAGTGGAGGCCAAACCCGCTCGAGCTGTCACCGTCTACAGCATCGTCCTGCAAGACTTCAGCCCTCCGCTTTTCACTCTCGGTCAGAAAACAAAGAATTATGATAGAATAACAAACTGATGTGCATTCAGAAACTAAAGTACACAAGGTTGATTATAATATGTTTTTAAACCGTTGCAGATAACCAATTAAAAATGTTGCTTCTTGTGAATAAGAACAAAGGCCCAGGCAGTGCATGAAGGCCCACGCTGCACTGACCACGTTTGTCCACTAGGTGTCACTAAAACTGAACCAATGTGGTCCACAAGAAAGAAAATATTAGCTTTAGCAAAATAACTAGATATAGAAACAAATGCAATATTATTTTATTATTGTTATTATTATTGACAATGGTGACAATGACAATGTAATGAATGTTTATGATTGTATGAGTTAATTTAACATTTATTTATATTGAATGTAATTGTTGATAATCAAACGTCTTTGGGCAGATATCGAGTGTGGAGGAGGGTTCTACGTCCGGAGCTTAGTGGACGATCTTGGCAAAGGTAAAACTGTGTGTGTTGTTTGTGTGAATGTGTGTTGTTAATGATGTTGTGTTGCAGCGTTGTCGTGTTGTTAATGATGTTGTGTTGCAGCGTTGTCGTTAATGATGTTGTGTTGCAGCGTTGTCGTGTTGTGCTCACGTGAAGTCTCTGAGCAGAACCAAACAGGGGCCCTTCACTTTGGACCATGTTCTCCGAGAGGAACAGTGGACTTTAGGACATGTTCTCAAAGTGCTCCAGCCGTGTCCCGCCACAGAACAGACGCCTGCAGCTGCGTCTAAGGCCTGTCCTGGGACAGGTCCTGGGACAGGTCCTGGGACAGGTCCTGGGACAGATCTCAGCGGCCCCTGAGTCCAGTGCTGCAAACATCCACAGCAGCATTTAAAAACTGTTCTGCACATCATGTAAAACATTCTTTGGAGTTGATTGCTCAAATTTTGTTTATTTCTTATAATACTTTTTTGGATGAAACGTCTGTTATGTTATTATTAAAATGATTTGAACTCAAATGTGTAAAGAATGATGTAAACATGGCGGCTGCTGGATTGTGTCAGGTTTTACTGTAGAACAAGGAAATAAAACACAGCTTTGGGTTTGGCCTGAAACGAGGCGCTAGCTTTGATGTCAGAGAAGACCAGGACAGAGCTGTTGGACTGTTAAAGCAACATCATTAAACCGTCTGGGTTGAGTAAAACAGGAGGAGCCGGTCACTGTGATGCAGAAGTTCATGTAAAGGCCTAAAAAGGCCTTTTTATGGTATTCATATATATTGGTTATTGTTTCTGGAGAAAGCTCTGTCCATCCAGAGTTGCTTCGTCCTTTAATGTTTATAAGTGAGAGCCTTCACAGAGCACTGGCCCCGCTGTGGTCTCCAGGCCCTGCTGCAGTCTCCGGTCCCTGCTGCAGTCCCCGGTCCCCGCTGCAGTCTGGGGGCCCCACTAGTCCCTGGGCCTGCTCGGAGCCTGCTCAGGGCCGATCAATCATTTTTGGACACTGGCCTGACGCCAGGGGAAGCTGCAGGATCAATGCGCTGCAATCATTGTCCCAGTATAAATATTAGCCTTTTGGGGACTTCTTTGATGACTCCAAGACTGTTTGCTCCGAGGCAAAGGGTTTATCTAAATTGGAGCCGATGGAAAGTTAGAAGTGAACCCTCATTAGAAAATCGAACGTTGTAAAGCATTGATAAGGACTCTGAAAACATTAATGATCATAAAAAATCTGTGAAGTCTCTTAGTGTCGCTGCTAAACAGAGAAGTGTCCGCGTTATTGTTTAACAGATTGAGGAAACCGCTGCAGCTCAGGACGTCTGTGCCTTTCACACAACACGCTCCAGATCCAGAGTGATCCATGTTCACTTCCAGAGCAGTTATTACAGATCCAGAGTGATCCATATTTTCACTTCCGCCCATACTTGGTGTCGTTTACTTTATTACACACGTGTTTGTTGCAGTCTGAGCTCCAGGAGTCAGAGCTTTTCTGTTATTGTAGATTCTGCACTTGTCCAAAAAAGAATTGTGCTTTATTTATTCCCCTGATGGCGTGCACGCGCTCAGCGGCGGACGGATGTGTCCGTTAACGGTCATGATGATGATGATGATGATGATGATGGGCATGGTTTTTCTTAACTGCACTTATCTTGTGGGGCCGCACGCGCTGGAGTCAGCCAATGAGGAGCCGGCGCGGACACCTGCAGGAAGTGGGCCGCGCGCTTATCACTTTTCCCATTCGCTTCAGACGCATAACGGTCCAGGGGCCACAGCGTTTTCAGAGTCCAGCCTGCGACAGAGACAGGTCCTTAGCCAGTCCTCTGACTCAGCCCAGTCCTCGGTCTCAGCCCAGTCCTCAGACTCAGCCCAGTCCTTCCTCTGACTCTGGAGAACCAGAGACTCTGCGCTTTAGTGGAACTTTGAACAGTTTACGCACCGCAGCCTCCCGCTCCCCGCGGGCCACAGCTCCACAGCCCTGAGCCCAGAGCCACAGACATGTCAGTGCCCGTGTACGCGGCCCTGACCACACAGCCGCGCGCTCAGAGGACGCCCTTCTCCATTGAGGACATCCTGAGCCGGAGCGGACCCCGCGCGTCCCCGCCGCCCTGTCCCGTGCCGCTCACGCACGTGCCTGTTCCATCTGCTCACTCTTCTTTCACGAGTCTGGTGTCTCCTTACCGCACTCATGTCTACGAACCCACGCCTCTACACCCGCTCTTCCCCTCTCCGTACCCGCCAGGCCCGTTCCACGGCCCCGTGTACCCGCTGCAGCCGCAGGCGCGCGCCGTGGGCGAGTACGCGCAGGCGCTCCTCCGTCACGAGCCTCTGGGTGAGTCTTTGGGTCTTATCCAGGCCTGACATTAGAAATGACTCTTAGTGTGCTATTAAAACAGTATACTGTCATTTTAAATAAGAATTGTTTTTGCATCAAACTTTAAAGAAATGCTTCAAATAAAAAATAGAACCAATAAGATCGCGTTAACTTTATGTTTATATGTTTGTGTTTTTTTTATATTTCACGAGCTCAGCTTTGGAGGATGTTTGGATTTCTGTGCGGCCTATTTTTATTTATTTGAACATCATTCATTTAAAACTGGAGCCTGATGAAGTCACGTTGATCATTTCGATTCATATTTTGACTTTCTTGTGATTAATCAGTTTGATTATTTAACCCCTCACCATAGGATTAGGATTTAGTCATTTGGAACACGGTTATAGTGATCATTGCAGAACAGTTTCAGACACTTCTTGTTGCGGCTCTGGTGTTTTCCTGCAGAGTTATGTGTGTTTTAAAAGTAGTTTAAAATCTATGGGTCTTTGTTGATGATGGTTCTGAGGCGGACATTACAATAACCATTTGTTATGGCAAATGAAATCAGGGCACTTGGTGAAGACCCTGACTCTCTTCCTGGATCCTATTGTTTGGAAGTTCACAGGAGCCGAGTGGGACACGCGCGCTGACACCGTGCGCGTCATCCACAGTGGTCCGTGTCTGGCTCAGATGAAGGCCCGGGCCGCCGCGGTGCTGTTTCCGCTGATAGTGTGATGGAGGAGTGGGGCCAGGACTTCCTCGGGGCGCGCTGCGCGCTGCTGATTATTTCTCCACATCCTCAATAGAAACTATAGAGGAAACACTCGGGGCTGATATGTTCACTATTGTTGCACTTCCTGTAGCAGCTGCTTTCAATCTACAGCGCTCACTCAAACCCCGCAAAGCCAATATCCTCCAGAATAACCACAAATCCGAGCCTCAGCCTTTTAGATAGATCACGTTTTACAGAAATAATTAGGCTCATAATAATGGTTATGGTAACAGTTATAATGACGTCATCCTCTGGTGCATAAAGGGACATTATGGTTTGGAAAATATAGGCCTCGGCCACTGGAGAAATATCTCTAACCTATGACTGCTATAGAAAAAGTGTTTAAGGCAATAACAATGACTTATTTATAAAATCCCGATAAGAAAGTATAAATATCCTCTTGAATGCATTGTGTTAACTGTCTTTAGGGCAGGAAACAACTTTACACGAGGTGCGCGCTTCCAACGGATCAGAGTTAACCGTGTTTGAGTTTACAGTGTGTTCATGCTTTAGTTCAGATCCAAGCAAAAACAATAACGCATCTGCAATGAGTGAAATTATGACGTTGAAATTATACATTTTATTTTTTTTATTTGTTTTAATATATATTTTATCAGATTATAATGTAAATGTTCTGTTTCTCTGCGTGTTTCTGATGCAGGTAAATCTCTGCTGTGGGGGCCCTTCCTCCCGCGGCCCCTGCACAAGAGGAAAGGGGGCCAGGTGCGCTTCTCAAATGAACAGACTCTGGAACTAGAGAAGAAGTTTGACTCTCAGAAATACCTCTCTCCTCCGGAGCGGAAGAGACTCGCCAAAAGTCTGCAGCTGACGGAGCGACAGGTATAAGACACACTGTCTCAAAACACTGCTGCTTCTTACATCAGAGCGCAGTGGTGTGTGTGTGTGAGTGTGTGTGTGTGTTAGGGGTGGGCGATATGAACAAAAATAAATATCTTGATATTTTTTTCCCAACTCCCAATAACGATTTTGTCACAATATCTTTAAAATCAATCATTTTTACACAAAATGATCTGTAATGTTTTGCTGCCAGGCCATGTGGATAGAGACAGTGTAGATCTAAATATAAGCTTTTTTTTGTAAAGTGCTTCACACTACTTTGCAAAACATGCGGTAAAATATAACAACATTAAAAATCAAATTCAAGTATCACAGAAAGAACACATCCAAAAAGGCTCAATGTTTTCTGAAATGTACAAATAAAGCAGTGATTGGCTTTTTAGGCACACATTAGACGAACGGGCGTCTGTCCTTCTCTAACTGTAACATGTATTGAAAAATAAAAAAGACGATCACACGAAAAAGCATATCTTCAAATTGACTTTCACAATATTATTGTCTACGGTATATTTTACCCACCCCTAGTGTGTGTGTGTGAGTGTCTATTAATGTCTTAACTTTTGCAGGTGAAAACCTGGTTCCAAAACCGCAGGGCCAAGTGGCGCCGGCTCAAACAGGTTAGCTTTAAATGAAAGAACATTCCACTGTTTTTGAGCTTCTTTAAAACCAATACTTTTGTTCTTCTGTTCTTTAGGAGACCCCCCAGGGACCCAAGTGTGAGCCCAGTGCAATGAAGAGTCCCTCATCAGAGCATTCATGTAGCCCCCCATCACCTCTGCCCTCACAGCACCTGCTGGACTCCGAGCTATCAGAGACAGACCAAGAGCTGGACATTGAAGACACTCTATGAGGACAGCTCTCCCTCTGAGATCGATCCGTCTGCTCCGTCCTGCGAGACTAAAGACACCAATAATCTACTGTCAGTGCCTCCTCTGAGGCCCCGCGGCACAAGGACCCGAAGGAACAGGTTTGTGTGGTTTTGTCAAAAGCACAAAGTCCTACATCCAGGCACAGTGGCTCCTGTGGGAGCTGCAGCAGTCTTTTCTACACTAAAGTGACCTGAGTCACCTTTAACGAGTTCATCTGAAAAGACAACTACAAACTCTAAATGTCGTGTGTGTTTTGGTGAAAGAACCTTGAAAATGTGACTCTTCCTGAGGCCTTGGACCTGAGAGCCTGATGTGGTCTGAGGCCTTGGGCCTGAGAGCCTAATGTGGTCTGAGGCCTATGGACCTGAGAGCCTGATGTGGTCTGAGGCCTTGGGCCTGAGAGCCTGATGTGGTCTGAGGCCTTGGACCTGAGAGCCTGATGTGGTCTGAGGCCTATGGACCTGAGAGCCTGATGTGGTCTGAGGCCTATGGACCTGAGAGCCTGATGTGGTCTGAGGCCTATGGACCTGAGAGCCTGATGTGGTCTGAGGCCTATGGACCTGAGAGCCTGATGTGGTCTGAGGCCTTGGACCTGAGAGCCTGATGTGGTCTGAGGCCTTGGACCTGAGAGCCTGATGTGGAAACACTAATGAACCTGAGGAAGGATGGACTGACCTCAGGGACTTCTCTAAGAACTATTTAAAACACTTTTGTGGACGACAGAGCGCTTCAGAAACATGTGCTGCTTGTTTACGATAAATGGGAAATAAATGACTTTTGTACGTCATGTCTTTTTACTAAAGTGACAGGATTTTATTTAATGTTGTCTTCAAAGTGAAACACGTTTTTAAAAACTACATTCACAAACACCTTTAAACCACACACACACGCACACACACACACGCACACACCCACACACACGCACACACGCACACACACACACACACACACACACACACACACACACACGCACACACACACACACACACACACACACACACACACGCACACACATGCACACACACACACACACACACAGACACACACACACGCACACACACACACACACACACACGCACACACATGCACACACACACACACACACAGACACACACACACGCACACACACACACACACACACACACACAAAACAAATGTTATCTGTCTTGGACCATTCGTGTTTATTTAGTTTGTATCTTTGTTTAAAATGAAATAAAACTGTCAACAAAAGATATTTATACAGAATGTACTGTTTATATCTACATGTACTACACCAGGAACGTCAGACTCAGGCCCGTGGGCCAAACCCGGCCTGCGAGACCATTTTGAGTGGCCCCTGAAATGATTTTCAATTATCATTTTTACAGTAACTCGCAGCATTGATGGTAATGGGAGACTATGGCGTGTTATACCTCATTTTAAAGCTTACTCTCAAACAACCATGTTATTAAATCTGTTCCCAAATGTTAACTTACATGTAGATAGAAGTATTTTTTTGTATGTTTAAATATGAATCTTCAATTACAGCCTTTTTCCTTTTTGGTCCAGTGGTGATTGAATCTAACCCTGATAGAAAACAGCAGCTGTGGCCCTGGAGCACAGCAGAGGGCTCCGTCACGGCTTTTACCTGCTCCCATTATAGACCCATGGGTTTGCAAGGTTCTGATCGAGAGACACGGGAAAATGTAAGTTTGGTGAAGTTTGGTATTTGTGTTAGTACTTTATCCTAAGCTGATTTATCCACAGAGTTGATTCATTAATGATTAAAAAGTGAATCAATGCAGCTTTAAAGTGCTGTGATTTGGAAGCGCTGAAGGCTACTGCTGGTGCGATAGGAAGCCACAGATCAGAAGGACATTAAAACTTCAAATAGCTTATCAATGGGCTGTTGTGCAAACACTGGGCTTGTTTTTGGAAAGTCGATGAAGTTAATGATTGTGAGAAGCCCCAGAGCAGAGAACATTTCAACCAACACTGATCCTGACGTTATCACAGAGTTTACTGCAGATTTACTGTTGGAGAAAAGAGAGATTCTGCAGCGAACGAGACCGACGATGTCATCAGTCGGACTGTACTCCACACATACTCACACATATACTCATACATGTACTCCACACATACTCACACATATACTCATACATGTACTCCACACATACTCACTCATATACTCATACATGTACTCCACACATACTCACTCGTATACTCATACATGTACTCACATACATACTCACACATATATGTACTCCACACATACACACACATATACTCATACATGTACTCACACACATACTCACACATATACTAATACATGTACTCCACACATACTCACACATGTACTCATACATATACTCACACACATACTCACACATATACTCATACATGTACTCACACACATACTCACACATATACTCATACATGTACTCCACACATACTCACACATATACTCATACATATACTCACACACATACTCACACATATACTCATACATGTACTCCACACATACTCACACATATACTCATACATGTACTCCACACATACACACTCATATACTCATACATGTACTCCACACATACTCACTCATATACTCATACATGTACTCCACACATACTCACACATATACTCATACATGTACTCCACACATACTCACACATATACTCATACATGTACTCCACACATACACACTCATATACTCATACATGTACTCCACACATACTCACTCATATACTCATACATGTACTCCACACATACACACACATATACTCATACATATACCCCCACATACTCACATATACACCACTCATATACGCACACATGTACTCACACATATACACATACTCACACATATACTCACACATATACTCCAAACATACTCACATATACACCACTCAAATACGCACACATGTACTCACACATATACATATACTCACATATGTACTCATACATGCTCGCAAGTATACTCACGCATATACTCCACACATGTGTTCAGACATATTGTCACACATACTCACACATATACTCTTCACATACTCACATATATACTCCAGGCATACTCACACACATACTCACTCATATACTCACTAATATACTCACACATACGTATACTCACTCATATACTCATATATATACTCACACATATAATCCACATGTACTCACACATGTACTCACAAATATACTCCACACTTTCTCACACATATTTACCACACTTTCTCACAAATATACTCACACATACAGTATATACCACACATACTCACACATGTACTCCACACTTTCTCACACACATACTCACACATATACTCCACACTTACTCACACATACTCACACATATACTCCACACTTTCTCACACATATACTCACACATATACTGTATACCACACAAAGTCACACATATACTCACACGTAATCACACATACTCACAAGTATACTCACGCATATACTCCACACATGTATTCACACATATAATCCACATATACTCACACATATACTCACTCATATACTCCACACATACTCACACATATACTCACTCATATACTCCACACATACTCACACAGATACTCCACACGGGCCATTCCAAAACTAACAGTTGCGCATCGATCGGATCTGTATTGTGTAATGCTTCACAGATTGTGCTGGGGAAAGTAAACACAGGGACTCACAGAGCACACAGGGACTCACAGAGCACACAGGGACTCACAGAGCACACAGAGCTGGGTGAAGTCAAATGTCCTGTAAACGTCCAGGACCAGTCCCACATCACACACTTATCTCAGACTCTTCAACAAAAAACTCACTGTTCAGAAAGTGTCGGGGCCAATGACCGCACCATTGGACGGCTGCTGTTTCAATTGGTACTAATGGTTTTTCTAATCGTGTGTGTGTGTGTGTGTGTGTGTGTGTGTGTGTGTGTGTGTGGATGGGTGTTTGTGTGTCCATATGTGTATATATACTGTATATGTATGTTTCTAGGTGTGTGTGTAAAGTGTGCGTGTGGGTTTGTGTGTTTGTGTGTATGTGTGTGTTTATATGAGTCTGCATGTATTTGTTTATGTGCATGTGTATTCGTATGTGTGTGTGAATGTACGTGTGTATTAAAGCTGCGTGTGGACGTGTGTGCCTGCATATTTGTGCGCGTGTATATGTGTATCTGTATGTGTGAATGTGTGTGTATACTGTATGTGTATATATATATGTGTGTGTGTGTGGGAGTGTGTGTGTGTGTGTGTGTGATTGGTTGGTTAATGTGTGGCTTATAATTTAACAACTGTGGAATGTGTGGAGTGTTGACCTTGGCCAAATGGAAGCCATTATCTTTCCTCTGCTTCAGAGACGATCAATTAATGAGAACCCAGCAGCACTGATAGTGTCTCTGGGACTGGACCAAGAGGCAGCGGGAGCAGATAGACAAGTTGTATACCTTTATTGAACTTGTTTCAGTCGAGTTTGAAGTACACACATGTCACTATAACAGCACACAAACTACAAAAACAAAAAAATCCCAATGAATGACAAACATGGACTGATGTGACAGAACTTTTAGTGGCTTGATCCATGTTCACAGCAAACACCGGACTCTGCGGCTCTGGACGGAGTTAAATGGAGTGTGCTGAAAGATCGCAAACACAACATGAGCTCTGAGCAGCAGAAAAGCCCAATGTCGCCTAAAAGAGCTGTAATGATGACAGATGTGTTTTTGCTAAGCTCCCATCATGCTCTGCTGCAGGTGGGAGAGCATCCTTTAAGCATTAGTGTTGGCTCCTGTGAGACTAATGACATTTTCACGCTCATAATGACTATCTAACCAGCTCAGTGTCAGATTATTGTACATTCTCACTTATATCTGAAGACAGGACTTACCACGGTGTTGTGTGAGTGAGGAGCACAGACAGAACACACAGGTGACACTTGGAAAACAAAATTATTGTTCAATTTAATTCTGTAATTCAACCTAAAATATATGAACTAATTTATAGAACTAATTTCATGA